TTTGAAAATTGTTTGCAATTGCATATGATGTTGTCATGTATTATAGTTGTGTCATGAATTTAATAATATCTCAATGGCTTCGAAATAGACAATGGATGAAAAAAGTCATGAATATTTAGCTTATTTACCCTTTAAACACTTGATCGTCATGCGCATACAGTGTATTGTTTGTTACCAGAACCCCCTCAAGCAGACTTCAACTTTTCTTGTCAAATTGTATATTTTGCTTCATACACTGCACACATGTGTATTTGTGGGAACACTCATGTTTGGATGCTTGGGATAAGTTAATGGTAATTCCACTGGAGTCATCAGGGATATAGTTGTATATTCCTGAAATTACCTCTAAACACCTAAAACAGCATTCCCTAAAATTTTAATTGTTTTCTTTCATATCGCTCAAACACACATTGCTTAAAAATAGCAGATTTTGCTTAAATCACATACCTAAAATTGCTTATCTCGTTATCGCCCCAGAGTAGTAGGGCCTACTGTTGCCATTGCTTTTTAGTCCCCAATACTTCAGTGAGTCATGCTTTGGAAATGACAATAATTTTTTATTACCCAACCCTTGAGTTGTTTTGTTTTTCATTTACCCAACCTTTTACTTACTCAAAATTTAGTTTACCCAACCCTTTTCTCTTCGGTGCCACCCCCCACCATAAATAATGACCGGTCCCTTACAAATTTCTCGATGAGACATACTACAGGAAACCAACATTGTAAGGTGGGGGAGGGGAGTTGTAGTGTTTAAGTATGATTGTATACGTCCTGCGATAATATTTTAAAGCTGCTTTTAATAGCTTTCTATTTATAGATATTACGATCCTGTTTGATTGACACTTTTACAGTGATTGTCCCGATTAATTATTCCATGATTGTTGGACTCGTAGACAGTTATGCAGAGTGGATGAACGTATTTCATCTTTGAATGAAGAACTGTGGATGACTTTAAATGAAGAACACTATGCAACAGCTAAAAGAATTATCTCTGCGTCTTCTATGAAAACGTTCAACAAAGGATATTCCACTCAGAATGCCAAATTCACAAAATTGACTTCCTTTGGTCAGACGCATCGCAGACAAGAAGATTTGGCCAGTCATCCACTACAACACACTGTTATCAATATGAGTGCTAGAAGACTTACGTCGGTTGAAGATGTGTTGGCTCTTGGATTGAATTTCGCTGTGGTACCCTGTTTTCTTCCTAAAGAAGAATTTGTACAACGTTTGGAACCAAAGTTATACCACATGACGAACAATGCAGCTAGTAACATCTGCATCTAAACCACTGAGGTTCTACAATGTGCCACTACCCAGCTTCGAATTTAACCAAGAATAAGGATGCATTGAGAAACTTAAGAGCAAATAAGTAAATACATATTTTAAAGGCTGATTAGGGTAATGCTACAGTTATTTTAGATAGTCTAGAATATAATAATAAAATATTGGCTCTTTTAAACACTTCAACTTATAGAGCTTAAAAGAGACCCTACAGCTAACATTTAACGTAAAATATGTTCCAAACTATCTGTTTTAAAAAGGCAGGTATTTTGTCTCAAACACTTCATAACAGTTTGAGACCTTCAGCTACTGTTTGTCCAAAATTTTATGGTTTACCTAAGATCCATAAACCTAATGTTCCACTAAGACCTACTGTAGCATCCATAGCTTTGCCAATGTATGCCCTGGCTAAATACCAGTTGTTGGAAAAACAGAACATCATGTGTCCAAAGTCTTAGAACGATGCATACTTAACAACATTAAATGCCATCTCCACCAGCTAGTCCACAGTAGTCAACATGGGTTTTTCACAGGAAAGTCATGTACAACCAACCTTATCGAAGCACTAGATAACATCGGCTCCCTCCTGGTACTGCTATTATATGCATTTCAAACAAATCACATATATAAAAGTATACATGTCAACTTTATAGCAAATGATATTTGCTGTATTGATGCAATGTACTCAGGTGAATATGATGCTTGTGACATTACTCTGAGTGTATATCCACACCGGACAAGCTTGAAAAATATGCTAGTTCACGTTGGGAATCAAACCTAGACCTTTGGAATACTAGCCTAATGCTCTGCCAACTGAGCTATGCAGTCAGATCGGTTCGAGTATGTGATATATTTTCACAACAGAATCTAGTTCCTTCAATACCAATGTAATCTAGTGATCATGATATTTTCTGTGTTGATGCAATGTACTCAGGTGAATATGATGTTTGTGATGTTACTCTGAGTGTATGTCCACACTGGACAAGCTTGAAAAATATGCCTGTCCACTAAGGAAGGGGGCATCCAGGCTTTGGAATTCCAAGGGGAGGAGTAATTCTTACATGAAATTTTAACAGGAAGGGGTAAATTTCATGGGATGGAGATTCCATGACAGGACATATGTTAGAGGGAAATTTCTGGGAGTAAATGTCCCATGATGGAAATTCCATAGGGAGGGGTAATTTTCACATGGAAATCCATGGACAGGGCCAAATTTTAAATAGAAATTCCATGGGGAAGGCCTAATTTAAAATGGAAATACCATGTACAACAAGGGTAATTTTTACAAGGAAATTTCATGTGAAGGGGTAAATTTTACATGAAAATTTGCAGAAATTCCTTGGGAGTAACCGACGTGAGAAATGGGGTTCCTCAACAGGGGGGTGCGGATAATAATTGGAATAGCCCAATGTAAAATGATTCAAAATAAAACTACTAAATATACAAATAACCTGACATGGAATAAAAACTTTCTTGACAATTTTTTAATATAATGATACACCAAGAATACTGAATACCAGGAGACTATATTGATTTTTTAAGTAGAGAGCAGGAGCACAGGAACCTAGCTTGATAAACTTAAGGGGGTAAAGTGTGCCAGGAGCCACCATCACATTTTCAGGGGGCTGCCTCCTCTTTTTAAGTAGAGAACATGAACGTAGGAAGATAGCTTGATAAACTCAGGGAGTAAAGTCCACCAGGGGCCACCATCACATTTTCAGGGTCTATAAACAATTGGCTAAGTACACTGTACACTATATTGCATTAGACTAAGTAAATGGGTTACATTGTGACCTAACATGTACACAAGTATAAATCAGATATTGTACATTCTGTGTAAATGAAAAGAAAATATACAACAATAATTTGTCAAATAGAATAATACAGTAGGTGTCCTGTTTCAGATTTACTATTAAAGAATGCTGTACTTCTCCAAAATTGGACAGTTGCCACAAAAAGAGCAAACTGGAAACCAACAAGCCATTCTGTGTTTTGTGAAAAACACTTTAAACCAGAAGACTACATCACAAATACAAGTGAATTGGCAGCACTAGATATTAACAAGGAAGTGTAGAAAGTCCTAACACCAATCAAAAAGTATCTTAAACCTGATGCAGTCCCATCTATATTTGAACTCCCTCCTCATTTTCAGTCCACTGAGAATGTTCCACCAAGAAAACCTCCAGTAAAACGAAGAATCTTCAACACCCCTCCACCATCCTGTCCACCTAAGAAAGAAAAAACAGAATATTAATAATCACGACCACCATGGTTACTGCCAGCATAGACAATCCAGAAGACAGGGACTGGAAACGCAAGCGAAAGCGCCTATGATGCTACGTGCCATCCGTGATACGACTTTAAGCACGTCAATGCATGGGGTTGCCATGCAACCGTGGTCTTTTTTTTCGGAAAAGTACGATGCGAATCCTGCGTTATTTTTGTTTATTTTGTGGATAGAGAGTCATTTAAATATTACATTTTTAGTTTACCTTTAAGACAGAGTTATTGTCAAGGTAAGTACGTTTTCATTTTTAATTTTAGTTCTATATATAGGTCAGTTAATTCCAGTTTTGTCGAAGCATTAATAAAAAATGACGCACGTAAAATTAGGTAGTTGCTGGGAACCCTATAACTTGAGAATGAAGCTACAAATTGCCATTTAAAACATGCGATTATCATCTAAAATGAATCGAGGGTGCATTAGAGCAGTTACAACTACGTGTGATGTGTGAGCCCAGCATAAACAAGCTTTTTTCACAGTGACTACAAAATTGATGGCATACGTCTATACCCTCACTTTGTAACATGTAACTATAATTTTAGCAAATTACAAGACATTTTATATGGTTTAAAGGAAAATAATACGGGCTGTGCATTTATCGCTTTTTCCAACTTTTTTTCGCTTTAGTGAAGCTGAAAATCACCATTAATTTTGTGCGTAGTATTTTTGACTAAAAAATGTCACCATTGTTGTTCTTGTAGTGTGCGCATAGTAGGAACCCCATAACTTCACTTTTAGTGATTTTCAAAGCATCATTTTTATATATTTTGAACCAGAAAACAATGGGCTGTGCACTTATTGCTTTTTCAATGTTCTTTTTGCTTCAATGAAGCTGAAAATCACCATTAACTTCGTGCGTAGTATTTTTGACTAAAAAATGTCGCCATTGTTGTTCTCGTAGTATGTGCCTAGTTGGAACCCTATAATTTCACTTTAAGCGATTTTCAAAGCATCATTTTTATATATTTTGAACCAGAAAACGATGGGCTGTGCATTTGTTGCTTTTTCAATGTTCTTTTTGCTTTAATAAAGCTGAAAATCACCATTAACTTTGTGCGTAGTATTTTTGACAAACAAATGTCGCCATTGGCATTGTTGTTCTCATAGTATGTGCCTTTATTTATAAAACAATACTCACATATTGACTTATACTTGAAACCGCTGGTACATAAAATTCAAGAAGCAAGTTTGGAAGGCATTACAAGAGTCCAATAACATTGGAAAACATTGATCACTTGGAGGAGTACCTTAATGAGATTAACAGCTACCTTCAACAACTGTAAGATCAAGAGGGTAAGAAATTGGTGAATGGTCCCAGAAAAACATTTATTTTGGTATTTGCAGTGTCATGAAGATCGATCATTGCACTAGCTAGAAGACTACTAGAAAGGTACTACAATAAGTTTAACTATGTTATCGCTTCTCGCAGGATCAAATAGAAATGTACTTTAGCAAAATCAGAAGTTGATTAGGATGGAATAACAACCCAACTGCTTTACAATTTAAATGGGCATTACACACAGCTGCTACAAAAGAATCATTAGATTACATTTTTAGTTTACCTTTAAGACAGAGTTATTGTCAAGGTAAGTACGTTTTCATTTTTAATTTTAGTTCTATATATAGGTCAGTTAATTCCAGTTTTGTCGAAGCATGTAATAAAAAATGACGCACGTAAAATTAGGTAGTTGCTGGGAATCCTATAACTTGAGAATGAAGCTACAAATTGCCATTTAAAACATGCGATTATCATCTAAAATGAATCGAGGGTGCATTAGAGCAGTTACAACCACGTGTGATGTGTGAGCCCAGCATAAACAACCTTTTTTAACAGTGACTACAAAATTGATGGCGTACGTCTATACCCTCACTTTGTAACATGTAACTATAATTTTAGCAAATTACAAGACATTTTATATGGTTTAAAGGAAAATAATACGGGCTGTGCATTTATCGCTTTTTCCAACTTTTTTTTGCTTTAGTGAAGCTGAAAATCACCATTAATTTTGTGCGTAGTATTTTTGACTAAAAAATGTCACCATTGTTGTTCTTGTAGTATGCGCATAGTAGGAACCCCATAACTTCACTTTTAGCGATTTTCAAAGCATCATTTTTATATATTTTGAACCAGAAAACAATGGGCTGTGCACTTATTGCTTTTTCAATGTTCTTTTTGCTTCAATGAAGCTGAAAATCACCATTAACTTCGTGCGTAGTATTTTTGACTAAAAAATGTCGCCATTGTTGTTCTCGTAGTATATGCCTAGTTGGAACCCTATAATTTCACTTTAAGCGATTTTCAAAGCATCATTTTTATATATTTTGAACCAGAAAACGATGGGCTGTGCATTTGTTGCTTTTTCAATGTTCTTTTTGCTTTAATAAAGCTGAAAATCACCATTAACTTTGTGCGTAGTATTTTTGACAAACAAATGTCGCCATTGGCATTGTTGTTAGTAGTAGTAGTAGTAGAACTTTATTTATCCACGCTGACCCCGTCAACCGTAGCTGATTTCCACGGGGGGCGTGTGCCAGAAAATTATTTTACATGCAGAATATGATAAGGATAAGCTAAGCTATTACAGTAATATATAAATTTAAAAGATATAACAAATGTTTTCAGCTATTTACAGGTAACTTATATTTAAAAAGGTTACCAAGCACTAATGTGAGCAGCGATTTTATTTCGAAAGGAAGAAAGTGCTTGCTTTCCCTAATTTCTTTTGGTATAGAATTCCAAATGTTTGCTCCGTCGTACATTAAACTATTTTTCATGCTATTTGTACGTGGTTTCGGTAAATAAAGACCACTTGAGACATCCCGAAGGTGGTAATTAGTTTTCTCACTCTTAAACGAAAATAGATTTGTGAGTGATTTTGGGCCCATTTTGTTTAATAACTTATACATCATTCTTGCTTTAGTTTTCTTCCTTTCAGTTTGGAGTGGCTCCCAGCCCAAAGTACGTAACGCAATCGTATAATCTACGTCATTGCTTATATTCAGAATAATTCTTGCAGCTCTATTTTGCAGTTTTTGCAGTCGTTTTGATTGAGTTTCGCCAAATACATCCCATACTTCACAGCAGTAGTCAAAGTATGGACGAACAATAGTGTTATATATCAAAATAAGTGTATCTTGATCAACAAATGGTTTGTTCCGACGAATAGCAGAGATTCCTGCTGTAACTTTTTTGCAAATATTTTCGGTATTACTTTTCCAAGATAAATGCTGGTCAATTGTTACTCCTAGAGTTTTGCATTCATGAACTTGTTTAATTTGTATATTTTCAATGTAAACATTTGGGCAAGAATCAGAAATATTTTTGATCATAGGTTTAGAGCCAATCAACATAAACTCTGTCTTAGCTACATTGAGGCTAAGTTTATTGGCTATTAACAATTTTCTAAGATTCTCTAAATCAGAATTTACTGCAGTCTCTAGGTCAGTCATACAATTTGCTGAAGCAGTCAAATTTGTGTCATCAGCAAACAACCGCGGTTTTGTTTTGTTTAGACAATGTGGCAAATCATTGATGTACAACAAAAAGAATAATGGCCCTAGTATAGAGCTTGTGGTACACCACATTTAATCAAGCGCTCAGATGAAAATGAGTTTTTTATTTGGCACTTCTGGTTTCTGTTTGTGAGATAGGATTTGAGCAAAGTTAGAGTTTGTCCTTTTATTCCATAGAGCTCTAATTTGTTCAGCAGAATTTGATGATCAACAGTATCAAAGGCTTTCTTCAAATCAATTAAAACTACTAGGTTAAACATTTTTCTGTCTAGATTTACATACCAATCATTAGTACAGTCTAGTAGTGCACTAGCTGTAGAGTGAAATTTTCGAAATCCAAATTGGGAATCACTGAGAAGCTCAAATTTTGTTAAATAGTTATACAGTTGATCATACAATATCCGTTCCATAATTTTATTAATGGCCGGTAAAACTGATATTGGTCTGTAGTTTCCAGGAATACTACGCTGGCCATTTTTATATAGGGGCATCACTCTAGCAACCTTCCATTCATCAGGAAAAGAAGATAAAGTAATAGCCTGATTGAAAATAAGTGTCAGTGAATCTGAGATAACAGGTGCAGCTAATTTAATAATTTTGGAAGAGATTTTATCGATGCCAGTGGCTTTATTGTTGGAAAGTCCATGCAAAAGATGAGAGACATGACTGACAGTAACAGGTTGGAAAGCCGCAAATTCTGATTGAGCATTTTTGACATAGGTTTCAAAATTGGAATTTGAATAATCTAATAATGATGTTATCATAGTATGTGCCTCACATATTGACTTATACTTGAAACCGCTGGTACATAAAATTCAAGAAGCAAGTTTGGAAGGCATTACAAGAGTCCAATAACATTGGAAAACATTGATCACTTGGAGGAGTACCTTAATGAGATTAATAGCTACCTTCAACAACTGTAAGATCAAGAGGGTAAGAAATTGGTGAATGGTCCCAGAAAAACATTTATTTTGGTATTTGCAGTGTCATCAAGATCGATCATTGCATTAGCTAGAAGACTACTAGAAAGGTACTACAATAAGTTTAACTATGTTCTCACTTACCGCTTCTTCGCAGGATCAAATAGAAATGTACTTTAGCAAAATCAGAAGTTGATTAGGATGGAATAACAACCCAACTGCTTTACAATTTTAATGGGCATTACACACAGCTGCTACAAAAGAATTTCATAACAGCACCAACAACAGGCAACTGCACCAATGTCACAGAGAAACCAGAGAAAGAGCTGGAACCCAACAAGAGAATCCTGCAATTGCTCGACAGTTCCCATGAAATGTGTTGAATGTCTTGATGCCTTGGTCGCCGAAGACAGCAACCAAGTTCCAGATCACTGTTCCTACACTCGCACATCGCCCAACAGTCCAAACAAGTTAATTTCCCTGAAGAGTTATGGTTCCTTGATAGTCCCTTCACAATCAGTTGTGAAAGTTGTCCAGGTCACCAATAAAATCCTTCAAGAAAAGCTCCACCAGTGGCATCTAATGCAGACGAAAACCCTTCAAGAGATGAAGCAACAAGTCCTGCAGGAGACCAAGCTGTCCACCTCACTGATCTAGAAATATAGAACCTGGATAGAGCTTCCTTACCTATAGGAAATGAAGCCAACTTTGGAATTCGGCCGCCATTTTGAAGGGACCACAATGGCTGCCAATACAAGGAGTTTTAAAAATGTTGGAAGCGAAACCAGGATTCATAATTAATTGTGTAAACGTTCTCTGGTTAAAAAAGATTTATTTATTAACAAGCTTTCGACTGCCAGTCTGCAGTCTTCGACGGGTAGATTTATAATGTGCTAGTGATATAAGATATGATACAGAGTGAATAGTGCTATACAAGAGCGGTTTACAATTACATTTACTGACAAAAGACAATTACTGACAGTTCCGCCTACGTAAATATATTGTGTAGAATTTAAAGTTTTTTGAGCAAAAAAACGGAACTGTCAGTAATTGTCTTTTGTCAGTAAATGTAATTGTAAACCGCTCTTGTATAGCACTATTCACTCTGTATCATATCTTATATCACTAGCACATTATAAATCTGCCCGTCGAAGACTGCAGACTGGCAGTCGAAAGCTTGTTAATAAATAAATCTTTTTTAACCAGAGAACGTTTACACAATTAATACAAGGAGTGTTGTCAAGCTATTTGAGTGAAATATTTTTAATTTGTGGGGCGCTGGGCGATGACATTTTCGAAATTTGAGTTGTAATATGCGGAGGAGATTGATATATTATTAATGTTCACTGATTTGGTTCAATTTCAGACCGTTTTGGCAAGAAACTGTTCGCGAGTTAAATGTTGTCGTCGCCTATGAGTGACCTTGTTCGTGTGAAAATTTTAGAATATATCATCGTACTGTATCTATATAACTGTCGTAATCAAAGGAGTTAAAGGAAATTACACAGTTTTATTTGTGGGGCCAATTGTGGAAGAATGAATTGGATTTTCAACAGTTTTTGTGACTATTAAATTCACCAAACTTTGGTAGCCTGCCAGTGTTTAATAGGATGATAGGATCTACAGACTACACTGGTTGTTGAAATATTTTATTTTTATGCATTATGAAACCACAACTGAAAAGATAATGAGGAACCAGGTTGGAAGAAACTTTGGAAGAAACTTTGGTTGACATTGCACGTATAATATAATTTTTTACCTATATGAACATGCTAGAATTAACATTACATATCAAGGGACGTGGTGATGTCGAATTTATGCTGTTTTGGATTTTAAAAATAATATGGATATGCCTAATGCTCATGAATAATTGTGCTGTAAACCTGTAAGAATAAGGATTTCATCTCTTGGAAATATTTTCTGTCATGACAGTGATAAATGATGAGTAAAAACTAAATATTTACAAAGAAAATATGACTTCCAAGACTTAGGTAAAACATGGCCCTAGTCCATGGCCCAGTGTATGGCCCTACCCTTGGCCCACCTGTTTTTCCTTCAATTTAGATGTGTAAATTATGAACGTGTTGAGTTCATATACGTTTCATATATATTATATAATACTGATTTGAGCTATTAAAATACGAAATATTATAAAGTTTTGACCAGTCACCAGTGCATTTTATGATTAGTACATAATATGGACTATTACATAAAGTACAAACAACCAAACAACACACGTTCATGTGAGAGAATCAATGTCGGCCGCATGGCGCACAACTACATCGTTTCGTGGGGGCATTAGTAGTATTAAAAATGTATCACAAAACAACTTAACAACAAATAACAATATTTATAGACTTTAATATTCATAAATGGAAGTCAAATAAAAAGTCTCTCATGTTCATGTAAATAGACAATTCCCATTATAGACTAATTTTAGAACTAGGCAAAGAGATGCAAATCAAGGCCGGATTTTGGTGAAAATAGTGGGGGAGGTGGACAAAAATTTTACGAGAGGTACAGCGGTCTAGCTCACAACTCCCATGGAAAGTTAGGGCTTATTGTAGAACAGGCCAATATCAACGAGGTGAGGTATGCATGTAGTGTACATAATATGTACCAGTGTATTAATGAATTATGAATGTATGACTCCAATCTTGCCCTTCATTACAATTGCTACACTGTTTCTTTCAAAACATTGCATTAAAAGGGTGCTTGACATGGCTATCACTGTTTCAATTTTACAGAAAAAACTTTCTTACCTCACAAAGTGTAGATCCTAAGCAACCATCACATTTTCACTTTGTTCCATCATTGAAACTTTCCCAAGGGGAAGTGCATGACCTTTCAAGAGAGGTGGAAAATTCTCAGGGGAGGTGCAAAACGATCTCTGGGGAGGTGCGCACCTCTCCACACTTCCCTCAAAATCCGGCCTTGATGCAAATAAATCACCACAGCTAGAAAGAGCATACTAAAATAAGTAAATTATTGCAAAGTTTGGTGGCGAATTGTTGCAAAATACGGAAAATATAGCCTTGCAAAGTTTGCAAATTTTGTACACTTTTGTATTGCATGTGAAAATTGCAATTATACAAAAGAATACAAAATTTGCAAACTTTGGAAGGCTATATTTTCTACATATTTTACAACATTTTGCAACCAAACTTTGGAATTTTACTCATTTTAGTATGCCCTTCCCGGGAATATACTTTTTTGCTAAGATAAAAAATTAGTCTATAATGGGAATGTCTATTGGTCCCCATTACCTATTTTTCTTTCTCTAAAATAAACAGCTAGAGTTTTTGTTTCTCTAAATAAAGATAAAGAGCTAGAGGTGGGAATTTATGTTCTTGTTTTGCCTGTTGGGGGAGGGGAGGCTTTAAAATTTTACTTGTCTTAAGAGGGGGGCAACAAAAAAATATTATAACTGTAGAGTTTCTCCTCAGTCCCCCCCCCCTGTACAATAAATAATGATTAAAGACCCAATAATAATAATTAAAGACCCAATGAATATAACATGATTTGTACCTTTATATACTGCGGATTGCAGTTGAGTGTTTAATGACGTCATGACATGCAGATACTTCCGGCGGCTGAACATTTGTGTCGTTAAGAGAAATTTCGAATGTTGCTAAGGCTAAATTTAATAATGTGGCGCCAAAATACACACAGAAGATTGTTGATTGTACTTGCCTGGAAAGTCATTGTCAAAAGATTTAAAGTCGCTTATTGTAAATAAGATCATTATACAAGGAGGAGATCCTGCTACGGGTATTTTCAACGGAAAATTTACGTTTGAGATGGCAATTTCCGCATGCATTGAGATGTCATCGGTTCTGGTCGCACGCTTTCTGTAGTTTGAAATCGAAATCCTTGAGTTCTTTTGTATTACTTTTCAACTCGTCTGAATAATTTTGCACGACCTCAGCATATCTTTCTAGTGGTAATGCAATGCGCGGTGATTCTTGTTTACTTGTAGGTGAGTACTCTGGCGTTGTGTTTATTATAGAAATCTGAGGATTTGCAATGTTATTGATGTTAGTAGTATTTTGTAATAAAGTTCAGGCACCTTCTTTGAAAAACCTCGTCTGACTTACGTTCTTTGCCTGCAGAAACAGAAGTATTACTAAAGGCGACTGGCGACTCTGCAACAGCAACGCGAACAGAAATGATTCCTTTATTCAGGAAAGAGAACATTTGTGACGAAAAATATTTGGTGGAAATGTCAACCTCAGAATTATTGTCGTCCACAAATGTCATTCTAAGCGCCACGGCTTCCGAAGAAATTTTCTTCAAATGAGGAACTTCTTTTAGCACCAACCCATGAAATCCTTCGAATGTTAATGATAATAAATCGTCGTTTGAAATAAAAATCGGGGTTACACGATTTTCGTTATAATATTTGTTATAATACTCTACTCTCATAATATTTGTTATAATACTCTACTCTTTGTTATAATATTTGTTATAATGCTCTAATATTTTTGTTATAATACTCTACTCCGTATAAACGTTATCCATCGTGTAAACAAGCGCTGAGTTCGCGAATAGACCACACCTTCCTGTGTGTATTTTGGCGCCACATTAAATCCGAAATTTCACTTAACAACACATGCGTTCAACCGCCGGAAGTATCTGCATGTCATGACGTCATTAAACACTCAACTGCAATCCGCAGTAATATAACCTCTGAAATACTAGTGCATTTTCATAACTCAAGGTGTCCAACAAGGTACTGTTATTCCCTACTGAGTAAAAGATTCATAATTAACAATTCATTTAATTTACCAGTAGGACATAATGGACATAAATAAAGGACATAATTATCTACTTCAGCATGTTAGGACAGAATGTTTTAAAAACTCTTTTATAAATCGATGTCTGTTTACACTTGATGTATTTTAAAAAATTACTATACAAGAAAAATGACAATGCATCATTAAGTAGAGAACAGTTTTATTAGTCATATACAGCATGCTTTGTTTTAATTAATTTGGTTGATATTAATGTATTAATTCTAGTAAAATTTAGCTAGTACTTTTGTACTTAAATAGTATTGTATGTATTAAAGGCTGCATTGTAAACCCAGACGGATGATTTTTGGGTAATGAAATAAGACTTTTATTATTATTAAATGCTTAACTTCCTTTTGGTTAGCTGAATGAAAGTAATCTCCAACACATTCAATACAATTACAATATAATCAATATTACATACAATCACCTTTGTTAGTTGTCTACTTTACTATACAACAAGCAGTTTAACTATTTAGTAAATACAAAGATGTGTATTTCGAAAAGTGCTATAAAGTTTAGGTCCAATAAATATGAATTTACTATTTATTGATCACAGAAAATGACATAAAGGAGAATTGTGCTAAAATTGTGTATAGTGTAAATTGAAATTTCTTCACAAGTGAACCTCACTGATCTGAAAATGTAGGTGAACCTGCATCTCAGCAAAGTTTTTAAATCAATCTAATATCTTTTTCGATTGAAATTTGCTGACATAATTCCATACTTTCAGATTATTACCGACAAAAAATCTTGCATGATTTGTTGATCATCAAAAGCGTGCAAAACTCAATTAGAGACAAATTTGAGACGATGAAAATTTCGAAAAAGCTTTATTCTTAATCTTAACAGCGAAATGGGAAAACTAGGTATGCAATGCTGCAGTTTCGGTTGCAGCAAACAGAAAAAGAATGTTAAGGGAGATCTGTTACGAGGTGATAGTGAGGGAAGTGCAGATGATGAATCAAGATTAAAACGAAAGCTACCTCGGTCCTTTCATGGTAAGTGTCCTGTTCATTATGGAGCAAAACTTTTTAATATTTTCATCGATAAGTTACAGTCAAGTGTTTTTTTTTTTTAAGTGGCACAGTGTTGTACATCTTGTAAATAATAAAGATTAGGGTCATTGACATTGTTATATTTTGCTGGAATACTAACTAGACAATACAAGAATCTATAATTATAATGGCTTAAGGATATATTTGATGTTTCATTTACAAAGATTTCCACAACCAACCCAGAAAAAAAGCGAAATGGTTGAAAAATATATGTCGCGAGGATTGGATGCCTAGCAGTCATTCCAGAATCTGCTCAGATCATTTCCAAGAGAAATACATAAACAGGACTGGGTTGGTTGCTAAGTTAAGAGAAGATGCAGTGCCAACAAGCTTCAAAAACTTTCCAAAGCATTTAAAGAAGGTAACAGGTTTAAAAAAAAATAAACTTTTATAGTCTTTCTTTAGATTTTTTGTTTAATTTAATGGGAAAAATATATGGTCCAAGTTTTTAAAGTAAATAATACAAAAATAGTAGGATATTACATATATTCTTATTAAAATGGCTAGTTTTTATGATAAATTCATGATTTATATAAAGCATCAATAGTCAATACCACTCTATCTTAAAATCAACTAAACCCTTTCCAAAATACATGGATATTTTAAAACATGACATAGAAAGCTGGATTTTATAGGAAATCAAAAATCGAAAACCACCAGCTAAACGAACGACCATGTCCAGTTGATGATGAGGACAGCAGCAATGATGTACCACAAAAACCACCAGCTAAACGACCACATACAGTTGATTGTGGGGAAAACAGCAATTATGTACATCAAATGCAATCATGTCCGGATGTACAGAGCACCTCATCACCAAATAACAACCATGATGTTTCACCTAGAAAATTGAAAAAAAAAAAGCTTAAAAATGCAAATCAAAAGGTCACTAAGTTGCAGAAAAAATTGAAAGTGTCACAGCAGAAGTCCCGTCGACTGAAGACCAAAGTAATAAATTCCTTGAAGGCTATCACTAAACAACTGCAAGAAAAAAATTTGATAACCTTGACTTGTGAAGAAATGCTGGAGCACAACTTTTCTGGTGTTCCAGTTGCACTGCTAAAAAGAATGAATTTAAGGTCAGGAAAGGGGAGCAAGTATTCACCAGAACTAAAGTCTTTTGCATTAACCTTACAGTTCTATTCTTCAAAAGCATATGAATTTGTCAGGGAAACTTTCAACTTAGCACTTCCTCATCAAGTTCAAGTGAGAAAATGGGTATGCTAAAATTCCTGCCGAGCCTCGGTTCACAGAGCCTACATACCAAGCACCCAAGTTTAAGGTTGAAGAAGCACAGAAGAAAGGCCAAGAGGTGATCTGCTCTCTTATGCTCGATGAAATGGCTATGTCTCATGGGATGGTAAAAAGTTCAGAGGATATGTTGATGTTGGTAATGGAGTTGATGAGATTGATTCATCTCCAGTTGCAAAAGATGCTCTTGTGTTAATGGCAGTTGCTATCAATGGTTCCTGGAAAGTTCCTTGCGGCTATTTTTTTGTCGATGGTCTAAGTGGGAAAGAGCGAGCAAATCTTGTGAAAGTCTGTATCAAGAAGCTTTCAGATGTTGGGGTCAATGTAGTGTCTCTAATTTGTGATGGTCCATCATGTCACTTTACTATGTTACAACAGCTTGGTGCATGTCTCAAGATTGAAAATCTTCAATGCTATTTTGTTCATCCTCTAGACAAGACTAAGAAGTTATATGTTCTGTTAGATGTATGCAATATGTTGAAGCTGGTCAGAAACACTCTTGGCTTGTATGGTACTTTGGTTGACAAAGATGGTGGCAAAATTTGCTGAAAGTATATCGTTGAACTTCAAACGCTTCAAGATGAAGGACTTCGATTAGGGAACAAGTTGAAGTTTGCTCATATTAAATGGCAGCAACAGAAGATGAAAGTTGATGTTGTTGCTCAATCGCTTAGTTCAAGTGTCGCAGATGCCATTGAATATTGCACAAATGTTCTAAAGCTACCACAGTTCAAGGGATCAGAGGCCACAGTAAAGTTTATCCGCACAATTGATCACCTCTTTAATATCCTCAACAGTCGAAACCCTTGTGCAACGGTGAACAGTCAACCAGTCAAGACGTGCATATTTGAGCTCCGACAAAAATGGCTAGCTTATGTATAGAAACCATAAACAAATTACGTGTAGTTGATCTACGTACAGAGCTTGAGAAAAGGGGCCTATCTAGGTCAGGATGAAAGGATATATTGATTGAGCGTTTAAAAATGTTGCTTGTCGAAGACGAAAATAAGAACAAATCGAGCGAGTTAGCCAATCATGGAGAAGCTACCGAGTTAGACAAAACAACGAAAGCTTCAGAGCAATCGAGTGAGTCTGCCTGTCGGAAAGAATTACTTGTTGAAGATACGTATTATGAATCAAGCAAGCCTGCCGACCATGGGAAAGACGATGAGTTGAGCAATACATGGAAAGCTCCAGTCATGCATAATACAGAAGCTGACCTGTCAAGGTTGGAGGGCTTAATTAAAGACCTAATGCGGCTAATTCACGATAAACTTCCCCAACAATTCGTAGCAATTGTTACTGCTGATCAACCTGCTGGTCTAGACCATAATTTATCGATAGAAATGGCAGAGGTAAAACTCGAGCTGGCTATGTTATGGGCAACGGTCAACTCAAATCAGGACAAATGTATTCAAAGTCAAGACAAAGCTCCCTCTACCCAATCCCAAAGTCCATCCTATAAGAATGCGGGCACTCAGACTGTAGAAAGAGAATTTTCAGTTAAACCACCTTGCCATAGGACTCCAAAATCATCCATCGACTTTAAAAATCAGCTTAATAGCTACAGGGCGACACATAAAGCAAATTTTGAAAGCCAAAATACCCGGGCGAGATCAAGGCAAAACTTCGAAGTCGAAGAATTCTAAACAACCAAATGAAAATAATAAAGTCAGTGAACTGAGACAAAAGATTAAGAAAGTCGAGCAGGAAAGAGAGTCCCTAAAGACAATTATTCAAATTCAGAAAGAAGAATTTAGACAAGCACTAAATTCAAAAGACGACAACGAAACTTAACGCCCATGGCAAGTTATTAAATCTAAACCAATTATCAACCCTAAAAATAAACAGATTGAAAGAGAAGATGGAAAGCAATCTCGAAAACCAGGTCCTGTATCAACTTCAAATAAATACGAAACCCTAGAAGACGAAATAATTGACGTGGACGAGGTTGCTAATGAAATTGGTGAAGCGACAAACGACATTATATCTGAACACAATAAGGAAACAGAAAGCTTGAATAAACCAAACATAAAACAACACAACCCTGTGAAAAGTTCTACTGTTGTAACTGGCGATTCTTTACTAAAAGGTCTTCGACAACACTCGATTACGAAAGCTACTAACACCAAAGTACAAATCAAATGCTTTCCAGGGGCCAAACTCAGCGACATGAAGCACTACAGCATCCCATCCCTGGCCATTTATCCCAAACACGTAATTCTACACTGCGGCACGAATGACTTACAAAAGAAGAATCCATAAGAAATAACTAAAGAAACAGGAGAACTATGTGATTTTATTCTGGCAAATTGTCCTAATACTGATATCACTGTGTCGTTGATACTCACGAGAAAAGATAATCAAGGTAACAAAATCGCTGAGGCGATACCAATAACTTGATTTCGAATGATGCCTCCTTAAGCAAAAACGAACTTGGGACTTTAAAAGGCTTTCGAATAGCACATTTAAATATCACCTCCCTCCCTAAATACATTGATCAATTAAGAACATATCTCATTAATAAACCAGTAGATATATTTACTATCAACGAGACAAGATTAGATGAATCTATCAGTGATGAAGAGGTTAATATCGAAGGATATAACCTCTATAGAAAAGATAGATGTAGATCGGGAGGTGGTGTGGCTATTTACACCAGGGATGTCTTGAATGCGAGAGAGATGTCTCAATTTGTCCCTAAAGATATTGAAGCGGTTTGTCTTGAGATAGTTAAACATAAAACTAAACCAATGTTAGTTACATCTATTTACCACCCTCCTAATTCCAAGGCCGACTTTATGGATGCTTTAGAAAATTATTTCCATTTACTAGACGAACAAGGTAAAGAACTAATCATTACAGGTGACTTAAACTGTGACCTCTCTCTCTCAGTCTTGCAACCCCATTCTCGTAGACTTATGGACATCCTTGAGTTATTTCAAATGAAGCAACTGATTGTAGATCCCACGCGCACAACAGGCAACACAGAATCGTTAATTACATAATCGCAACTAACCGCCCTGATAAAGTAAAAGAAAGCGGTGTGATTGAAATAGAGAAAAACCGAAGATCGTTGAAAGCAGAAATCTAAAAAACTATAATGTTAATTGCTTCAATAGCCATCTTTCTCAGTTACTGAGGTACTCGGCTTGGCATCAGAAAGATCCAGACCTGTTATGGGATCAGTTCAAACACATATTCAATTGTTATCAGATATTTACGCTCCAGTTAAAACTCGAAAGGTAAGAAGTACTTATGCTCCATGGTTAACAACTGACATTAGATGTGAGATGAACACGTGGGATTACCTGAAAAAGAAAGCAGTTAAAAACAACTCTAAAAGCCTTCATCAGGCATATAAAGTAAAACGAAATGAAGTGAACAAGTTAAAGACAATCCTAAAGAGATGTGGAAAAATATTAACCAGGTCATCAATGGAAAAGAAACACCGGTTCTAAAACGACCACTATTACCACAATTAAAGATGATCTGGGTGATATTATCCAAGATGAAAAATTAATAGCTGACCAACTCAACAAATACTTTGTTGAAATCGGACCAAAATTGTCAAGTCAATTGCCTAACAATAGTAGAAACTTTTCTGAGTATCTGAACCCAGTAGATTGTGAATTTCAATTCACTGTGATAAAGAATGACACTGTGTTTAAAAAAATGAAACTTAAATCAAATAAAGCCGCCGGTCTTGACAAAATTCCCCAAAAATTATTAAAGGATTCTGCAGTCGTTGTCACTCCTTATCTGAACCTTATTTTTAATATATCCCTTTCAGAGGGAATTTTCGAAGTGACTGGAAAAATGCTAGAGTTTGTCCAATTGTCAAATCTGGAAATCGAGAGGAATGTGGCAATTATAGACCTATCTCTTCTATCTTGTCCGCTATTTCTAAAATTTTCGAAAAAATTGTATTTGATCAGCTAAACCAGTACCTTATTACAAACCAGATACTAACTCCAAATCAATCAGGGTTTAGAAAAGGGTACTCTACTTGCTCTTCTCTATTAAGAACCAATGAATGGTTGGTAAATATGGATAAGGGATTAATTAATGGCGTTGTCTTTTTAGACCTGAAAAAGGCTTTTGATACAGTTGATCACGATATAATGATTAAAAAATTAGAATTTTATGGTATCAAAAACACTGCTCTCCGCTGGTTCACCTCATATCTTAGTCATAGAATACAAGTATGCAAAGTTGGGGTAACAATTTCAAAAAGCGAGAAAATCACAACAGCTGTGCCACAGGGATCAAATCTTGGTCCCCTTCTGTTTTTGCTCTACATCAACGATTTGCCGAATTGTCTTGACTCTTCAGTCCCAGCACTATTTGCTGATGATACTAATCTTACTGTAAATGGCTCTACCACATGCGAGATACAGGAGAAGTTGGAAAAGGATTTAAATAATGTTCACATGTGGCTATTAGCCAATAAATTAATCCTAAATGTTAATAAAACTGAGTATATGTTAATTGGATCAAGACAAAGGCAGTCCCAAATTATTACTGAACCAATTCTATCAATAGGATCTGAAAGCATCAAACGTGTTTCGTCTACCAAAACTCTTGGCGTTATAGTAGATGAATGCATCACCTGTAAAGATCACATTGATAAGGTAGCAAAAAAAGCCTCGAAAGGGATTGGAATACTGAGACAATCTAAAGACTTACTTCTTAAAACTATTTATGGCGCTTTTGTTTTACTGCATTTTGACTATTGTGCGTTAGTATGGGATAATTGTTCCAAAACCTTGCAAAACAAACTACAAAAGCTACAAAATAAAGCAGGTCGAATAATCACAGGTGATTGCTACGAAACACCCTCTGATGCTGTCAGAACCAAACTCGGTTGGGACACCTTACAGGAAAGGAGAGAGAAACAACTAGAAACTCGAATGATACAAATAATGAAAGGAAATTCAATTGATTACCTCCGGGAGTTTTTTACTATCTCTTCTAATCAAATGTATCAATTAAGAAGTAACAACCATGTTCTCTACTTGCCTAAACCCAACACCAACACTTTGAATTAAGCGTAGCTTTAGTTACAAAGGTGCTGCAGCTTGGAACGATATTGAACTTTATAGAAAGATTTGAACTGTATAAATTTTATAAGATCACTTTTTTAACATTTTTAACATTATACCTCGAAATTATGTACATATTTCCTATTTTAGTCTTTTAGTTTTAAATACACGGCCATCTGAAAATCAACCTTTTTATTTTTTCAAAAATTTATTATAACTTTTACATATTTTAGAGCTATGGTTGAGATGTTACCGTGTGAAAATAATTGTAAATAATAATATAATAAATAATAATAACCCTTTGTGTTAACAACAAAGGCTCTTGGCTGCCATTCCTTAACAAAGCTTCAAGTTACATCAAAGGCTTGAAAAATGAAGTAAGAAATCTGATGTACAATACGAAACGAAAAACTGGTTTTGTTGGTTTTATTCTTGCAATTGAGAGTGTGAAATCGCTGTTCAAAGAATTGATTGAGAAAACCGATCCACCAATGAACTACTTGCTAACCTACAAATTTAGTCAGGACCATCTGGAGCTGTCTTTGGTGCTGTTCAATCAGCAGGAGGCTTTAACAACAATCCAACTGCCCAACAGTTTACAGCAGCATATAAGCGACCCTTGATGAGAAGTACCATCGAAGGAGGCAAAGGCAATTGTCAAAAATTAGATCCAACATCAATTCTCCATATTATTGATGACACCTGCAATGTAAATGAAGAAGATGTAAGCATCACAAATGCACAAATTATAAGGAAATATGACCTGGAAGCAGGAGTTCAAAACAACAGTTCAGTTCAAGAACATAATTCTGGATTTCCTCCCACTGTTTCAAAATCTTTCCGAGTTTAAAAAGGCATCCATATCCTATATTGCAGGATATGTTGCAAAAATGACAGAAAAAAAAAACTTACTGTATGCCATGTTGTCAAGCACTCGGCTCATCAGCTCACAAACCAGAGTCAAGTTTCTTGCTGCTTAAGGATAGAGGCAGTCTATTTAAACCAACAGAAAGTGTCATAACTGTATGTGAAAAGACTGAAAAATGTTTCCAACGGATGATGAAGGTTACTGATGGGAAGCTTCCTCACTGCAAGGGTATTGTCGATGCCATAGCTCTATCTGTGTTGGGTGGAATTAATCATTCAAAGGTTTTTAAAGAGCTTCACAACCATATGTTTGACACCCCTGTAAATGACAATTACATTGGTTTGATTAAAAATATTTCTAAGTGTCACTGCAAAGTGACACTTAGAAAATGATGAAACTCTGATTTTGTCCAAAAATTTGTTTTTATATATTCATATTAAGTAATGATATATCTCTCAATTCCAGCAACTTTTTAAGAATATGTTAAAAAGCGACAGAGATATAGGGGGAAATGCTATGACCACTGAATAGCTTTGCGCAAAACTTGTAATTATGATTGAACTTTGCTGGCGTCAAATATCAAGGTGTGACATTCACTAAAGTATAAGCCGTGTTATTGTTCGGAGGCATATATCATTGCGACAACATTAGAAAGCTTATAATATAGTATTTACAGAATCTCTCGAAGTTCAAGCTATGTGCGATGTCGGGTTCAGTGACTTTTCTACTGCGTTTGCATTTTGTAGTCTATAGACTATAATTCTATAAAGATAAATGTGATAAACACCTTGCCAAAAAATATTAAAGTTTGGTTGTTTGTGATTGGTTAACCGCACAAGGTCACAAGTGGATTAACATTGGGGGCGGAGAAAATGACAGAAAGAGTGCAAACCTCGCCAAATCTTAAATCGCAAGATAAGTCAAGTTGTCTGCTTTATATCAAAGCAAATACAATAGCTGTCAAAAAGTGTGAACACTCTTTTCCTCTTTGGGCATTTGAGATGAGAAATATGATATTTTGGAAGCTCCTGAGTTAAACGATCTGTCGTTAAATCTTGTGGCGCAAGAGGTGCTATTTTTCAAAAGATGTCTCATTGCGACTACAGGTTAAAAGGTGGTGAATTTTGGTTAAAACAGTAGCTTCTACAGTTAGTTATCATTGCATATACCAAATTTGAGAAACGTAACTAAAATATTGAGCACGCAGTGACAATTTTTCTGAAACAGGAATCTATCAAATGATGTAACCTTAACAAGTTGGTTCTATTCAACCACCAATAAGTCATAGAAAGAGTGATCAAGATCACAAATATTTAAATGCCAGTTCTTTTGGAACCAATAGAATATTAATCCAATATTATAGTACGCCATGCTTTTTAACATAGTGCACAATGCTTCATATTATATTTATATAGTTGTATATAATTATAAGGCGGGGGCTACAATTTAAATAGCAGCAGCTAAATTTACATACTGCGAACTTGAAAGTTTAACCTTATAGTTTTAGTTTTTGAATCCACGAAGTAGATTATATGCTATCTTGTTAGCTGTTCACTGTTAACTTAGCCAGTCACCGACCAGTATTACCAAAAATTATGTAATTACAAATCACAGCTTGGTCGCGAGACAATCCAATATGGCGGTAAAGAGGGGTTATAATTTATGATTTATATTTATTCACGCATTGAAATATGACGACTTGTGGATGAAAATGGAGCGAATGAAGAACTACGTGTCTGTGTTTTGTAGCAGCATGATTGCTGTACACTTTTCAGAAATTTACGAAATAGTACGTATTGGTTTTTGAAGCGTCTACCATGTGTTTCCTATTTGGAGTCATCTGGACATTTAACACTCAGCATTTGAATCCGTTTTGGCGTTCGAATGAAGGCAAAATTTGGTAAAATATGAGCTACAGAATTATTTTAAAGTATAACAAGCAGTGAAGAAGTAAGCCATTAAGGTTTCAAGTAAAATTGGCCCATTAATGTTTTAAATATATAAACAAACGTTTTGCGACAGCTGACCTCTGAACTTTGATAAATAAAGCTGATCGGCATGTTCTATAAAGTCTGTATCATGCAGCGCCGATTTCTTACTCCTGCTTAGTTTCTCATATGAAACAATTATGTTTTAAAGTACATAAATACACAGCGTATATTAATATGGTTCGGCTCACCGCACACTGACTTTCGTTGAGTGCCAATGTTTATTGTTTAGAACGTAATTCTCCAAGATGTTGTTAGAATTCCGAAATGTAATACGACCCAATATGAAGTCTGCGCTGATGTCGAATATTATTTCACTCAACGTAGACACAATAAAAGTGCAACAGTGATGTATTTATATGTGATTCTTGTTCATGTTTAACTATATATCATCTTTATCCTGTCTCTGTTTCAACATATCATTTACAAACAATTGAAAATACTTTATTAGTCAATTGTGTATTGATGTGTTTCATACTATCTTGTTTCACAGCAGGAGCATTGGCCTTATACTGGTTGTGGTGGGCCGGGCAGGAGTCTCTATTATTATGGTGTGTACGAATTCGTCACGCAAAAAAACATGTTCGGATTATGCACGCATAAGACACAGTTACTGTGGGTTTTTACTACCATGGAGTTCTGTGTTTGAATAATTAGACCATATAGGCTTAGTACAAAAAGATTATTTTAATAACTAGTTTCGGAGTATAACTCCACCTTCAGGTTAAAAGTAACTAAAGATATAAAACTTTAAAAACAATTACAAATTTAGTCTAAATTTGTAATTGTTTTTAAAGTTTTATATCTTTAGTTACTTTTAACCTGAAGATAGTTATACTCCGAAACGTAGTTATTAAAATAATCATTTTGTACTAAGCCTATATGGTCTAATTATTCAAACACAGAATTATTAAAATGAGGCTTAGAGAAAGTTCCGTCATACACGATTTGAAGATACCATGGAGTTGTTTATAATAAGTGTTCAACTAAATATCGTCCAACAATTAGAATTGTGAATATTTTAATCTGGAATAACTGTTTTAGCGCAAATTACTGGTATGCGCGCATATATTATTTTCTGATTATATTCTAGACTAGCTTGTGCTTGTCGGCCATTCACTTTTTAAAATTGTCAATTGACTACTGGGTAGGGTGGGGCAACGATTTATTGCTATTCATAGATTCATGTACGCGTAGCATACCTATTTTTACTTTACCCTTAGCAATCATAACCATTTAACCATTACAGCAGCTTCTCATCCAGCAGCTTCTCATCCAGCAGCTTCTCATCCTCATTGAGCTATGAAAATCATTGTAAGCTGTACATTTGGCTACAACACGCTACCAAAGTTCGGTGAATTTAATCGTCACAAAAACTGTTGTAAATCCAATTCATTCTTCCACAATTGGCCCCACAAATAGTCGACCTGCATCTAAGGACTTATAGCCTTATTAATATCATTATCGAGACATAAGCATAAGCAAAATCGCTGATTTCTACTGGTTGCCGCTTTTGAATTTGCATGCTTAGGCAAAACACTTGGTTGTTATTGGTTGTAACTGAACGGGACTAAACCCTGAATAAAGTGAACGTCGATACATGTGTCATGCATCATGTTACAGCGGATCTTTCAAACTTATAGCTTGATTGATCGTAGTGAATTATTGTTAGGCCTATATACTGATTCAAAGAGAAGGTGGTTTCCTTGCGCTCTTCTCAGATATAGAAAGAAGTGTGACTGAATGACTTCGTGTATACAGTTATTAGTAGATGTTTTGCTGCCAGAACTTGATCGGTCAGTAATCAGGTCTCAAGGGAATTCATACATACTGTACCATTATAAGGAAGTGAAAATATTTCAACTATCAAAATCATTTGCATGTAATAATAATTGCTTTACTGGCTACAGTTTGGTTGCAAATGCATGCGATTTACCGTTACGTAGTCGCTCATACAAGTATGACAGGTCCCCAATGCAGGTATAACTCTTCATTGCACGCATGGAAAATTGTGTTTCCCCTTGTATAATTACTTAGTGAAACCCACCTACAATAACAGATTGTGCATTTGGATGCATAAACAGCCAAGTCATACCAAAAATACATGTCAAACCCAATCTGGGCAAAACTGTACTGTTTCAAGTTATCACATATTTACTATATACTCCAGTTGGATATACTCGCTTTTTGCATATGCACCTATAATATTGGCTCGGGAACGGAATTAGCAGAGGTCGCATTAGCATATATTCACTAACATAACCAATCATATCTTGAATTTTGACGAAAGATCATTGCATAAATGACCATAAGTCCGCTTTCGTCCTTATATGCAGGTCAACTAATAAAACTGTATAATTTCTTTTAACTCCTTTGATTACAACAGTTATATAGACACAGTATGGTGATATATTCTAAAATTTTCACACAAACAAGGTCACTCATAGGCGACGACAACATTTAACTCACGAACAGTTTCTTGCCAAAATGGTTTGAAATTGAACCAAATTGGTGAATATTAATAATATATCAATCTCCACATATTACAACTCAAATTTTGAAAATTCCATCACCCAGTGCTCCGCAAATTAAAAATATTTCACTCAAATAGCTTGACAACACTCCTTGTACTGGCAGCCATGGTGGTCCCTTGAAAATGGTGGCCGAATTCCAAAGTTGGCTTCATTTCCTATAGGTAAGGAAGCTCTATCCAGGTTCTATATTTTTAGATCAGTGGTCCACCTTAATTGAGCTACAGCAGCACTCATGAGAATGCCACATCCTTGATGAAAATCTGCACGATGACCATATCACCATGGTCGTCCATGGCATTTCGGACTCGTATATGAAGATATTCATCCACCACTTTTGGAAAGATATACGAGATAGTTCATGGCGGAAAGATAGTTCATGGTGGAAAGATAGTTCATGGCGGAAAGATAGTTCATGGCGGAAAGCATTCAAAGAGAGAAAAACTGAACAAACTTATCCTCTGTGTTTGCGATGTTACTCTGAGTGCATATCCACACCGGGCAAGCTTGAAAAATATGCCCGGCCACGGTGGGAATCGAACCTACGACCTTTGGAATACTAGCCCAATGCTCTTCCAACTGAGCTACGCGGTCAGGACGGTTCGAGTAAGTGATATTTCAGAACAGTATCTAGTTCCTTCAATACCAATGTATAAAATTCATATTACTAGAATACATTGGTATTGAAGGAACTAGATACTGTTCCAAAATATCACTTACTCGAACCGTCCTGACCGCGTAGCTCAGTTGGAAGAGCATTGGGCTAGTATTCCAAAGGTCGTAGGTTCGAATCCCACCGTGGCCGGGCATATTTTTCAAGCTCGCCCGGTGTGGATATGCACTCAGAGTAACATTGCAAACATATTATTCACCTGAGTACACAACACCAACACAGAAAAAAAAAATTCAAACTTATCCTCTTCGGCAACAATTAAATTCTAGTTCAGCAGCAATTTATATTCATTAATTCATATACATGGTCTATTAAATTATGTGCATAACTTCTCCCTTGTACTGTTAAATTGATCCAAAAACGGAAAACGTGCACTTAATCTTCAAGTGATATAAAATATTATAATGTTCGTCTTATAACTTTTCTGCTAGACAACCATTTTCTTCAAAAAGCCAAAATAGGTCGTAAACACACTCCGTTCCCAAGCAAATATTTCGCGATCAAAAAGTGAAAAACCCACAAAACTTCCTTGAATGACATAAATAAAGATAATTTTCTGAAATAAAACCAGTACCACTGTAGATTTTCCACAAAGGTTAGAAATGCCTATATTTGTACTGCTCAGCCCTGATCACTTGCATTTTTTGCCCACTTGTTCCTTCATCTTGGATTTTTAATTTTGGTCATGTCTTGTTTCTAGTCTACAGAATAGGAGTTGGCGATCTATACCTCCTATATCTATGGACAACACGAATCACGATTTTTAAAATTTTTGTGCAAAGCTGAAAAAAATAGATGAAATTTGAACACTTTTACACACAGAACTATCAATTTCTAATATATATAAAGTAGGTATATTATTTTGGTTTCTATTGGCTTTATTTTAATGTAAAATTCAAAACGAAACTCTACGTAAAACGATTTTAAATGTGAGTTGAAATCAACTGGTTTTTCCCGTTGTATATAAACTCTTGAACTCGAGTTTCACTTTGAAATAAAATAAATTTAATTTATAATGAATTTATACAAAGGTTAATTTAAAGGGTAATGGCAATAAAAATTTTTATTGCTTTATCTGAAAGAGCATGAAAAAATAAGCCGATTGGCCATTTACTGCTCTATTCTATCTCATCTGGTTCTGAAGTTATACGCAAAAATGTGCAAAATATAAATTGCTGATTCAGCACGTGTGACGTCATTGGTACGGTAAGTATGTTTAATGAATACTAAACTGAAGCATAGCTCAGTTATTATGGGCCCAAATCAAATGAAATTTTGGATACTGATTGTACATGATGAGACGCATTGAAAAACACTTCTAATTTTGTTGCCAAGGTAACAATGTCGTTCCCAGGCCCCTTGCGCCAATTTTATAAAACAGCTTTATTCATGTACTTATAAGAATAAAATAATGTCAGAAGTATGTGTACCATACCTATACATGCCAAAAGTTTACTTGCATGATAATAATTCGAAAATGACATACACATAGATAAATGCAACTAGTTATTCAAAATCAGTGTAAGGGGCCTGGGAATGACTGCGTTGCCTTGACAACAAAATTAGAAGTATTTTCCCATGCGTCTCATCATGTACTATCTGTACGCAAAATGTCATTTGATTTGAGCCAATAATAACTGAGCTATGCTTTGTTTACTACGGTGGCCCATAGGGGACATGCTATAAATTTAAAAATTCAGCCTTCAGAATTTTATTTAAGGTGGCTCCCTAGGGTTTTATTTCCGGGGGTTACGTTCTTCGTATACATGTAAACAAAACTCGTGTGACTTCAAAATACGAACGAACGTTGTGTTTTATATGGAACTCTTTTTTGAAACAAAAGTGTGAACTTTGCTTTAGTTGAAAGCATAAAAGAGTTCTAAAAGCCAAAACGATACTTGGATGTGATGTTTCAAAAGAAGATAATGTAAACTTGTTTTTTTTCAAGCGGTATTCTGGATGATTTTTGAACCGCCGTACGTGAGGTTCGATCGTGAACATTGGGATATAACGTTTCATCAAGAGTTTGCAGTGTTTTCTCCACAATCTAGCAGCACTTATGACAATAAAGATGACTTAAATAATGAGCCCTCTACGGGTGAAATGAGCAGGGCCGAAACTCCAAACATACCGCTATAAAAACTGAAATTTGAACGGGCATTTTGCGAAAATATCCGACAATAGTACTGACACGGGACGAATTTTGACAAACATTTTTCAAATTAATACCAAGAAGTCATAACCAGTAATTACCTAAATATCTTTGCCATTTTTACATGTATAATCCACGCTTAGTTGACCATTAACCGACACAGTTATAAACAGTATATCAAACATAATTTATATTTTGTGATTTCAAAAAAGTCATGCCTTGTTGTTTTATGCAGAATGCATGTACACGTCAGTGGGGTATTAAATTGTTCGCGTAAAAATCTAGTAAAAATTGCCAAAATTAATCCCAAATTTCTCCGTTTTCCTTCGGTAAAATTTTTTAAAACTTTGCACATTTTTTAATATCGGTACAACAAGTGCAATATCCTTTTTTCTTAAAATTAAATCGAAGGGAAAATTTTTAATATTGATTTTTGACGTTTTTTAAATTTTCTAAGAAACGTATCGATTTAATTTTTTTAAATTGAGGGGAAAAATTCATTATAGAAGTATTATCTTTTATGCAAAGTTTTAAAAAATTTCACTGAAGGAACTTTTTAAAATGACCTGAAAAAGACAAATTTTGAGCTTATTCTAAGCATGCTGTTGCCATGACAACATATTTTTAACACAAAAGTAGCAATTTGCAATGTTCAGGAGAACATTGTCAATGTGTCCAATAAATTTCGTTTATATGTCATGTAAAGTAAAGAAACAAGAGTCTCCTGAATACTATAGTGTAGTAAATTAAAAAACCCTAGGGAGCCACCTTAAGGCCTTCAGAATTTTATACAAGGGCCTTTCTGAATTTTATGCAAGGCCTTCAGAATTTTATACAAGGGCCTTCAGAATTTTATGCAAGGCCTTCAGAATTTTATGCAAGGCCTTCAGAATTTTACGTAAAGACTTCAGAATTTTATACAAGGGCAGTCGGAATTTTATGTATTAAAAGCCTTCAGGATTTTATACAGGACTGAGCCAACAGAAAACCACTGCGCAAAGAGGAGTACTTAGTGTAACCCTTGCAGTATGGCAAAATAGTTTTTGAAACCTTGATATACAAAAGAATGTTTTGTTGTTCATGCGGAACTGCTGTTTTACACGAAGCAAATTATTGTCACGAGTGTGGTTCAAGCATTATCAATCAAAGCGCCGAGGATATTGAAAACAATCTCCCAAATATTATCGAAGGCTATTTTAATAGAGGTTATCAGTATACCCCAATTCTTGGCCTGCTTGAAAAGTATCATGGCGTGAAGATCCATATACGTACACTTAAAAGAAAACTACGCGAGTACGGTTTAAGGCGAAGGGAAAGCAATTACGATGAAGCAACTGTTCGTGAGCTTATCACCAGAGAGATGCAGGATGCTGGAAAACTTGGAGGTTATCGATACATGTGGCATGCCTTACGATTGAGACATCATATTAGTGTCCCACGCAGAGTTGTTGCCACTATTATGAAGGAAATTGACCCTGAGGGTGTCAGGGAACGAAGAGCTAGGCGCTTGACTAGACGTAACTTCATATCGTTTGGACCTAATTTCACTTGGCATATAGATGGTAAGTGTTGCGTTTTCTTGGCATCGGCCATCGTGAAACATGTTCCTATGTTCAGTTAAAGTAATGTACATTATATAGGTCTGCTTTGGTCCTACCACACCAAGGTGACAAGTTGCAATGATCGCACAACTGGTCCATGCGATTTGTTGCCTTCTGTGACCAAATTTGGCAAGCCCGGTGTTATCTAAGGCGCTTACGCAGCATTTTAGAGTTTATTTAGTTTGAATTGGGTGGTTGGAAAAACAATACGTAATAACTAATCCGACCCCCTAAAAGTGTCTAAATGTTTGGTCTCATGTTGTATTAAAATGACATTTCGCTTATACCACCCCCTCCCCCCAAGTTGCCTTTTCACTTCAAGGACAGTGAAAACAAATTTTGAAAGAAATCTATATATATAATCTTGTTACAGATTTTTCCGTATCAAGCTTATAACTCTTTAACTCTTTGTTTAATTTTTTGACTGAAAGTTATGACCTGTCGGTGACCATCTTCGATTAATTCTTAACGTCATTAACTATTGTTTTGATGGCATCTGGAGTGGGGTTAGCCTAATATATATAATTACATCTAGTAAATTCAGTAACAATTAAAAGTTGTTTAATTGAAAATGCATGTTTTAATTAAATTTAAAATTTGAAATAGCAACCAAAAACATGTTTCAGGTTCATATTGTTCACTGGCTGCCAAGATAAAAAAACTTGTGTAACTTCATTTGTGATGTAATATGCATATCCTCAATAATCCCAGATTGCTTTCAGTAAAAATACTTCAACAATCATGCAAGATTAAAAAATTCGTAACAAGATATTTTGTAGATTATTTTAAACGTTCTTCAAATGAGACAATAATGTGATTGCCCTTTGATGTTATTTTATAGGTTATGACAAGCTGAAACCCTATGGTTTTCCTATTCATGGGTGCATTTGCGGTTTTAGTAGGAGGATTATTTGGTTACAGCTTGTCAAGTCAAATAACAATCCCAAAGTTATTGCACAGTTGTACCTTGATACAGTTATGTCATTGAAAGGTTGTCCCCAGATTCTGCGGTCCGATTGTGGGACAGAAAATGTTATTGTTGCTGGAATGCAGGCATATTTTAGAGCTACTGGAAATGATGAATTTTCAGGTGCAAAATCTCACCAGTACGGATCGTCGCCTTCTAATCAACGAATTGAAGGTTGGTGGTCATTTTTCCGAAGGAGTAACTCTGGGTGGTGGATAAATCTGTTTAAAGACATGTGTGATTCTGGTGTTCTTGAATTAGGCAATGAGTTCCAAATGCATTGCTTGTGGTTTTGTTACTCTAAGCTTATTCAAGATGAGCTTGACAAGGTAAAAGATCAATGGAATAGCCATTATATAAGGAGGTCACGTCATGACACTGTACCTGGTGTTCCTGACATTCTGTATTACTTACCAGAGCAAAGTGGTAGTCTTGATTGCCTTTTTCCTGTCTCACAAGGAAAAATAGCCGAAGTAGAAGAGCAATGCGAGCAAGATGCAATAAACAATCCATATCAAGAATATTTTGAGCATGTTTTGGAAATGCAAAACTTGGAATACCCTGCTAGTACTGATGATGCTTTTGAATTATTCCAACTCTTTAAAGACTTGCCGCATAATTAATAGATTTTTACATGGGATTTTGAGGAGACTGAATCGAAGTGTGACTGTGAATAGTCTTGAATTCTATATCTTATAAAAAAGGCAAAACCTATAGCTATGTAACCTATAGCTGGAAATATAATTGGTTAACATGCATGTTAGTACCTGAAACTACAGGGTGTAGGAACTACCTGAGAAGTATGCAGTATGTACAAAAGAAACTTTAACCATGAAAAATTAAAGTATAGTATGGTTGTTAGAATCAAAATGAACACATTTTATTACTCAATAACAAACTGTTAACATCAACTATCACTAGAAAATGAACATTAAAATAAGGTTTACCATCCGTGTTTTACTAGAATACAACAATAGATTTGTTACAACACATATCATTTTCCATTCTTTAAAAATCACAGGAATTAAAAGTTACAAAAAAAGCGATACGCAGTCAGGTTAAGGATATGCAGTCAGGTTATTTTTCATTTTTCAGAACATGGAGCTAATTCCTCTTCTAATTAGCAAATTGCCTGCGGCAGTCTCTACACACAATTAGTCACAAAAACCTTATTTTAAAGTACACCTTCTAGTGGTCACCTTGTTTTATAAGGATATTATTATATAATTAATACATCCTTAAAGAATACGATGCACTTATAACTTTAACAAAACATTTTTGACCACCAGTCCTGCATGGAGTTGCACCATCATGCCTTGTGCCTTACCTTGCTAAAATGTTTACAATAATTTTGACAGGAATGCAAATACAACCAATAAATAATATTAACAACTAAATATGGAATGTGGAGTATGTTACATAATTTATTATAATGAAATAATTCAATCATGGTTCATCAAAACCTTTAGTATTTAAAAGAGCGAAAGTAATAGCATCTTTAAATTCGTCATAGGTTGTGTGAACAGTTGGAAGAGACAATTTGCATGAACATGTATTTGCCTTCGGAAATTTAGACAACAAACCATTGCCTTCAGGCTTGTGTAAGAAAGCTAAAGACATGTCTAAACCAAGAGGAGGGACATCCTTGCATCCAGTGGAAAAAAACATTATATCTCTAAAACTCACATCAACAGTATGTTCCTCGACATCCTGGAGGTAGTCATTCCAGAAGGAAAGTATTAAAGACTCTTTGGCATGGGCATTTGATCCCAATTCACTTCGAGTAGTATTTGTAAACAGAGAAGAAAGAAGATCAACTGTCAATGGTTGAGGAACATAACAAAATGCAGGGCGAAATATATCAGGATTCTCAAAAACTGCTCCAAGCACACCAAGAACATTTAAACCATCTTTCAAACGTTCCAAAGATGAACAAACCCTTCCTAAAAGGAACCATCGAGCAGTTTCATTTGCAATCATCTGAATGTCATCCAAAGATTTAACTTGCTTTAATGTACCAGCTAAATCGAGAACTGTCTGGAAAGAAGGTTGAGTAAGACAAGTCTGGGCATCAGGTACAGATTGACAATTGATCAATGCCAATAAATAATTCCTTAAATCAGGGTCATAAACATCACTTATATCTACAGAAGCAGAACGAACACCATGCACTAATGAATGATATAACCCTGGAGAAAAGCATCTGATGGCTGGACCACCATGTACTAGTGACATGGCTATAATTTGGCCTGCATAAAAGTAGTGATCGTTGAGGTGACATGTTGCATTGCAAGATAGGAACTTATTTTTTTCAGTTCCACAGAAAATTTGAGAATTGACAATCCATTCAAGAACAAGAGTAAAAAACTCCCTTTTAGGACCACCTTGATCTATAGCTCCCTCAGGTCTACCAATGTCATCACAAAATTTAACTGACACCTTGTTTTGGGGAGAGAAAGACTTTCTAGTTAAGGCCCTTACACTACCTTCCCATATGTGATTGCGACTGATGTTAAATTTACATATATTATCTTGGTTAATAACAGTAGATAAATCTTGTAAAATTTGGTAAAGGCTCTTTTTCTTATTTTCAACTGCAGCAGCTGGCTCTTCAAAAATTTTCTCTTCTGTCTCTGATCCACTGCTAACACATGTATATTCAGTGGTGTCATCAAGTAACCAAGATGCATACATTGCATCTGTTGATGTACTTGCCTCTCCACCAGTCTCCTCTATCTCAATATGACTACAAAATAACAATAATAAGGCCTAGCAAAAAATCTTGCACTGCAGTTACTCCCTAGGGTTGGACCATTAGATATCCTGGGAGGGGGGGTGGGGGTGGGGGTGTCAGATCAAAAAAATTCATACAAGGAGTTGGACTAGGGGAAAAAATCCTGCAAGCAGTTGGGGAAAGAAAAAAAAATTCATGCAACTTCATGAGAAATCCAAGTGAAACTTATTGAGAGCGGGCAGTTTAAGTAGCTAACACTATGGCTCATTTTGAGATATTTATAACCTTACAGTACTTGTGATACATTTAATATTAAACGTCAATTAAATTATAGATTGAAAGGGGGGGGGGTGAATAGGTTTTCGGATCGTCGGATTTCACAGAAAAAATTGTTCAGATATTGGATCTAGCAAATATTTTACACGGATTTGCGGATCTTGTTAATTAATACAGTGGATTGCGGATTTATTTAATATTTTGGATCGGATTGTGGATTTAGCTTGCAATTTAGTTTGGATCCTGTATTGTGACTTCATTGTAGAGCTTTTAGCGCATTCAAATTTAGACAAGACCATTGTCGATCACAGATTTTACTTCAAATTTGGGTGGATCGATGGGTTTCTATACCCCTATTCACCCCCCTGAAAACGAGTTTATATACAGAGCATATCAGACCCGTAACTAGCTATGAGATTTTTTGTGAAAAAATACAAAACAGGATGAATTTATTCAATTAGTGACAGGAATGGATCCAGCATGATCTGATTGGGGGGGGGGGTCATATGTGCCACCTACCCATCAATTTTAATATGCATCACACCTGATTGTGTTGGACCAAGAGTACTTGAATTCTTATGCTTGGATACTTGTAGTACAATTGTGAGACGCACTATGAAATTATAGTCATTGTGTCACTGTTTATGATATTGATTTTTTCTGTAAAACTGCTCCCAGAATGCAGGAAGACTATGAAATTAGTCATTGTGTCACTGCTTCTCATAACTGTTTTTTGTTAAAATTGCTCCCAAAATGCAGGAAACAACATTTCTAAGCCTTAGAAAATCAAACATTTTCTGGGGGAGCATGCCCCAACTCGACTCAGTAAATCTAAAATCCTAGTTATGAGTCTGCATATATATGTGTACACTATCATTAATATTAATTAAACAAACTAATGAATACTGTAGTAGGGTTGTACCAGACGTTTTTTTTAAATATGAGATTGAATGAGAAAATAATACCTTCATCGTTCTGGAATGAACTAATTTCCACACAAGAAAGAATGTTAAGGTATTTCTTGTACTTACGCTTGACAATAATTTCTATGAAACGAATTTTTTATACTATACTAAACTTTCATACAATTGCTCAATACAGAAGTTTCGTGCCAATATAGTTGCTTGGGGGCTTTCAAAAAAAATTCCTGCACAGCTTCTACTCCGAAAAAAAAATTCCGACAAAGCTTTGCACTCAAAAAAAATTCTTACAGGGAAAATTTCCCTCCCCCTTCCCAGGGTATCTAATGGTCCACCCCTTATCTACACACTCTCATTTTTTAATGTGGGCAGTTGTAATAGTTTTCTTACCTACAGTACCTTACTTTTTCATACTTGTTTGTGCCAATTGATTATACTCGTAATCAATGTTGATCTGTGATCATGTGTTCTGACCAACCTGTACCAACGCTAACTTTTTTCAGAGTATGGCCAGTTGGCCACTGAATCTAATGGCCACTTATTACCCGATGTTTCTTTGAAATATGTGTGCACTCTCTAACAGCCTAATGCAGATTGTTTTGCTGGTCAAACAAATAACACATGGGCATTGTAGTATTGGATAACAGGGGGAACACAACAGGGGGCTAGTGGGGCTTGCCCCATCTCCTAGTTTTCAGCCCTCCTAATAATAAGTGTCCAACAATTCAATTAATACCAAATTACAGTATTGTATGATACTGTAAGTATAAATACTAACCTTTCAAGTGGTTCTTCCTGCAAGCCTTCAGCATGAACAGGCTATTAATAAAAGTAACAACATTCTATCAAGAACTAACTAAAACAACTTTATATAATTGTGATATCATATACTGTGGTAGTTTTATAGGTAGCTTATATCCTGTTATGTCAAGGCAATCATTGAAAATTAAAATCAACATGTTTCAATACCATATGTGAAGCCTGAGGAGGAAAGGTATATATGCAACAACAAGTTGATGACAGGTGTCATCCCCAAGACTGTTGTTTGCTTATTGATAGCAGCCCATGGCCGGGCAGTGTGTTTCTGATTAACAAATTTAGCAAAATGAAAACAAGAGGTGATGCGTACAGTTTCTCACTGACATGATTTTACTCAGGATTGACAGGTAATTTTATTAAAATACATGCCCATGCTATACAATATTATGTTTCCCTCACATACAGTGCATGTTTTATTCTCCCATCAACAAGACAAACTATAAGCATTTTAAACAATAAACTATTTCCAAATAATGCTCAAGAACGAAGGAAAATGGAATTTTAAAAGTGGAGGTTCTAAATATCCACTAAATATTTCAATCAGCACTCTCACTTTTAAGCAGGGCATTTGGACATCTATTAGAAGTGATTTTTAAGGAATTTTAAGCGAATAATTTCAACGATGCTGCTCAACATCCTAATTACAGAATGAGACAAAAATTCAGAGGCCCTGCCCACGTTTATGGAAATTTTACTGAATTTGAGGAATTGTTACGGATAATCTGAGGCAATAGGAAGTGAGACTGACTTCAATACACAATGTTTTGACTTTTTATTCAGGTTTGGTCTCGACAGCAAAAGTGCAAAACAATGATGTACAAAGCAAATAATGAATGTACTTACTGTTTGCGAACTATCTTTGTTTTCTACTTGCTTTTCAACAGACTCATCGGCGTCGCTGTTTTCGTTGCCCGAACTATAAAGTTCATTCAAACGTGCTGAATAATATTCCGCCCAACGGCACAAATATAAAACAATCTTCGAATATGGTTTTCCGATTTCTTCCTTGTATCTTTGTAACGTGAACGGCTCATCAGAGCCAGGCAGCGACTCTGCTTTGGTCTTGTCCGCGTAAAGAAGACAATAGAATTTCTTTTCTTCATTCTTAATCAAGTCTTTATTAAAACGATGGTGTTTTTCTGCTGCTTTTGTCAACAGATCGTCATATGAAATATTTGCAGCCACTGACAGAGGTAAAGTTGCGCTATTGCCCCTCTTAACCCGTAGACCTCCGTCTTTGTTTGTCATAATTCCAATTTGAATTTTACATGTTAACACTTTTGAGGATGCTTTACCTTTGATGTCTAACTTAAACCTTTTCCCATTCTTTTTGGTGAAATGTTTTGCTCGATCTTCTTCCTTGTATGCTCGAAATTGAGCAAAGGACATCCGCCTGGAAGTTGTTTCTGTTACTTTGGCGTCTCCCCCGCTGCTTTCGCCGTTTTCCTTTGGTGTACTTACTTCTTTGGCATTACTTTCACTCACTTTGCTTCCACAGTTATGACAATATTTTGCGTTGGACACGCATGATTTACCACAGTTTGCACAAAACATGACTGCCCTTCGTATGACACAGAACCACAGCCAACAGAAGTTACAGAACACGTGCGAGAACGAGCACACAGCACATGCGCAAGGCCAGTTCATAAAATTCCAAAGTTATATTCCAAAGGTATGCATAAAATTCCGAAGGCCTTGCATAAAATTCTGAAGGCCCCACATAAAGTTCCGAAGGTTTTACGTAAAATTTTGAAGGCCCTGTATAAAATTCTGAAGGCTTTACATAAAATTCTGAAGGCCTTGCATAAAATTCTGAAGGCTCTTGTATAAAATTCTGAAGGCCCTACATAAAACTCCGAAGGCCTTGCATAAAATTCTGAAGGCCCTTGTATAAAATTCTGAAGGCCTTGCATAAAATTCAGAAAGGCCCTTGTATAAAATTCTGAAGTCTTTACGTAAAATTCTGAAGGCCTTGCATAAAATTCTGAAGGCCCTTGTATAAAATTCTGAAGGCCCTACATAAAACTCCGAAGGCCCTGCATAAAATTCTGAAGGCCTTAAATAAAATTCTGAAGGTTGAATTTTTAAATTTATAGCATGTCCCGTATGGGCCACCGTAGTTTACTATTCATTATGCTGAATCAGCAATTTATATTTTGCACATTTTTGCGTATAACTTCGGAACCAGATGAGATAGAATAGAGTAATAAACGGCCAATCGGCTTATTTTTTCATGCTGTTTCAGATAAAAGCAATAAAAATTTTTATTGCCATTACCCTTTAACTAAGAAACGTTTGCAAACAATGCATAGGAAAGACTTGAACATCAAGAACAAAGTGAAGTCCACATTACAAAGTCATACATAAACAATTGAAACAAACTTGCCCTATACTTTAGGATTTCTCATTCTAAATCAATTCCTGTAAATAAATATGTTTACAAATGGTAAAAAGGAGTCAAATTGAACCTATTTGATGTTAAATTCACCAAATTTGTTAAAGTGGCCATTCAATAGTTAATTGTTAGTTAACTCATTACACCGCAATGCCCCCTACTTTATTCTTTCACTTTGTCTAATGCCAGACAATTTTACTTGTAAAGGGGGAGACTTTTGTGCTTTAATGGGTTAACCAAGCAATCGAGAAAAAAGACATTGAACAATTATCAATATTCTGACAGTGTAAATTCCTTATTAACACAAACAACTAGAACACCATTGAACTAATTGTAAAAAAAAGAAAAAAAGAAATAAATAAAAAAAGGTAAATTAATCGTATTTACACCATTAATAACATTAACAACTATAACACCAATTAACTAATTGATTTATCTAACACATCATATTTTACCCTCATGCATAATTTATATAATTTACAACTGGTAGTTCATAAGTTTACAACTGTTCACCAGGTATGGAGCACAACATGAATAGTCACAGTTTGTAATAGTTACAGTTTTCCTAAATGTCAACAACATCAATATCAATCAACTTGTTTGTTCACTCGTCTTAGGAGATAAAGACAGATGCCTTAAGTTAGCTCTTCCTCTGATGATATTTGCAGAAGATCACAAATTGCCAATAATTTATTTGAGACATCATTGAAAGCTGTTAAACAAAGCCTCTGCTCTGGTACCCCAACGTTTTCAAAATAGATTCTTGCATACCACTGCATCTTGCATGCCCCAGGCTTTTGGGACATTTTGCAGTTTTCACAAAATGCCAACTTGCCTTTTACAGCGGAGGGTTTAAACTGCAGGTTGCAGGTGTGCAGGTGCAGGTTGCAGGTGTGATATTCTAGTACAAGATCAAAACTTGACATTCATGAAAAAGTGTGAAGCATGCATAAAATTTTATCTTAGCTAAGTTTGAATTCTCTTTTATAATTGATTTTGTCACTCTTTGTGAGAAACGTCCGCCATATTTAATTCTTATCTCAAAAACACCTGATATCCCATATTATCAATAGTTTTCCCTATACCGCCAAAACATGTGATCACAGAGTAGGTACTATGTAACTACTATGTACCTACTATGTACCTACTAAGTACCTACTATGTACCTACTATGTACCGACTATGTACTTCCTATGTACCGACTATGTACCTACTGTATATCAGTGGTACCTACTCTGTGATCACATGTTTTGGCGGTATGGGGAAAACTATTGATAATAGGGGATATCAGGTGTTTTTGACCTAAGAATTAAATATTGCGGACATTTCTCGCAAAGAGTGACAAAATCAATTATAAAAGAGAATTCAAACTTAGCTAAGATAAAATTTTATGCATGCTTCACACTTTTTTATTAATGTCAAGTTTTGATCTTGTACTAGAATATCACACCTGCAACCTGCACACCTGCAACCATTGACCTGCACACCTGCAACCTGCACACCTGCAGTTTATACCCTCCGCTTTTACAGCCACCTTCTTACCACACAAAAGACAACAAATATTCTTTGTAGCACTTGTTACACCAAGGATGTTCACTGTAATCTCACTTGTTGCTGAAATCGCTTCTACATCAGGCAAACATTCACAGAAGTCAAGGTGCAATTCCAGTCCTCGCACGAAGCTATTCGCTGCGAGTGCATGCATGAGCACTTTCATCCAATCACAATGCTTAAGAATTCATTTTACTTAGATATGCAAGCACTTGCAGCGAGCTGTGAGGAGCTTTGTGCGAGGACTGGAATTGTGCCTTAATGCTGTATTCACATTCACTTTTTGGGAGTATTGACAGACTTCTCATTTTTTGTTACTTTTAATCTCACTCTGTCAAAGTTCCTCCCTCTTCAACTGTTACAACATGGCTTCCCCAAATTATGAGCTTATAAATCCTGAGGAATCAACAATATAACATTTTTCACAGTATTTTTATTGAATATGACATTCTTCACTTCATTCAGGTCCTTTACAGTTCCTTTGACACATACTAGTTAGTCAGCAGCAACTTGTGATAAAGATGCAATGGTAATGTTTTTGTCCATACTTAGATAATCGGATTCAGCAGCGACAATTCTGGGGTTTTTACCAATAACTATGTCCTCTCGCCCATACTTCCTGCTGATTGAATAGTTTTGGATCTTCTTTGGGGATTTTTGCACTGCCATGGCTTCCAAACTTTGATGTTTTTCACTAACGATGCAAACAGCTCTGACTACCAAGGACTTTCTGTCAATATCACAGTTGATATATGATGTTCAATTTGATTTCTTCACTGGGGACATTGAATGGACATAGCAGCTTATGTCGATTCAGTGTCGCCAGGGAAAATGCCTCAAGTTTTCTGTTTTCCATTCAATTTCTTCCATGAAAGAGCAAATGTTGGGATTTCAGCACTAGTCTTTCCCCTTTTCTGGGGATTTGCTTCATTTAGTCATTCACCATTCAAATATTTTATTACATTCCGAATATGTTTAAACCTAATATCCACAATTTGGACAAGTGGCAATATTGGCGTCGCCACCTTAAGTAATGCTAGAAGGCGAACGGTTAAATATTAACATAATATGTTCATTCATAAAAAATGAAAAAATATGAATATTCTATCACAGGTAACAATGTAATACAACAAAATATGATAGGGGACATTTTTGGGGGGTACCCTGTATGGGTAATGGTATGAGAAAAATCTTAAACATTAATTTTACTGGTATTGGTATGGAAAATTTGTAATATATTGTACGGAAAATTTGTTTGAACCCTTATTTTACTGTTGTTTGTCTGGAAAAAATTTTTTGAACGTATTTTTGGATATATCTGGGAAAATTTTTTATCCTCCCCAAATTAAAAAATTTTCCCTGGGCCCAGAATTTCTCTGTGCAGCCCTGTTTATACATATGAAATAGCAGTGCCGCATAAATAATGACTATAATACCTTCATTCCTCTTTGCCATTTTGCCAATAAAATATTATGAAAGCAAGACAGATTTAAACAGCAATGATCATGATGTCGAGAGAAATTTCAAGTGAGTGCTATAAATAAATACATCTATAAACCGCTAGTGATTAATAAAAGCTTTATCTATTAAACGTAACTAGCTGAGCATGGCATATTATTTCAAAGCGAGGGCCCTTCGTCATACTGTATTATTTATATAGTATAGGCTGTAAAGCATTGCACTGAAGGTAATATATTAAAAGTGACTAAATATTTACCACAACCCCTTGGTTGTATCCTTACTGTTGGATTATACTCACAGTTTTACATCAAATATATTGAAAAATCTATAATTATTACTCACCAAAAACGTTGATACAATTAACACTACAAATTATTTGCCAATCGCCAGACCTGACCTTGTGCTCAGGTATGTTACTGCCTGGGTCTCAGTTTGTGTATTTTAGACAAAAAATAAAAAAAATAAGTATGGCCTTGATTATTACCATTGAAGTTTTATATGATTTATCAAAGGAGATTCTAAAAGTTGACCTACTTTTTGTTGTCATATGATATATATTTTGAAAAACAACACAAAAAATGATACGTTTTATTCAGAGGCTCTGCAGCAGTATAATTTGTGACTGAAAGGATGCAGAATTGCGATAATCATTCACACACGATATCACTGTTTATTGAATGAATCTGGAAAGTTTGCATTTGGGCTTCATTTCATTATTTTACGCAGATATATTACGACGATCAGCATCAAACAAATGTTAATTGCATCATCAAATGTTATCTACAAATAAATGTACGATTTCCACATTAACGCAGGAAACTGTGTTCCCTTGTTAAAGTGCTTATGAAACAAAATTTTTGTCTCATTTTTTATCATCTTATTAAAAGGTAGTGCTTAAATGATTAAGAATGACGTTTACAGCATGTTCGTATCTTATCTCATTCCCAAGTTATCACACTTTCTATATTTTGAGTTGTGACATCAGTAGTTTGACTCAAAATAGTGGCAATAACAACGAAGTGAACAATTTGGCTGTTTATATGGTTGTTATGGCATTTTGAAGCGATATATCATTGCGCATTCAAGCCGATATCTTGAAGCATAGTTAATGCTTGAAGGGAAGTATGCCATGGTGTAAAAGACCGAGTGAACTATATGTGCTATCAATTTGTAATTCACAAACAATTTTTCATTGAAAATAAGAAACAGTCAACAATTAATACTGAATAATCGCAAGATAGCGCACTATAAGAAGCTTTTATTTATCAGCAGTTCAAAGGTCAGCTGTCGCAAATGATACAATACTTATTGCTATACAAAGAGCCAATTATTACATCAAAACTCAATAGTATACCGACTTCTTTGCATTGTATATTCCAAAATAATCCTGTCACTCATATATACTATATTTTGATTTGAAGCAAATGCCCAAATTCACTAAAATACTCACACAAGGGGCGAATATTCTAACAAGACGCATTACTGACAGATCGCGCGTGCAACACACGCGCAAGATATCATCCAAGCATGGGCAGACCCAGGCATTAACATACCCGAGTATATTTCAGTATTGCATTAGCAGGTTACCCATAAAGGAGCAACTAGCTCTGTGGGTTAAACTGGTCATGTGACAAAGATTGTAAAATAAAATAAAATAACACACTTGTCCCCAGTCTCTTCTCTTCCAATTTCTATATGATCCATTTCCAATGAAATAAATAGTAATTTCTGCAATTGTTGCTTATTACTATAATACGTGTAGGTATTGTGATCAGTTTAAACTGTTATAACATGCAAACATCCTCTGCAAGAGGTCTAAAGGAGGAAATTTGTGAAAAGGAAGAGAAGAGACTGGGAACTAGTGTGTTGCCATGACAACCATATGACCTGCCAAAAATATTCATATGGGTGCACCCACTAAGTGTACTGAGTTTCATTGAATTTTATTAAATACTCACCGAGATATCTGACTTTCTTGTTATTACCATTATCTCAAGTCAAACTAGTGACGTCACAACTCAAAATATAGAAAGTTCAATAACTTGAGAATGAGATATGAAGAAACTGTAACGTCATTCTTCATCGCTCTAGCAGTACTTTTTAGCAAAAAAATAAAAAATGAGGTGAAAATTTCGTTTCATAAGCACTATAATGTTTTTAGCTAATAAAAATAGCAAAATTTTGTCAAATTACCCTGCTCCAAGTTGAACGCATTTTTCGCATGATGAATTTCAAGTGCCATAATGAAACAGTCTGCCACTTATTGTAAGGGATATTATATTTTCAATAACAACATTCATTGCGCATTCTAGCCAATATCTTGAAGCATAATTAATGATTGAAGGGAAGCATGCCATGGTGGAAAAGACTGACTAAAGTATACGTGCTATAATTACTCGCTGGGGCACCTGTGCCCGGGCGAGTATAGGTTTCGGCTCACATTTTTAGTGGATTTCCAATAGTGGATTGCAATTTTCTTGTATAGCCACAAAATAGAATATTAATGAGCTACCCACTTTATCCTTTTCAAAATGGCGGCCTTGGTGGAGCGAGCAAAGTGTTTCGAACAATTTCGTTAAAATTTTCAACGAATTGTACCTGTTTTCTATGGATTTAGCATTGTGTCTAACTTTGGACATTCTTGCTAGTTTAGTTAATGCATTTTTCTTGGTGCACGACTCTGAAAATCCGAAATTTGGATCATTGAATTCCCGTGCACGATCATAATATACTGAATCTGAATATAAACGAGCCAAAGACAATTTCATGGTAAAAGATTATAACTTACACTATACGACGTAGTTTTAATAGATAGCTACTTTATAAGAAGTATATTGGTGTCATATCAATATAAAATTGTCCAACAACAGTTCCTAATAGTTAGCTGTGGCCTGTGGAAACGTGAAAACTGTAGTGTGAAATATGATATTGTATTTGTAATCCCTAATGGCGCAATAAGGATAAAAATGCCATTCAGCGTAAGAAATTGTACTCACGGATGTCAAATTTATTACTAAACAACAGTATTCTAGTGATTTATGGCCTTTGAAAATCAAGCGAAGTTGTATTGTTGACAAATCGCTCGCAGTATGCATTGTTGAATTGTATTGTTGACAAATCACTCCCAGTACGTTTGTCCTTGACCTTGTAATGCCTAATGGCGCAATAAGGATAAAAATACCACCGTTCAATTCAGCGTATAAGAAATTGTATTTACGGATGTCAAATGTATTACTAAACAACAGTATTCTAGCGATTTATGGCCGGAAAGCCAAGCGAAATTGTATTGTTGACAAATCGCTCAAAATTTTAAACTAATTATAAAAAATGCAGTACGTTTGATAACTTTGGTTTTCTCTTTTCGGCCATATACCAGTGGATTCGTCTCATTGATAGTATTTTGAGCCCAAAATATTTTTACTTTGTCTTCGATCCTAGCGAGTAGCGTACGTATCAACTGGCTGCCGACAGAAGAATGTAGCATACAACCTCTGCCTCTGGCATACAACTGCTACAAGTAAAGTTATATTTTATAGTAGACGGGAACGCCGGAAGTTTTTTATTTGCAGGACACCGCATTTTAGTACTGTGTCTGGTTGTACAAAAACTGATCCACCTACCTGCAATACAAACCTAGCGAATTTGAGAGCGGCAGCACTCTCCCCTTGACAAGCAAAATCGACTGGTATGAGACATTAAAATAATAAAGTAGGGTGCATTGCCATAGCCCACATTAGGGAATAGGGCACAATGCAAGTCAGTGGGATAATAACATGTTATTTACCTAAATAAACAGAGCACTGTTATGTGTTGATATAGTCCAAAACCATAGTGAACAAAACTGTAACTGAAAAGTTTAATCTTTATACAGTAATATTCAAAACATAGTTACTAATTTGGTAGGAATTTTAGTCATCTAATTCCCATAATACCTATATGTATGTACTATGTCACCTTCAACAATCAACATAAACATTAACTATTAAGTGATATTACTGTATTAACCTAAAATAACAACACTGTAATATAGTATTTTTGTCCTTATATGTTAATATTTTGTTCAACAATCAACATACTGTAAACTAAAACACTAACACCTAAAATAACAGAACACTGTAATATAGTATTTTTGTCGTTATATGTTAATATCTTTGTCCTTATATGTTAATATTTTGTTCAACAATCAACATAAGCTAAAACATTAACTATTAAGTGATATTACTGTATTAACCTAAAATAACAGAACACTGTAATATAACTAAAACATTAACTATTAAGTGATATTACTGTATTAACCTAAAATAACAGAACAGAACACTGTAATATAACTAAAACATTAACTATTAAGTGATATTACTGTATTAACCTAAAATAACAGAACACTGTAATATATAGTATTTTTGTCCTTATATGTTAATATTTTGTTCAAAAACAAAATTGGAACCGAAACAGTTTAGCACTTATAAAGTTCAAAACATAGTTACTAATTTGGTAACAATCTCTTGCTAGTAACTGTAGTTCAACCATTGATAGCTAGTACATTTAGTCTCCTATTGTAGCATACTACAGCTTCAACAATTAATAGAAACTCTGCTATTTCATCATCACCAAGCTGACAATAAGGTTTTGCACAGGCATTCTCTTGGCTTTTGTATATGCAATATAACTCGCGTAGTTTCTCATCAAATATGGTGAGGCTGACTTTTTCTTCATCTTTCATAAGTAATACTTTTGCAACCACAAGCTTTTTGGACTTCGATTTCAACTGGGCAGAATTACAGTTGGAACACTTGATGACTTTTTGGTTGTCATTATGCAGCAAGCTTGAATTGCATTTATTGCAACAAAGGTATGATGTCACCTTTTCAACAGCATCTGCTGGAAGGGACAGTTGACTGACGTTTTCCACCTTTTGGTCATCATCTCTGGTTACTTCAACATCTGAAGACAGCAGAATGGTCTGCCTATTTATTGTTGTATAATTGCGACCATCGTAATTCTTCAGAATAGCCTTCTTGAATTCATACGATGAACCAGACTCAATTTTTTGTATATCTGATTGCCAGAATACAATTCTAATGGAGCCACTCTCATCTGTCAAAACACCATCTTGCTTGATCAAGGTTTTCCCATTGGATTTAATTGTCTCTGGAACACCTTGAAGCCTCACTCTACCAACAATGTTCACTTGTCCCGTTGAATCCTTGCCAACAAGATCGGAAACAGTGGAAAATGGTACTTCATCAACTTTCTCTTCAACAAAATTGAAATCCGCCTCACTTACATCAGCTTCTGACAACTTTGTTCTTTTGTTGATGTGCATTTCATCATCGTGTGTGAAACGATTTCGTTTAATGCTGAACTGAGATATTTTGACAGGGGATGATGCTTCCCAATTTGCTTTCATTGGTTTCATTTTCTCAGGCGAAAAACAAACAGCACGGATGGTTTTCTCCTTCATGTGCACACTCACATCAAAGTAGTTATTCTCATTTGCACTAACTTTCATTGGTGAAAGGTTGTGCAGGTAGCCAATAATAGGTTCTCCTGTAAAAGAATGTTCACATAATGGAGATTTATCCAAATTCTACAAGTTAGACAAGATCTAAAAATATTTCAAGCCTTGAAAGTCCATAAATTCATAAAGAAATGCAGGAAAAGTCAAACAAACATTTTTGTAAAAGAATGTTCACATAATGGAGATTTATCCAAATTCTACAAGTTAGACAAGATCTAAAAATATTTCAAGCCTTGAAAGTCCATAAATTCATAAAGAAATGCAGGAAAAGTCAAACAAACATTTTTGTAAAAGAATGTTCACATAATGGAGATTTATCCAAATTCTACAAGTTAGACAAGATCTAAAAATATTTCAAGCCTTGAAAGTCCATAAATTCATAAAGAAATGCAGGAAAAGTCAAACAAACATTTTTGTAAAAGAATGTTCACATAATGGAGATTTATCCAAATTCTACAAGTTAGACAAGATCTAAAAATATTTCAAGCCTTGAAAGTCCATAAATTCATAAAGAAATGCAGGAAAAGTCAAACAAACATTTTTGTAAAAGAATGTTCACATAATGGAGATTTATCCAAATTCTACAAGTTAGACAAGATCTAAAAATATTTCAAGCCTTGAAAGTCCATAAATTCATAAAGAAATGCAGGAAAAGTCAAACAAACATTTTTGTAAAAGAATGTTCACATAATGGAGATTTATCCAAATTCTACAAGTTAGACAAGATCTAAAAATATTTCAAGCCTTGAAAGTCCATAAATTCATAAAGAAATGCAGGAAAAGTCAAACAAACATTTTTGTAAAAGAATGTTCACATAATGGAGATTTATCCAAATTCTACAAGTTAGACAAGATCTAAAAATATTTCAAGCCTTGAAAGTCCATAAATTCATAAAGAAATGCAGGAAAAGTCAAACAAACATTTTAGGGAGAAAAAATTGAGTATCACGAGGAAACTTAAGACAAAGTCCTTTGTTTGTGAACATACAGAACGTCTCACATTGACAAACAGTCCAATGATTCTTGGAGTGCATACTATAGTTTCTATTGCTAGATAATGTATTTTTCACATAGCTATTGGACAAGCTAGCTTTTTCAGTAGATCAAATATTATTAATAGTTGAAGCAAATTTGTTGTAGATTTGTGGTAATGTTTTACCACAACTAAAATGTTATAGAAAACCCTCAGATTCAGATATTATTTAATAGACCATTTAATGGCATATACTGTAAAGACAATAATTTTGAATTTGCATAGCGGGACTAAATTGTCGGGCTGGCTATGCCACCAGCCACTTAAAGGGTATATCGCATGCAACTGCCTTTCTAATATATCAAAATTTAAGTTAGCCCTTTCGCAACACGATAAATTTTATTTGAATGCAATTGCTGTTTTACTTTTCCGGTACATTTATAACAAAGACAAGCGGTATCTGGTTAGGGGGGGGGGGTTAAAATGAAATTCGGTTCAATTAGTAAGTGCATATAATTGTTGTCATGCCAACAAACTAGCTTTCAGGTTCCTCTCCTCAATTTGCCCAATCATTTGTTTTCAACACTTTAATATGTAAATTGTAATGTATGGTATTGTGTACTAGCTTTCAGGTTCCTCTCCTCAATTTGCCCAATCATTTGTTTTCAACACTTTAATATGTAAATTGTAATGTATGGTATTGTGTACTAGCTTTCAGGTTCCTCTCCTCAATTTGCCCAATCATTTGTTTTCAACACTTTAATATGTAAATTGTAATGTATGGTATTGTGTACTAGCTTTCAGGTTCCTCTCCTCAATTTGCCCAATCATTTGTTTTCAACACTTTAATATGTAAATTGTAATGTATGGTATTGTGTACTAGCTTTCAGGTTCCTCTCCTCAATTTGCCCAATCATTTGTTTTCAACACTTTAATATGTAAATTGTAATGTATGGTATTGTGTACTAGCTTTCAGGTTCCTCTCCTCAATTTGCCCAATCATTTGTTTTCAACACTTTAATATGTAAATTGTAATGTATGGTATTGTACAATACCTTCTTTTTCTCTTCTTTTTAATTCTTCAAGAAATTCTTCTGATTGAGAAGAATGCTCTTCACTTTGAGACAATGACTTTGGCTCTGACAAACAATCTATAAATGCTAGAATAAATAATTGAAAGTATATTAACTCTTTATATGGCTTGTGCTGTGATGCTCCCTACTTTATTATTTTACTTAGTCTAATGCCAGGTGATTCTAGCCGTCAAGAGGGGTACTGCCAATTAATGGCTTAAAGTGCATATAGCTAGTTTAACACAATGAGAGAGTATCAAACATGATATAAAATATGGAAACTACTACACATTTTATGCAATTAAGACTTGGACAACTTTAGTCAGATACCCCGGCTCCAGCTGAGTTTTCCCCCTGAATTGCCTGGCTATAATCGATCAATCGATTATTTTTCCACAATCAATTACGCTTAACAGTAATTGGATCTTCTATATAAACACCACATAGCGTGATGCGTGAATGAGTTAATTTCTTTCCGGATTAAAAAATTGCAACAAGATTGTGATTGAAATATTACAGTTGATTTCACATAACTTTTCCGTGAATGTTGCAAACTTCGTTCGGAACTTTGTTGTGAAGTTCAAAAGTTCATACTGAAATTCACAAGCCGGTTTGTAAACAAAGCCTCTGATTGGCTTATTTTTGTTCAGGAACCAATCAGGAGCTTTGTTTACAAACCGGCTTGTGAATTTCAGTATGAACTTTTGAACTTCACAACGAAGTTGCGAACAAAGTTCACAACATTCACGGAAAAGTTATGTGAAATCAACTGTAAATGACAAATTGTTTCAAAACATTGTGGGTCAATGTCACTCACAGCGTGCAAAGTTAAATTACCATAGTCTGATCTGGTTACCAGTGCTGCAAAATATCTTTAAAGTTTTTTTATTAGAAGAATTTATTACCATTTGTGTCCAACATTGCAGCATGCGGACATAAACCAATTATCCATAAGAGTGTGAGTCTCGTGAATTTAGTAAAGTTTAATTACAATTTACAAACCAGTCAAACCACAATGGGCTTGTCATATTTAAATTGATTATCAATACGATTAATCAATATTAATTGATTGTCAACAATAACTAATTGATTACTGTACGAAAATTAACTGATGGGAGCAGCTCTAGTGGCAATACACCCTCAATGCACCTTACTTTGTCTAACGCCAGACAGTTTTACTTGCCAAGCGCAAAATGTTTCCACTTAATGGGTTAATGCAAGATAATTATATTATGTTAAAAACAATTTATCCATTATGTTCAACACACAAGAAGTGGTGACAGCATCTAAACTTGTGTTGAACTTTGTTGCATTTTAAACCGGGCATATAAATAATGCATTAGAATTTACACAAATAAACAAATAAAATTCTGAGAATGTTCATCTGAACATCCAACATGACATAATGAAACTAATTCTGAAAAATACATGTAATGTATTATACAGTACATACATTTGGAAACATCCTGTGTGCATGATGCATTCGCAGCTTTTGATTCTGAAGCTACAATAAAAACAAGAATTTTTGATATGACAAATATAATGGGTTAATGCAAGATAATTATATTATGTTAAAAACAATTTATCCATTATGTTCAACACACAAGAAGTGGTGACAGCATCTAAACTTGTGTTGAACTTTGTTGCATTTTAAACCGGGCATATAAATAATGCATTAGAATTTACACAAATAAACAAATAAAATTCTGAGAATGTTCATCTGAACATCCAACATGACATAATGAAACTAATTCTGAAAAATACATGTAATGTATTATACAGCACATACATTTGGAAACATCCTGTGTGCATGATGCATTCGCAGCTTTTGATTCTGAAGCTACAATAAAAACAAGAATTTTTGACATGACAAATATGCTAGTGCTAAGAATACTTCACTCCTATCAAGTTATTGGAAATGTACATACATTCCAAAATGTCCTTATTGTCATCATCTAATCCCATCAACCCAATGTAATCATTTGATGGCATTGCAGCCACAATTTCATCCAGCAACTCTGAATCTGCAGTAGATAATGATACAACAGTTTTAGGATAAATAATATTAAGGTCAGACAAAAACGAGCGTTGGCAATTATAACATCACAAATATCATATTCAGCTGAGTACATTAAACACCAACGTCACACAGAAAGGAAATCAGGAAATGTTTTTGCCAAATTAGAAAAAACACATGCACACAACAGATATCACAACTATGATGAAGATTCAACCGATTGTTAATTCTATATTGGGATTATTGGCAATATAAACGATTTAAGTTTAACAAAGAAATAATATATTTCGGGCAGCTGCAAAAATAGCGGCTGCGTTCCACAGCCTATAAAAGAAATATTTTGAAACGCCTAGAGTAGTGTATTACAAAACTTACTCGACGACTCCTCCATATCCATGATGAAGCAGGAAAAAAAGGACCTATATAAATTATAAAAGATATGACAGTTTTGTAATTGTGATATCCAAAAACTATTCTATGAGCGCAATTTGCATGTTTTCCGCACAAAAGCACATGGTTCTTTGTCCTTGATTCTGCAGGCAAAACATACAAATTCCGCTTATACAATAGTCAAAGTTTTTTAGCCTGAATTATGCCACAATGCATATCACAAAAACAATTCTCACTTGAGAGGTTTTACACTAACAACATTGAGATTCATTATTTTAATTTTAAACGACAATGATTCTTTGTCCTTCGCAGGGAAAACATACAAATTTCGCTTACAATACTAGTTAATGGTTTTTTAGTCTGAATTTAATGCACAATGCATATCACAAAGACAGATAAAGAAAACTCACTTGAGAGGTTTTACAGTAACAACACTGATTGGCCTATTGAACCAATCGAGATTCATTATTTTAATAATTTTAAACGACAATGGTTCTTTGTCCTTCGCAGGCAAAACATACAAATTTCGCTTTAATACAATACTAGTTAATGTTTTTTTAGTCTGAATTTAATGCACAATGCATATCACAATGACAGATAAACAAAACTCACTTGTGAGGTTTTACAGTAACAACATTGGCCTATTGAGATTCATTATTTTGCCTACCTGTTAGCAAGTACACTGTTGTTCGCCGCTACAGCCCCGAAGAAAGAGGTTCAACATGTGGTACAAGGTCGTGAAATAGGTTTGGCGCATTTGGCCCCAGGCCATAAGCCATTTCGCCTCCATATAAAATTCCGTGAGTTTTTCCTGATATCACCACTATGTTACCACTTCCACAATTAAAAATCCATCACCAGCAGATCATTGACATCATCATGACATCTGAATTTGTTTTATTTATACTTCGGAATCTTTTTATTATTATTATTATTAATTAATTTTTTAATTCGCCCACAGAATTAACAATTTACATTGTTGTTTTTTTTGTGATTTACTTCTATTATAGGGCTAGGAGCCTACAAAACCTGAACAGGCTTTTTATTAAGGGCCCTATTTAATTTAATTTAATTAATATATAAAGTTTTTGGCAGTTCAAAACTTGAAGCAAAATTAAGGTATTATACTTTTTATATTTTTATATTTGTTTTATAATATAGCACAAAGAAACATAAAGAAAGAAATTTTCCGACGTTTCCGTGTTGACATCAAAAGTTATAGTATGAGTTATATCAACACGGCTCTTAGCCAATCAGCGTTCAGAATTTACAAATGCTATATTATAAAACTCAATAGTCATAACTATATTGGGAGTGTATCTGAAAGTCGAGGGTCGAGAGTCGAGAGTATAGGTCGAGAGTAAAAGTCGAGAGTCGAGAGTAAAAGTCGAGAGTCGAGAGTAAAAAGTCGAGAGTCGGCAAATGTCATCAGAAACAACAAAGTCAAAATTAAAAACGGTGGAACTTATTTTGTTTCGATCGACTCTCGACTTTTTATTCTCGACTCTCGACTTTTTACTCTCGACTCTCGACTTTTACTCTCGACTCTCGACTTTTACTCTCGACTCTCGACCTATACTCTCGACTCTCGACTTTTTTGCGACTTTTAGATACACTCCTATATTGGTCATGACTATATTAGCCTGCATGGCAGCTATGACGGCAGGCGGTGGTCCTATGCAGGCTATGACTATATTGGCTCCATTATTGGCTCTGGTTTCGGCACGCCGCTACCCTGGATTCCAGAGCCTTCGACAGTAAATAGTAAATTGAAATGTCGCGAAGGCTCTGGTTCAACGGGGCGATTCTTTGATTAAACCGCGCCAATCACAAAACAGAATTAGTGGTTTTAGTACAGGATCTGTACGTTGTGATTGGCGCGGTTTAATCAAAGAATCGCCCCGTTGAACCAGAGCCTTCGCGACATTTCAATTTATTATTTACTGTCGAAGGCTCTGGAATCCAGGGTAGCACGCCGCACGCATTTTTAGTGGTCGGCAAAATTGAAAAAACTTTAACAATTTTACAAGGAATTTTACCAAAATTGACATGGAAACAGCAACCTTCCTTACCTTCGCAAATCGCAAGTTTATACGTTTGGCTTCGCTGCAGCGCTGGTTTGTATTTTGGAAATAAAGCGATCTTTTCAACGATGTTTAGGGTAAGTGAATGTAATTTAATTTCAAATACGCTCACCTCGCATGACTCTGCACCTATTCGTGGTAGACCTACACTAAAAGATGCTGAGCGATTTCGAACCGGGTCGATTATCCACGAACCAAAAAATACCTTCGGGTACGTAAAAACTTGCTATAAATGTTACACAAAAAGTTGCCAAAAATGTTACACCAAAAGCTGCCAAAAAAGTGACAAAAGTACTGCTAAAATGACGAACAATACACAAACAAATTTACAAAAAACAAACGTACACTCGCAATCAAGTTGCCGTACTGTCAACGAGCACATGGACATGGTCAACATGGCCGCCAGTAGAAAGGCTACAAAGATATTGGACAATGTGATATCGTCTGAACAGATAGCAACCAAGAATTTGTCAATAATTTTGAGCAAAAACGATATGGAAAGCAAGAATGTGTCCACAGATCAATGTATGTCAGGTATAAATATGTCTATTAACAACTGTATTTCTAAATTGAATAACCAGAATATTGAAATAACAGGTCTGTCAAAGCACAATCCTATGCATATAAAGAAACTTCCAATGCGATCACGATATGCATTATTTTATAATGTCTGCACACAAAAGCATGTTACTGACTTTACTACCACTGGTTGCCATTTACGTCACCGTGACCGTGAACCCAGTAGAATACAGGTGAAATGGTTAACTAGGAAGTTTGCAAAAAGTCGATTGTTGAGAAAACGTCTCAGACATAACATCAAAAGGTCTGTACCCAGATCCTCTCATCTTCATTACATAGTAGAGAATATTATGCATTGTAAAGACATTAGGATGAAGTGTATCCCTGATGGTTACTGCCCGAAGAAGGTTTACAAAAAATGCCAGACAAACCGTTCAGCAAAAGATTTAAAATTTTATATTCGTGAGGGAATTCTTGCAGATGTATTCTATTTATCAGGTTCGACTCATGATTTATATACACAACAGATATACAAAAATCTCAACCACTTAAAGAATGTCTGCCAGTCAGCATTATGTACAGATATTGAGACAAATCCTGGACCCGTATTCTATATTGATCCCAGCAAGACAATCAGTGCACCATATAGCCAAGGTAATCAGATTATATTTGGAGAAACAGCAGGACAACAGTGTTTAGCAATGTGTGTATGTGCCCTTATATGCAACAAAAGACAGACCATATGCACACCACAAGACCTGGTTAATGTAATGAATATTGGTAATGAACTATATTCAAACTTATCATGTTTAGCACAGCAATCATTTTTATTGTTTACAGAATTGCCTTCACAACTCACAGTATTTGACACAGATTATATTTTTGAGTACAGTGAAAGCTATAGCGGTAATGTAATTGGAGACTGTTCTATTGAAGGGTATCAGTACTGTGTTCCATTTCGCAGATCATTTGAATTGCTTCTGGCTGAAAACTATTCTGCATTCATTTTAACAATTGATTCCAATGCTGTTTGTATATTTTCCACCACTGATGGCAATTATAAAATTTTTGACTCTCATTCAAGAGATATTTATGGCAGAAGTCATCCACAAGGTACATGCGTGTTGTTGGAGGCACCAAATATCAACAACGTAATTCTGTATGTCCAGTCTTTATACAGTGAAAACAGTCAATTTGAGCTAAGAGGAATAAATATTGAAGAAGTACAAGCCAATAGTGACCAGAACTTAAACAACAGCATTAGAAATACTGCCCTATCAGGTAACACATCAGAAGAATCTAAAAGCACTGATGTTTCTTGTTTATGTAGACAATGCTGTGCGATTTCATTATACTCAATTTGTTATTCTGTTATTAAAGCTTGTAATTACTGGGATTCAAATACAGTGGCCGCAGTTGTTTACTTTGGCACTATTTTGTATAACAACACTGGGATAAATACATCTCGTGATATACCTCAAAAAGTTGAAATATGTGGAACTGAAATACATATAAAATTGCAATCTAATATTCAAGGAGTAGTTAATGACAAGGCAGAAAGCAAACTACACATTGAAAGCCTTATTTGTCCTAGTAATGAAAACACAGGGTTTTTAATTTGGTTTGGACTTTATTGTATTTCTTGCATCTTTCAAAAGACATCAATTAAGAATATGTCATACTCAATATTAGCATACGATGATGATGATAGCTCACCTACGTCTACTGTACATTACATTAAAAACATAAAAGACAAGCATACTCTAGTCGATGCTATCTTTAACCTAGCAACCACCAAAATCAAGGATGAAATTGTCAATTATGAAATTCAATTTTTGTTTTGTCGTTCTGAATTGAGTAACTGTGAAAGAAAAAGGATTATGAAAAACCACAGGCAAAACTATATAAATGACTTCATTGAACCAGCTCTAAAAAAACAGAAGCTAGAAACAAAGCAGATGAAATACAAAACAATGGATCCATTAGTAAAACAGCAAGTTAACTCTAAACATGTAAATGATTACAAAATTATGGCTCAGGAGAAAAAACAAAAAATATTGGAAAAAGGAAAAACAAATTTTATAAATCAAAGAAAGAGGAACTGCTTACCAAAAACATGAATTATAGAAATAGACAAAAGCAAAAAATAATGGAGAATAAAAGAATAAAATATGAAGAAATGGATCACTCAAAGAAAGAGGAACTGCTTACTATAAATATGAAGTATAAAGAAACAATGAGTAAAGAACAGAAGCAAAAAATACTGGAGAATAAAAGAGTAAAATATGCAGCAATGGATCAATCAAAGAAAGAAGAATTGCTTACTAAAAATATGAATTATAGAAAAACAATGAGCAAAGAACAAAAGCGAAAATCACTGAAGAATAAAGCAGCTAAATATGAAGCAATGGATCAATCAAAGAAAGAAGAAGTGCTTACTACAAATACGAATTATAAGCAAACGATTGGAGAAGAACAAAAGCAAAAAATATTAGAGAACAAGACAACAAAATATCAAGCAATGGATATATCAAAGAAAAAGGAGTTGAGTGCTATGATTTCAAGAAAAATCATGTCAAATCGCATGTCATTAGATCCAAAACAAAAAAATTATTTGCTGAATAGAGAGAAACAAAAACGGATGGAGAAGAAATCTCAAATTCATGACATGGACATGTACACTGATGAGTTTAAAAAACAAATTAAAGCAGGTCCATTTTACATATGCTGTGTGTGTAACCGAACATTGTATAAAAAGTCTGTAATTACCCTACAGAAAAATAAATATCCTCGCCAGGATTGTTTTATGCTTCAATGTTCTTTTGACGGCAAAGAGTATGTCTGCAAAACGTGCCATGCTAAACTACTTAAAGGTCAGCAGCCTTGTCAAGCTGTGGTAAATAATTTATTTGTTGATGAAACCCCCACTGAACTTGCTGCATTAGAGAAACTTGAACAAATTCTTATTGCACAAAGAATAGTCTTTGAAAAAATTGTAGTAATGCCAAAAGGACAACAAAGAAAAATCAAAGGTGCAATATGTAATGTACCAGTTGAATGTAGTCAAACATGCAATGTTCTTCCTAGACCACCTGACAGATCTGGGATAATTTTACTTAAATTAAAAAGGAAACTTCAATTTAGAGGTCATGTTTACTTTCAAGCAGTTCGCCCTCAGTTTATAATTAGTGCATTAAACTGGCTTGTAGCAAACAACCCTTTATATAGAAACATTGAAATTCAATGTGACAACATCAGCCCAGAGTTGACTAATTTGAACTGCCCTGTTACAGATCAAGAAAATATAGATGAGCCATTGCAGTTGCAAAGTAATGTAAATAGAGAACTGTGTAATGAAGATGTTGAAGAACAAAATGATCCATTAAATGAACACCGTTCAGCAGCAAGTGAAACCTGTCTTCAGTCCATCTTGCCAAATTATCCTGTTAACCTGGACAATACAAACTGTAATTCAACAGGTAGAGAAATTTTCAACATTGCACCAGGTGAAGGTAAACACCCAGTATCATTGATGACTGATAAGCTTTGTGAGGAACTTTCATTTCCAGTACTCTTTCCAAAGGGACGATTTGGTTATACCTCTGAACGAGACATAAAATTATCTCCAATAAAATATTTCAATGCTCGCCTTTTACATTATAGTGGAAAATTTGCAACCAATCCAGAGTATCTATTCTTTGCACAATTTATTATGGAACAAAAAAAGATTTCTGATAGTATAAATATCGCGCTTAAAAAAATACATGGTCAGTCAGTCACAGCATCACAAGTAAAATCAAACAGTCAAGCTTTTCAAAATCTTCTTTTGCAAGATCAAGCATATTTGTTTTTACGACAAATTCCTGGCTCACCTCCTTACTGGCAAAAATTCATGTATGAAGTGGTAGCAATGATTAAACAACTGGGAATACCAACATGGTTCATGACCTTATCGTGTGCAGATTTAAGATGGCCTGAGCTATTTCAGATAATTTCAAGAACAAAAGGCAACAACATAACAAATGAAGAAGTAGAGGCTTTGTCGTATCATGAGCGATGCTCAATGTTAAATTTAAATCCAGTTATGGTAGCTAAACATTTCCAGCATCGTGTCGAAACATTTTTCAGGAACGTTTTGTTGACAAATGCAAACCCAATTGGTAAGATAGTGTATTATGCACTCCGTATCGAATTTCAAATGAGAGGTTCACCACACTTGCATGCCTTAATATGGACATCTGATTGCCCACAATTAACAAACGATACAAAAGATGCATACATATATTACATTGACCAACATGTACAAGCATACCTCCCAGACAGAGAAACGGATCCTCAACTTTTTGACTTGGTAAAAACATACCAGACACATAATCACAGTAAAACCTGTAGAAAGTATAAGAATGTTACATGTAGATTTAACTTTGGACAGTTTTTTACTGACAGAACAATTGTTGCTGAACCTTTGGCTGAAGATATGGATGATGAGATTAAATCCAATATTCTAACCAGACGAAAGGAAATTTTGTCTAAAGTTAAACAAAAAATTGATGATGTGCTAAACCCAAGCAAACCTACTTATGACCCACATGCAACTCCAACTGACATTCTAAATGAAATAGATATTACAGAACAAGACTATCAATGGGCTTTATCAATATCTCCAGATTCTGACCATGAATTGCACCTGAAACGACCAATAGACAGTTGTTTTACCAACAATTACTTTATTGCTGGATTAAAAGGATTTGCTGCAAATGTTGACTTGCAACCAGTGTTTAATCATTATAAGTGTATTACATACGTTTGTTCTTACTTTACAAAGGATGAAACTGAATGTTCTCAAGCCATCATAAATGCAGCAAAAGAGGCTAAAGAAGCCAACTTAAATGTAAGAGATGGCCTAAGAAAAATAGGTGCAGCTTTTCTCTCGACTCGTGAAGTCAGTGCTCAAGAATGCGTTTACAGATGCATGCCTGAACTCTGGTTAAGAAAAATATTCCCGAAAACCCTCTTTGTTAGCACGGATTTTGCTGAAAATCGCGTTAGATTTGCGAAGAAACAACAAGAACTTGATGAGTTAGATGATGATAGTACTGACATTTTTAAGTCTAACATTATTGTCCGTTACAGTGACAGACCGAAAAACATTCCTGTCGTTAATGATATGTGTTTAGCTTTATTTGCTGCTCACTATTTCAAAGATTACAAAAGTGATTTTAACGAAGTATCCGATTCTCAACCTGAAGTGTTAAGCGATGACTTCATTGAATCCCAAAATATCGAAAATCATAACACTGGACTTCCCGATCGAATAAAACTTGTAAACAGCAAAGAAATTATGAAGTGCAGAAAAATTAAAGCTGTCATTCGATATCACACTCCAAACAAAAGAAAAGAACCTGAAAAATATTTTCACCACCTTCTCATGTTGTATTTTCCGTGGCGTAACGAGCAGGAACTCTTTGGCGAAGACCAGACATACATATCTAAGTTTTATGAGCCAGATGTTCAAGAGGTAGTACAATGCAACAAAGAAATATTTGAGCCAGATGGTGATGCTATTAATGAAGCACTAGAAAGTTTACGTAACTTTGATGGCGTACCAACTCACTCCTATGATCCAATAAATGACCAGGAAAATGAAGATTTGCAACAAAGTTTACCTGACGATTCTGATGAAACCGAGTCTTTTAACGAATCGTTGCCACAACATCTTGCATCAAATCCTGAATCAGTTCAACCATCTTCTGGAATAAGTTCTTATAATCAACCCTTAGAAATCAGTGACGACGATCTACGAAAAACTGTAAAATCATTAAACAACAAACAACGTTATGCATATGACGTAGTTCTTTCCTGGTGTAGAAATAAGATGGCCAACCTAAACACCCTTAAACCGTCTAAAGTAGATCCAATAAATGTTTTTGTTACTGGAGGTGGAGGTGCAGGGAAATCACACTTAATTAAAGCTATATATCATACTGTTACAAAAACATTTAGACATGCTCCAATGAATCCTGAATTACCTTCTGTATTGCTAATGGCTCCAACTGGTGTAGCTGCCATAAATATCAACGGAACAACCGTAAATACTGCTCTAGCAATTCCAAGAGAATGTGGGAATAATGTACCTGCAATGTCTGACCAGAGAAGAACACAAATGAGATTGTCTTTGGCTGAATTAAAACTAATCATAATTGATGAAATATCAATGGTCTCAAACATGGGTCTGCTGCATATTCACCAGAGATTGAAAGAAATATTTGTTACACCTAATAGTGAACTTTTTGCAGGAATCAGTGTACTTGTTTTCGGAGATTTCTTTCAGCTACCACCAATTCGAAGCGCAACAACATTTTCAAATTATAAGAATGATACATTCAATCTACACCATCCCTGGCATGTCTTTAAAATGGCAGAACTAACACAGATCATGAGACAAAAAGATGACCTTGCCTTCACTCAGCTATTAAATAGAGTGCGCACCGCTTCACATACAGACGATGACATCAGGTGTATTCAATCCAGAACAATAACTCCAGCGGATGAAAATTATCCATCGGATGCATTACACATCTTTGCAGAAAATGCACCAGTAGATGAGTACAATATTGATCGCCTACAACAAATTCAATCACCACAGTACATTTTAGAAGCTTTAGATCAATTCCCACCTCATGTTATAAAACAGGATATCGATAGAGTGCTGTCTAAAGGAAGATCCGAAACTGGAGGGCTTGACACTAAAATCCTGATCAAAGAAAATGCGAGAGTTATGCTCACAACCAATGTGGATATTAGCGATCGACTAATTAATGGCCAGTTAGGTACAGTAATAAAAGTTTCAGTTGACAATGTTAGTAATAAACCCTCCACAATTTTTGTTAAATTTGATGACAGTAATGCTGGAGTATCTGCTATACGAAATTCGTCCAGTAGTTTTGCAAGAGAAAACAATCTTGTTCCTATCAAACCTGTATTAGCGAGAATTAAAGTCAGACCAGGAAAACCATCATCTCCTGAAATGCAAAGATTACAATTTCCTGTAACTCTCGCATGGGCATGCACTGTTCATAAAGTACAAGGATTAACTCTAGATAACATTGTCGTCAGTTTTGATTTAAAAAAGCAAAGGTACTTTAACTATGGTCAGGTATATGTAGCACTTAGTCGAGCAACGTCTTTAAATGGCCTGCATATTTTAGGAACACTTGAAAGTAAACATATTCGAGCAAATCCTAAAGTCCAGGAAGAATACGAGAGATTGCGTGAAAATTCGAGTCTCCACCCGCATATTACAACAGATTTATGTAACACAGAAACTGTCTCAATTTGTCTTTTAAATATTAGATCACTTAAAAAACACAGTCTTGACCTATGTAATGACCCAATCTTGTCCAAATGTGATGTGCTGGCTCTAACGGAAACTCAACTTTTAACCAGTCTACCAAATGATGATATTGACTCAATCCTTAACGATTTTTCTATACACAGACAAGATCATAATTCTGACAAGTTCTTAAGTCTAGCTGTTTGTTACAATGACACTATTACACTTTGTGATACAGAATATTTCACTTCAATAAATGGTTTACGATTTTTACTTAATAACTCTGGTGGATATAGCTTATCCTGTCTACTGCTTTATCGTAAGCACGGATGTGATATTCAGCAATTCATAGCTTGCCTAGATTACATAACAACTAGCTTGGATATTGATGTTATATTTGGAGATTTTAATATTGATTATTTTAATGAAAAGAACATATCTTCATTGAAAGTACTCGCCGAGTCTTTAAATTATGTGCAACTTGTAAGTAAACCAACATTTGTTTCTTCTGGAAGTCTTCTCGATCATGTTTACGTAAAACAGTCAATAAGCAATAAAATGGAAGCAAGCGTTGTAAGTGTGTATTATTCAGATCATGAGGCTGTTAAGGTAACTGTAAGATTTTGACAAGTATATAGTTTCATTAAAAATTTTGACATGTAGTATTACGCCAGTAGTTTCAATAACGTTACGATATATAACCCACTAAACTCGCACTATTTAATTGCAGCAGAAAAACTAATCGAATATTAAAAAATCGCTGAAATGAAAATCCAGTCTAGGAGAGACTGGGATGGGGGATTCTAGTAGATCCCCAAAGAGACTGACGTGAGGAGTCTCCTGGAGTTCCATGCAAACAAGGTATGTTCAATCATTTTTAAATTGAAGCTAGATGCAACATGTACATTGACTATACTTAGTATAGTACACATGCACTACATCTCAATTGCGGTGTAAGCTCAAATTCATCACTCAAAATGTTTTCTTTTAGGACTGAAAGTTTGAAATGAGACAGTTGGGGAAATTATCACCAATTATGTTAAGGTATGTCCCAAAGTAGTTATGATTTATACTTACACCTGTATTCTAAAAGCTCACTCACACTCAAAGAGTGGAGGTTCAAAGCTTCCCTTGAGTGTCATTGCTGTTTTTGAATAGCTGGACGGTGAGTAGTCACATAGTACGGTACGGCACTAACCCTCTAGCTATTCAAAAACAGCATTGACCCTCAAGGAAAGCTCAGATCGAATACAGGTGTTACTGTTAGTCTTCCTATGATTATGTATAATGAGTAAAAGGATTTAAGCCCCCGTTTACACTACGCTCAATTTTTGGTACGGCACGGATAAAATTGGTACCCCTACCACTTTCTTTGCTTCTTGGACTACCTATTTAGCTAAGCCCCGTTTACACTACGCTCAATTTTTGGTACCGTACCACTTTTTGGTTCTTGGACTACCTAAATAGGTAATCCAGGAACCAAAAAAGTGGTACGGGTACCAATTTTATCCGTAGTGTAAACAGGGCTTTATATTCACTCCTTTAAAGAGGTTATGCGGCCCACTTACTCTGTCTCATGGCAGACGATTTTACTCGTCAAGGGAAGCGCGCTGTCACTTAATGGGTTAACATTAAATCGTCATCTAGTTCACATATAGTACCTTACTTGCATGCATGCATGCAAGTATGCAGGTGACGCAAACAAACGATCTTGTCTATACGCTGTCTCTATATCGATGAGCTTATTTAACTCTTGGAGAAAATCCAATAGAAAACGTCTATATATTGACACACTGTTAAGTATTTTTATATTCAAGTAAGACCTGGAACCTTATTTTTCTTATATACTGTAATTCTTCATTTCTTTATTTTGTAGAAAAATGTTCAACACATCACTTTATACAACGAAATATCGGTTCGACTATTAATTGAAATGATGAATGATGATATATGTACACTAACTTCATTGTGGTGTCTCCACTATTCTGATCACGGGCCGGAATTGACGCTATGAATTGTTCGTGAATTTGTACGCCAGTCGCCAGTCAATTAATATTGCTATTAAAGTGGATTTTTTGCGATTTCACAAGTTCCTTGAAATACGACTGTTAATTATTCGAGGACAAGACTAACGTATATTGATTATCCTTCATTATTGGTACCTTTACAACGAACATCGCCATCTCTACTGGACCGAGTACTGGTAAATCAATGAACTAATTGAACTATCGACACTTCATAAAAAATAAACATTATAAAAGCTTACAGAAATGGTTTCCATGCATTAAAGAACTTGCCAAATTTGCTTTGTTCAGATGCAAGATTTGTTCCGTGATTATATAATCATAATTCATACTCACATTGAATATTTAAACTTCAAATAGTCCTAGTGATTGTTTCAGAATTTTGTTCTAATGCGATGTATACTGTAGAAAAATCTGTAATTCTTGTATTGCATAATGATACTTCGATGCGTATCTGCAAGTATTGCTAACTTGAACTGTCAGCTCTTTCTGTACTATTTCTCCTCAATAAAGTCTCACTCTAAACTGTATTCGAGTTGATTATACTTGTCTATATCTGTAAACTGTACTAGGTAGTGGCAGAAAAACTTTATGTTAGTGCTACTGTACTAACTTACTGGTAATGGCTACCTTTTACAGTATATTACAGTCAAAATACAAAAACCTTCCCACTTCCGCAATCTGTTGTAATTTTCTGTAAATTGTTCTGTTTTTCTGTAGCGGTTACCAAATTATGAGCAATTATGGTGACAAAATTTAGTTTTCACTTGTATAGCCCCAGCGAGTTTACGCTCTGTAGAGCGTCTTGTTATGATATAGAATGCCCGTCCATTTTGACACTTCGCACCTCCTTTAATCCTTTGCGAACAGCGACAACTTCCTCATAATAGGTACTCGATAGAATTAATTGCTGATGGGTTTTGTAGATGGAAATTTCGAATGTCACTTTTATACATTTTTTTATACCTAACCGGCCCTAACCAGGAGCAGTTGAGAAAAATTCCAGCAATTGCCCAAAATCCTCTACATTGGCATCGCCTTAGTATATACACATGGACTTGCGGTTTGAGTTCGACAACTGGATTCTATAGCTCAGTTGGATAGAGCGCTTCGAGATTGGCGTATTCATACTGCCTGCGTTTCAGTTTTGATCATTTCAACTAAAATAGAGTGATATGAAAATGACATATCACACCTGCTCGTGTGACAGCGAAAGGCCTGCTTAAATTACTTCCGATCTATGCTTTGCCGTTAGTTCCGATCCGATCTATGCTTTGCTGTTAGTTCCGTTCCGATCTATGCTTTGCTGTTAGAGCATTCACCACAAGATGTCGTTTAAGCTGCCTTCTTTTTCAAAATCGAAGGTCTCCTATCAAGAATTCACGAAAGGTCTTGAAACATTTTTGTGGACTGATCTCTCCGATACTAGTGAGATTGGAAGAGGTACATTTGGCGCAGTGTTACTCGCCTCTTTCAAGAGTGAGCAAAAAACAGCAGCAGAAAAAGTCGTTGTTAAGAAATTGCTACAATCGTCGAGGTCTGATGAAAAACAAAGGTTTTTCAAGGAAGCAAGGCTTCTTCAAAGCCTCAACCACAAGAATGTAGCGAAGTTCAAAAAAGTATGTATCGAACCGCCGGCGATAATGATGGAGTTCGTAGCGTTTGATTTTAAATTCTTTTGTTCCGAGATTATGAATCTATTTTAATGTAGGGTTAGATTTATATGAAGGTAATCTAATCAACATAAGATGTTTTGTTAACAATATGCACGCTTCCAAGTTTCCATGTATCCGGAAACGAGGCACATATTTTGGTGACGTACGAACATAAAAAAGACGTACGAACATGAAAAACTAGTGGTGTCTATAAAAGTTGGAGGGATTTTTCTAGTTTTTCTAGTTCCAACTACAAAACCCCTTCAAGCCTTCAAGTCTTCTAAATTCCCGTACACGGGTCACGGGTCGATTTCTTAAAGCGAGCTAGGTGTGGCCCTGCGAAACGATGTTTTAATTATGATAACGTTTACCGCAATAGTCCAGTTTACAGGGCCGAAATAAACTTTTTAAACGTCATTTAAATTGAAAATTCTCAATAGGAGTTATTAAGATTGTTAGACAGAAATGACATTTTGCTCCCAAAATTGTTTTCGGTTTGCCAGGCATAAACCATTACTGTGTGATTTATACAGTATAGTTAGATAGTTAGCGCAATAAAACGAGGATACCTATTTACCGAGCCAAGGATTCGAGCTCGGAATCGAGCTCGGATTCGAGCTCGGAATCGAGCTCGGAATTCGAGCTCGGATTCTATAGTAAGGTTAAGCTTGTTAAGAAAGATTTTATGCGGAATTCTTTGTTTGGCGTTAGTATATGAAGAGCAATATGGCGAAGCACAAGTTGCTTACAATCGCTATCTAAGCAATTAAAAAGAATGGAAGCACTGTACAGAAATGTTCGTTTTCCAGAGTCAGTACGCGGGAAGGGGGGTTGAAGGTCATATGCGCAAGCTCTAGTCGGAGTCACTCAGAGCCCGTTGTCGAATACAAGATAAGAATTTAAACATTTGCTTAAATGATCACGGAGCACTGGGATAAGGTCGAAGATTGGGATTATTCGAATCTGGGAAAAAAGAAGAACAGAAGGAGTAGAAAAGTCAGCGACTAGAATAATACGTGCTGCACGATTTTGCTGTCGAAGAATGCGAAGTGAAAGTGTTTTTGAGCAGTTTCCCCAAGTTACAGAGCATGTCAAAACATTGCATTTTAAAGCAAATTGTATGGATTTTTTTAAAATAAAAGACCTTTTCGGGAGACCTATACTCTGCCTTGAATTACCCAGAGGGAGGGACCATAGACTCGTATTTTCCGAAAAGCTAACGAACAATGCCGAGCCGCCAGCGAGAATGTGAAATGAGTATACGGTTCATTTGGTGTTCATGTTACATGAAGTACGAATAAAAAATCAAACAATGTTTATAAACTTTATATGGTTTCACATGGTTTCACGACAATTTCAACAGACTATAAATTATAAAATATGCATTTTAATGGGGATTTTACAATGAAATATGTTACAATTAACAAGGTAAGACGGCGTTTGTATTGTTTTGCTAGAGTTTAGTGACTCCTCTGCTCCCTGTGCGCGTGACTTTTAAATTAATACTTGCGCGTGACTTTTAAATTAATACTTCTTTTCGAATTTGGATTGTTATGAGATTCCATTGGGACTATTCTACAATGAAGTACTATTGGATACTGTAATGTCTAAATACACAACAAGACGAATAAGTGGCATTTATCGGGCAGAGAAGCGGCGAGCCATTGCAATTTATAATGGCGCCATATTTCAGTATTTCACGAAATATCGAAGGACACAGTAACGAAGATAATTACACTGCACTGTTTTAAAACCTTATGAAACCTTCTTTGAAATCTTCTTCAACTATGTTATGTAAAAGTGCAACAACTGGATGATATTTGCCAAATTTCAGTTGGTGATAAAAAGCAAACAAGATGGCAAAATATGGTATTATATTTAAAGAAAACAATGACAATCCTTATGACAATCCTCATGATATTTGTTTTTAGGAAATAGGGATATTTCACTTCTGCCAGGCACATTAGTTATTTATGTATAATTAGCAATTTACCTGGGGGTGGTGCATGGTCATTTTCTTGTAAAATATTATACTTAGACAAATTTTTCCTTCCACTGACCACCCTAGCCTGAAATGTCAGGTTCAAGCGGGGAGAACGCCTGACATTTCAGGCTACTGACCATCCCTAAAAGCAACCCTTCTGAACACTATAACACTTCAGAAAGGCTATCGCTTTCCTTTTCGGAAGTTACAGCTATGTCGACACTGCTGTTTCAGGGCGGGATCATTTTCAGGAATTTTGTCCCGGATTCAGGTTTTGGCACATATGCCATGTTGACTGCCATGGTCATTTTACCCTAAAACAGTTGAGATTACCTGTGCTAAGTGAAACGCATACAAACTCATATACAGGTCCTAGACTGTAATAAAACTTAGATTCCGAGCTCGAATTCCGAGCTCGAATTCCGAGCTCGATTCCGAGCTCGATTCCGAGCTCGATTCCGAGCTCGAATCCGAGCTCGATTCCGAGCTCAAATCCGAGCTCGAATCCGAGCTCGAATCCGAGCTCGAATCCTTGGCTCAGTATATAGTATATCTCCAATAAAACTATGAGTGCATGAGTACTGTAAAGCAACTTTTATGCATCTCACATTCTCACTATTGTAAGACTGACCACATAACTGAACATCACATCATATACTGTACTTTGCGGTTATCATTGTTGTTTATGTTGCATTATAAAATGTTGAACATGTTATTATACATTATAAAATATTAGTTGAACTTATATCATGGTCTAATTGAATGTTTGACCCAAGCGTTTTTATCTGATTTCTCTGTGAGTAAATCACTGCAGCAAACAACGATCGGCACCTTCGCGAATCTCAAAATACTTTACAAGGTAGGATTTAATATAGGCTTGGGTAAATTATGCTCGAAAATAGGGCTCATAGTATTATGCCCGAAGGCAGTGCTCGTGATTAAAACAATCACTGATGTCATGTCTCTCGGTTGGCTTCCAATTTTGGAACGTAGGAATTATCATCTTGCCAAATTAGCATACAAAGCAATGAATTGTGATGACTGGCCTTCATACTTAAAATTAGAGGAACATATTCCTATAAGACCATTACGATCATCATCTGCCCGGCGTCTAGTAGTCCCTATTATCTCTGGAACCTTCCAAGATGAAGCAGCTCGAGTGTTCAACTCTTTACCTGAAGAAATTCGAAACTGCGATACGTTTAAAGATTATTGCAGAACCTCCTCCGAGTACTTCAAAACATTAGTCAAAAACAGAATTAGTGACACGTCGTAAACTCTGTTGACATTGTGTGTATAACTATACTGTATTTTACTGTGTATAAGTAATGTCGATAGTTAAATACTGTAATGTACAACATACTACGTATTGTAATACTTGTTGTGTCGTATTATGTACTCCGTTGTATGTATTGTATACTTTGTTATCTTATAATCAAACTCACTTGTAGCATAGAAGAGCCACTATGTGGAAATGCTATTAAATTATTTATTATTATTATTATTATTATTATTATTATTATTATTTTATCTATTATGCTCGTGAAACAGCCTATTATGTTCGAATTATGCTCGAGAAAAATTCAATTTTAATAAGTAGAAAAATGTTCAAACAAGCCAGATCTGACTATCTGAGTGGAACCTCTCTACAGTCAAAGCATTTACAACTAATTCATTGTTTTAACTCTCGTGACAAAACTCATTGTTTTACTAGTGCCCAGGATCCTGGCCTGTGCTAGTCTCATTTATTTTTTTATTTCTTTAGACTCTAGCCCCAAAGCCAAAGCATTATTTTATTAATTTTGAATTGCTCGAAAACGGCTAATTATGCCGACTATCCTTGTATAAAGCCGCGTTTACACGACCAATTTTTATGTGACAATTTTTCATATTTTTATGTGAGAAATGTATTTAATTGGTCGTGTAGATGAGACAACAATTAAATAATTGTTGATGCACTTGATTCCTGTTTAAAAAATATCTATGAACAGCGCAATAAAACATGGCGCGGACACTAATTATACTTTTACAAATATGGCGGGAGAAAAAATATGACATTTTATGTGACAAGTAATCTACACGAGCAATTTTTCGTATGTGACAACTTTTATTTGTCATATAAAAGCTAACGCGCTAGCTTTTCAGCAACTGTATTTGCCACACAAAAATTGCCCAATTTTCCTCGTCTACACGAGCAAATAAAAATTGTCACATCAAAATTGTCACATGAAAATTGCTCGTGTTAACGGGGCTTAAGTGTCTATTATGCTTCTGAAACCCTATTATGCTCGAAATTAGGCCGACATAATTTACCCAAGCCTAGTCTGTAATCCATTAAGTAAGAGTTAGTTACCGAGAAGGAGGGCTTTATGCTATATACAGCCCCGAGAACGCGAAGCGTTCGAGGGCTTTATATAGCATAAAGCCCGACATTCGAGGTAATTAACTGACTTATTTCATGATTGAAGAGGTTTTCTAACAAAGTTTTATTCTTTTTTTTCGATTTCGACAAGTATTTTTCTAGTTTTCTCGCTTATTTCTTGACTAATTAGGGCTGTATGGTATTCAAGGGCATTATGCTATATACAGCCCGCGGTACATCAAAGAAAACCGAGTCAATCATGAAATAAAGGAAGGAAGGAACCCTTTCAAATGAATTAAATCTTCATTCAGACAAAACTTTCCCTGTAAAATTTGCCAGAATTTTAGTATCGAAGCACACTTACTCGGCTAAGTTGAATGCACTTAATTAAACAAATGAGTTAACATTCTGTGCTATAAATATAACTCAAGTTATAATAAGTATTTAAGTTTTGTCGCTCTCCAATATCCCTCGCTTCAAGTGACAAAAAATTCGTTTTGATATAGATATATTTGCTGACCTTCGGCATATTTTGACCGACGACCTTTAGCCAAGCTCATTAATTAATCACCCATTGTGAGGAAGGATTAAAAAGGATTAAAGGAGGTGCGAAGTATCAAAATGGACGGGCATTCTATACAGGGTGTATAAAAAAAACGCAACCTCGGAATTTCCCAAGAAATCGACATGGTTTTAAAGACAAAATATTTTAGGGGCCTGGGAATTTAAAATAGCACAACTGTCAAAATTATTGCACACGCGAGTGCAGAAAGCAAAATTTATGCATTTATTTAATGCACAACAAGAGTAATATGATCTATTAGCAATTCGATTTCAATTCCCAGGGGCTTAAAAAAAAATACACCCTGTATCGGTTAGGTGGAAAACGCGGACAGGAATAGGTATAAAAAATGTATAAAAGTGACATTCGAAATTTCCATCTACAAAACCCATCGGCAATTAATTCTATCGAGTACCTATTATGAGGAAGTTGTCGCTGTTCGCAAAGGATTAAAGGAGGTGCGAAGTGTCAAAATGGACGGGCATTCTATATCATAATAATGATCCCGACGAATAAATAGTTGCAAAACTATACCTGCGCGTGCGATCAACTGTACCCCTAGTGTTGATCGGCAATCACAAGTTAGTCATGATCAGCTACAATTTTGCACTGAGAACTTAACCTTGAAGCAAGGAAGTAAAGCATCAAAAGACCTGATAATATATACGTATGTGTATGTATATCAAATTACTCTGTGATTCCTCACTTATAAAATATAACCCAGTATCATTCGTGATGACAATTAAAACATATGTAGTTGAAACTTGAATATATGAAAACGTTTTCTGAATTGCCGTTGTTTTGTATTTTGTAAAGATTCTGAGTGATTTTTCAGAATCTTCAATACTGTAAGTAAAATACATGGAATTGATTGTGTAATTATGACATCACACCTGCAGATATAGCTTTCTGAATGTAAATATGACATCAATTCTGCCAGCAGAAAACGAGCTTCTTTACATGCAGAACATATAAAGCCATGGCCCATGGCGAGATTTGTTTTTGTAACTAAAAAAAGAAGCGAAATACACCAAGCGAGCTTACAAACTAAGACAGAGAAAAGAGAGAGAAAAACACAACCTCGGCATTGATAACTTTCAATATCACGCGAAAATTATTAATTATTGTCGTAATAGATTTTTTGAAGTTTAGTAAATTTCGTGTCCGCATGTCCGCGTTTTCCACCTGACTTGCGTGTCCGCATGTCCGCGTTTTCCATTTGACTTGCGTGTCCGCGTGTCCGCATGTCCGCGTGTCCGCGTTTTCCACCTAACCCTGCCAAAACGGTCACTGTGAGTCCTTTCTGCTCAACTTTATAGAGAAATAGTTTCGTTTGCGCTTGTGGGATTTTATCCTAGATATACGCATGTGCAGAACACACCATAAGTTCTATTCCCGTGTTTATTCAGTTTAATACGCTCTTTGAATTAACCTTATCATTAATGATAATATGTAAACTAGAACACTATAATTGACCTCCGCTTGTGGAGATTTTAATCGAAAGCGGGGCCCGAAAAGATAAAGAAACACTTAGTTTAGATTACTGTCAAGGTTCAATATTTGCGAGTCTGATCAACCCACACAGTTGACCAAGAAGTAGCCAAGATGAGTATAGACTATAGCGTTAAATGTTGGGCTATATATATAAAAGATAATGAAGACAGCTTAAATAATAGGAGGGGTTAGTGTAGGATGCCTATTAGCAATACGTCATGTAACATTAGTTAAATAGGAACTATTGCATCATGCAGTTGTGACAGTTACCATAGTAACGAGAAAGGACAGACAAACAGATTTTCAAGATGGCGATTAATCAATCACGTTGTTATTAATGTTCACATTGTTTTACGAAATAAATTGTGCTTTCTACTGTTTTAATACGTGAATTATGGGATAGATCGAGAATTTAATGAGCGGGCAACATATACAGAAAACAGAACCTACCGTAATTGTTTCATATGATGAAAGGATTTCTTCCCATATTTTTTGGTTTGATGTATCGGCTTTAATGAGGGCCAATTTATCACTCGTAACCGTATAACTTTTCTTTTTGGCTGGGGACGCCTGGGGGGAGTCGGAAGCACCTAAAAACAAGTAAAAGAACGTATTTATAGCATTGCGTAGGATTGCAATGTAGAGCCAACAGGAAAACCACAAGATCCAATCACTCTTCAATAACTTGAGGTCGAGCCATTGAGATGAATAGGAAGTTTACGAATTGTAAGACGGCGACGTCAGGACGACGGACGTCAGGACGACGGCCATCAATACAATGACATTAATCCTATAGCACAAAAGAAATGAATAACTAAAAGTGTAGCAAGGGTTTCAGACGTCGTCCAGGCTCTGTTGACAACGGCAAAATGTATATTTTCAAGTCTTGCATAGCACGCTAGCATTTCAAGCCGTGGCATGTAGGTTTTTCTAGCAGAGTTGATCAACATAGCTCTATTTTACTCGTTCGAAACTATTTTAAATTCATACAAAAGTAAATACAAGACAAGATTTCCATACAATCATCCATTTCAAACAGTTTGTTTTAGCCGTTGTCCTGACGTCGCCGTCTTGCATTTGTAAATTCCTTATTATAACTGGAACTATGCTAATGGACCATTTGCATTATAGACTAAATTTTGATCTAGACAAAAATTCCATCACAGCTTGAAAGAGCATCACAAAATGAATAATATTCCAAAAGTGTCGTTGCAAAATGCGGATAATATAGCCATGCGAAGTTTGCTGTTTTTCAGTCATTTTGTATTACGCACGGGAAATTGACAGCCCAGTCGGGTGTTGGGGCAACAATTTCCCGTTTGTAATACAAAATGACTGAAAATTGCAAATTTCGCAAGGCTATATTATCCGCATTTTACAACATTCCGCAACGAAACTTTGGAGTATTACTAATTTTGTGATGCTCTTTCAAGCTATGATGAAAATTTTGTCTAGATAAAAATTTAGTCTATAATGCAAATGGTCCATTGTTGAAGGGATTTGCAGATGGAAATTTCGAGTAGACTGTATACTCTCAAGTGTCATCATTATTGTTAGTGCATTTTAGTACCACTAATAAGCACTAACTTACTTCTTTTGCGCTTTCCTTTGGACCCTTTCGCATCCTTTCCTTGCATTTTATTTTCTTTTTCCAAACGTTTCTTTTCCTGTGCCTCGAGATATCCTTCAGGATACTAGAATGAAAAACAGTGAACAACGTTTAAAGTGTAAGCTTATGCAACAAAGTTAATTTTTCTTGATTGCATGGATTGCAAAGATCGCGTAATTTTGCATTGCAAAGATGACGATAACCTCTTCGGCGGAATTTTGCAGTTCTCTCAGTGGATTATCTATATAGAGATTGTTGACCAATCACAAATGAGAATAAAGTTTCAGTGTATAATAATGGCGGTTACAAGTAATTCATGTATCATCTCATTCCGACGTTTTCTAAAGTTATGACGTTACCTGTTGTGCTCGAGATGGCCGCAAACGTTAAACAATATCTCACAGTCAACGTAATTAAACGAATGTTGTGTTCAATTAGTAAGTGCATTTATAGGCAGACATTCTGGTACGCTTAGTCGGTTACAATAGCAATAGACTAGCTATCAGGTCCCTTTTCCTCCTCTAATTTTTTGCTTCCCACTTACTAATTGTACCAAAATTCATTTAATTTTTTTGAACCATCTATGAGCCAAGAAATAGTGCCAGGATTGTGGGCTAAACGTTTTCTGATATGGGGGCGTGTGCGAGGTCGGCCCTGGTGGTCTACAGTTTGGTTTTCCCAAAGTTCGCTTAGTAAACTACCAAATATACGTTTCAAGCAAAGTCCTGTCGTTCTAAATTCTCTTTAGGAACCGGTCGTTATATTTATGGCGGGGGGTGGCACCGAAGATAAAAGTTTTTCTTGGTAAAAATATTACTGATCCAATTTTTGAAATATTACTGATCCAGAAATATTACTGATCCAAAATATTACTGATCCAGAATTTTTCTTTACCCAATTTCAAATGTCAATTAAAAAACAAATACCCACTTCTGGCCAAAAACTTGACAAATCTGAGGATACCGTTCAGTTGTCACACATGTCCTTTACTACTTCTGTAACACGAGTTTGATAAATGCTTGTGCAATTTTCTGCAGTGTAAGATTTCATGTTGTCTGCACATGTACTTTCTTTCAAGACACCATTTACCTCCTGACAAATCGGAAAATGACCAAAAGAGTGACTCTGGTTTATTAACATATTGCACGTATTTACATGCATACATGACGTTGACATTGGTTTTTAGTTTTCAATGTTTGAGCGAGTCGTGCTTTGGAAATGACAATGTTCTTTTTGTTACCCAACCCTTATATTTTTCAAGTAGTCGCGTACACAAGAGCCCAGTTTTTGTTGCATGTCATATATGGCATGCAACTTTCATATAGCTCTAAATTTCATGTCGTCGTGTTCAGTGTGCGTACCGCCGTCCGGTCGTAAATCACGTGGTAGATTTGTAAAGTATGAGTGTACGACAAATACCGAGTTTTTCCGACGAGCATTTTCATGCCGGGTTTTCGTCGAGAAACGCAAAGAAATATTGATTATTCGCCGAACATTTACATAATTGAGCGTCTTAGAACAATAAATCGAGGTAGGTAAAGCTTTATTGCTTTAACTTACCTGATATTTTGTTATTTGTTGTGATTTTGCAGCCGTTGTGCTCGCACTGATTATTTACAATTATCAGGCGTTTATATTTATATATCGTGAAAGCCTCCAAGCCCAACGCTATCAAAATACTCGATTTTTATATACTCAAACCGAAACGGAGCCATTGTGCTCGCACTGATTATAATGTGTGCAAAGCTTCAAAACTACAGCACATTTTGAAAATAACATGAAACATAAATATCAAACAAAATTTGAATTATAAACAGACAAATAGTATTAATACTATTGAAATTTAATACAACGAAATAGCAACCATTGTGAAGTACGCATAAGATTCAACTTGACATTCAACATGACATTCGATATAGTGTAAATTAACTCATTTCAATCACTCAAACGTCAAAATGATAAATAATTTTCAATCTATTACAGTAATTCACCGTTTCCACGGGTTTTTTATACCTTTAAAAAGTTACAATAAAGCTAAATCTAAAGGAAATAACGTTATTTAGTTATAAATTTGTGAAGGAAATCTAACAGTCAATCGCTTTCGATAAAACCTTGACCCACCTTGACCTTGTTAATTAATGTTATTACTGTCGCTTGCAACTAAATATTAACGGTCGCTTATAAAAACATTGCCTATTCGCCTGTTTCCCGACTCCCATGATTGCGAGGCACTACCATGGTTGGTGGCCAGACAAGTTCTTTCCAATTCGCACGTGCTCACAGAGCCGACTGGGGACGAGTCAGGTTCTACACCGTAGGCTGATTCACGTGAGAATCTTAAGTTTTCTTATTTTGACATAATAGCTATTTTTCAATAAATATATTGATATTATTAAACTTATTGAGTCAATATGTTACGTTTCACGCCAGTTGTACAAAAGGTTATATAAAGCGCTATAGGCTATAGCGCATCATAAGTTTCAGATGGCATGAAACATGTACGCACTGCGTACCTATTTTTTACTTTTTTGAAGGAATTTCAGCTATATTTGTTTGTCGTTTAGTAGCTTGCTCTCATAAATGTCAACAGTACAAATAGCAGTGTAAAGTTGATCGCCATTTGCTCTGTAACGGTCACTGACACAGCTTATACTGAAAAACTTCACATACCTCCATGGTTAAACCTAGTTCTTCTATCCTTGCTCGACCTTCTTTGGTCCAAGGAGCTGGCTCCTGTAAAAATAAATCAGGCAAAATGATAGGAGAACGGTGAACAGAATAATGGTCGTACAACCAATTCGTACGGAAAACCACTATAATCTAAACTGTGCTTATAGGGAACATCATTTAACACCTTATTAAATTATGGTTATTTAATTGGCTGATTATGATCACGTGATATGGAATTGGAATTCCTATTTTGCTACCGTGCAATGTTACTTGCATTATTGCACGCTCAGCCGTACGAGTACTATAGAATGGCGATGTTTAATTAAATTCAGTCATTCAAAATCCTATTCGTATCGTAATCGAATAATTTTCATACTGAGATCGATGGAATTAAATTCAGTATAAACTAATTCTATATAATTAATTAGAAATTAAATTCGATACACAAACTCGTGCGAAGCAAAATGGCGGGTGTAAAATTTTCATAAATAAACAATATTCGTACGACAATTTTCACTACAATTTTTACGATAATTAACCGCCATTATCATTCATTCTTGGATTTTGATTATTTTTGAACAAGGCATGTATTTGCTTTGTCTTTAATTCACTTAAAAATTCCATACAATGTATCTATTTTCAGTATTTTGGTGTCATATAAAACAAATAATAAATGTTGTCATTGCCAATGCATTCATAAACATTCCTTATTTGTATATTATGCAAATAATGAATGTTTATGAGTGCAATGGTAAAAATATTTTCATGAGGTGAAAGATGGCGACAGCCGAGTGGAATGAAAAATTCCATCTTTTACCGAATGAAAACATTTTTACTATTGCACGAATGAAAGCATTCATTATTTGTTTTGTATGACACCAAAATACTGAAAATAGATCAATTTTATCGAATTTTTAAGCGAATTAAATACAAAACAAACACACATACCTTGTTCCAAAATAATTAAAATCCAACAAAAAAATGTCAACAAACGTTTTAGTGAAGCATTAATATGATGATGGAGGTAATTTACCGTAAAAATTATAGTAAAAATATTGTATTTTTACACCCACCATTTTGAATGATTGGATTTAATTAAATCCAACCGTTGAATTGTACAAAAACTACTGCACGGCTCAGCGTGCAATACTTTTTGTACTATTGCACGGTAGCAAAATGGAAATTTTGATTCCATACCACGTGATCACAATCAGCCAATTAAATGACCAGAATTTAATGAGGTGTTATATAATATCCACCGACACTGCGACACCGTCAAGTACAAGAATTGCGAAAAAGGAAATTCCTTCTTGAATTTATTTTACTCACCATGGTGGCAAAGACGTAAATAAGAACCGCATAATAATTACTATCTTTGTAAGGCCAGTTGAAATAAAATCCTGACTATAATTGTATATAATACTATTGTTTGTGGAAACACCGCGTAAATTTATTACTGCAAAGCTTTCGATCCGTAAGCGCCGGTCTTCATCAGTGCTAATAATATGAGACCTATTAGCACTGATGAAGATCCGGGCTTACGGATCGAAAGCTTTGCAGTAATAAATTTACGTGGTGTTTCCACAAGCAATAGTATATGGTTTATCGCCATGCAAACCTACAAAGAACTTATAATTATATAAATACATAAAAGAAATAATAATTAATTTTACCTCATCGTCACGGCGAAGCAAATATCGTCTCACAATATAACCAGATTGACCTTTTTCAGGCCAGTATTCCACAATCTGAAAAGGAATACATACATGTGGAATTATCAGGATGTTGGGTATCGCACTCGATGGAATTAAAAGGTTGAAGGATTTTTGGAGTTGGAAATTTCGAGTGTAAATTTTATACATCTCTCTCCTGCAAGACTCGTGGCCTATATATATATATATATATATTTAAAAAACTCATTAATAGTTCATGAAGAAAACACAAAGAAAAATTATAAGCGTGTCTATCTGTATATGTGATACAGATTCATGTTGATTTACATAAACTATAACTTTGATTTTCTCGGCTTAGACAACGTTTATTTTTAAAATTACTTCGCCAATGAACTCATAAGATGAGTCGTTTTTAAGCCATTTATATATCCGATACAACACGGCCGCTCATGTTGTAAATAGTACATATAATTGCACTTTTTGCAGTTGCTCCAAGCTGGTTAGATCTACGGGTGTATAAATGTTACACTTGACGACCACGGTGGGTCAACTTGTCTAAACTTTTCAGCTTGTCCCACATACAGGGTGTATATAAAAAAGGTAATTCCACTTCAGGGTGCTCTTGTGCCATCAATATTAAAGGGCATATGACATTGAAAACTGTAGAGTAACTTCTTTGACAGATTTTTGTTTTCTAGATATGCAAAGGACCAACTTCTACATCACACATGCATAATGACTTACTTTAAAATGTCATATAATTTAGTCACTATCAAATAAATTCGCTCAAATTGAATGACGAGCACTATATTTGACACCCATGTTTTCTACTGATTGTGTTTGGTCGTATTAAAGATGTGCAGCTTTTAGGGGTAAATCAATATGCAGTAAATCATTATGCATTATTGCATATCATACAAGATGAAATATTTTAAAAACGAAGCATAGAAAACAAAAATCTATCAAAGTTACTCTACAGTTTTCAATGATCTTTCAAATAAAATAACAAGGTCAATTTTCGAGTCATATGCCCTTTAAGTTCGCAGATCTAAATTTTCCATATTACTATAACAATTATTTTTCAACTTTTGATTGACACCTTTTTTGTACCATTGAAGCACAATTGATCAAATATACGAGCGGATTAAAAATTGCCGGTCAAAACACATTTCTACTTTTGTGCATAATTAAGCAGTACAGGGTTCATTAAAAAGAGGGCTACAGAACTTTGGCATTTTCGCGTGTGTTGGACTCTTAGTACTCCACTGATACCTTTTTGTGTCATTAAGAATCAAAGGCCGTTGAGGCAGACTCACGGATGAGATCAAATGAAAGTGACAGAAAGGATTAGAGCAGTTGCAGTTCTTTTTGCAAACGAGCACCTTGCGAATTTTGCCATTTTGCCATTTTTTATTGCCAATTGCCAGATCAAAAGAGCGAACGCGTGGTCCAGTCCGATTTCCGGTTCTGAAAGGCCCGATTCGCAGTGCAAAACAGTGCGCGCAAAGCAGGCTGGTCATTTCTCATTGTGTAACTGCCTCACACACAAGTAACCACAAAGAAAAATTGAATCTGTGCACTTAATATTGAGGGCGCAAGAGCACATTAAATTTGGGTTGACTTTTTATACCTACAATGTTCTGCATTTGAACTATTGTCATTAGCCTATGCATGCAGCCATCTATACTTAAGAAATAGATCAAAGGCCTTCGAGGCCGACTCACGGATGAGATCAAATTAATTAAAGGGGGATATGATTTACAGCAGTTTTTTACAAATGGGAACCGTGCAAGGGCAAGGTCATTATTTGGTAAAACACGACATAATATAAAATGTTCCCGAAGATCTTACAGGTTTAAAGTTTAATTTTAACGACATCCTCGATTTTAACAATAAGGGACCGGTCATTAATTATGGAAGGGGGGAGGGGAGGAAAAAAATAAGGGGGGGCATATGTAGAAATGACTAGAAGGGGGGCTATTAAATTTTTTCAAGAAAATGACAGGGGGTGTTGCAATTAAACTTGAAGGAATTTGCTTAATAACCTGGTATCCATTTGGTTGTAAATGTTGCAACTAAATCATGGTCACTGATGTGAAATAGTCTGGATTCATCTTGTCTTGTGTGTGCTGTATGCAGTATGCAGTATGCAAATCAGTCTTTACGGATTGCAGACTAGTTAAATTGACAATGTATTATTACATCAGCTCTTGATGTGGTTAAATACATTTAAATTAAGCAAGGTTAACGGCGTTTGTATTATGCAGGCCACATCCGCTGCGGGGAATCTGTGACGTCATATCGATCAAAGGGGGTTGTTTCATGCCTTGTGATCAGTGCTTCGGTCTAGGTATTCATTCTACCATTGTATGCTTTGCCTAGCTGCAGCAAGTTTTGCGCTTCGATACCTTTTCCCGACCCACCCACCCATGTTCATTCTAAAAGATTTTATCTGGTAGCTAGTATATGTCATTTTTATATAATTTTTAATCTCACATAAAATAGGATGTATAGACCACTATACACTGTATTTCGCAGGTATGCCTTGGCAGAATTGTCATTCCTATCTCCTTTTGCTGCTAATTTTACTCATTGTTGCTCTCATTGTTGCCGCGCAGTTGCTATGGCAATACTTCGTACCATCAAGTCTAGTTGCAGCCTTAAACATGGTTACGATCGCCCAGACCAAATGGAAACCTGATTTTAGTGTTATATATAAAAATACTCCTCTTTTAATTACAATTTTCTGCTAATAAATATATATTTTTGGTCGACGTTAATATCTTGCCAGTTCCATATTCTTATTTAATAATTAATACTATAACGCCTGGGTATCCCCATTTGACGAGTAAAAATGAAAATGGGGGGGGGGGGTCAAAGAAAAATATTCTAATATGGCAGGGGGGGCATCATTAAATTTCTGCCATTTAGGGGGGCTTTCAATTTTAAAAATTTAGAAAAGAAAAATTCCCCTCCCCCTTCCATAAATAATGACCGGTCCCTAACCAATATCAACAGTCTTGAAAAAACAATCTGAATAGATTATTATAAAACTACACACTATCAAAGCAAATCTATATAAAAGTACAATAACCATAGCTGTCAGGTGTGTATAGTGTTCAACAGAATAACTATAAGTATAAAGCTGTACCTAATACAGTCAGTATCAGTACATCCAATGACCGTGGCTTTCCGATATGTACAGTGTTAAACAGACTGACAATTTAAACATGATAACTATAATAAGTATAAAGCTGTACCCAATGTAATATATCAAATGACCGTAGCTGTCCGATCTACAGTGTTGAACAGGACAATTTAAACATGATAGCTATAAGTATAAAGCTGTAACCAATACAGTACATGCTGCATCAACGACCGTAGCTGTACGATGTACAGTGTTGAACAGAAAAATTTAAACAGAACAACTATAAAACAGCACCCTTATTGATACAACGGTACAGGTAGCTGTCCAATGGCAGTACAGTGTAAGTAAATCCAGGTGGTAATGCTGCCTCAGTGTCCAATGTTCTTTTTCTTTTTAGACCATTTATAATTGTTACCAAACTGTGAATAAACATAAATATCTACATTGAAAAGCGAATGGCTGCAAAAATTTCAATATCTGTCCCCCACACACCACTGTTCCTCATGTTGCTTGTGGCTAAATAATGATCTACTGAACTATTCATATATGGTCTCAGGACATGTTCTATACTGTTCATGTGATCCACTATTTTTTGTCTTAAAATCATGTGGTATGTTTGTCTACCGGTTAAAATATATGACAGTGCTCTAAATAAACAATTGCCATCCCCTGTAATCCGACAGAGTTTCGTTGGATTAACTAGTGGTTTTGATGTTGTTTCATTGCGTCTAAATATAAGTGGGACATTCATCAAAGAGCATAAGGACAGCTGAAATTCTCCTGATAGAGGATAAAAATGAAGCGATCTATCGATACACTGCTGAGACTCGTCCGTGCCAGCTGATACTAGGCTACAGTGCCAGCGCAGTCATGTGAAATATACAACGGCAAGTCGGCAACGTGACTTTAATACAAAGATTTTGTGTCGTGTTGCTTCGAATAAGACAAATATGTCCTTTGTATTCCGTGACAGCTAAAACATGAATTATTAATTTAAATAACATGATTAAATTTGGTAAACAAAAAACTCTTTCAATCGACAGAAACTATGGAAACGGTGTTGAAACGGTGTTGAAACACAGCTGACAGAGGCGCTCGAAAGGCACCAGAAAATGTGAACACTTGTATATATATTGAACAAAATAGTGTTAATATTTCAGCTAAAAGGTAGATCAGTGTGTTAACAGCAGATCTGTTGGGTGAAGTAGAAAAACAGATAACAATTAAGTCAACTAACACTCACCTTTTAATTTAGCACACGCTTGTCAAAAAGTCAAAAGTTGAAAAGAACGTGAAGCGTGCTCCAGCCCAATTTCCGGTTCCAAAAGACCCGTTCGCAGGCAAACACTGCGCGCAAAGCAGGCTGGTCATTTCCCATTGTTTAACTGCCCCACTCAAGTAAACCACAAAGACTCACAGATGTTGCTTCGCAACATCCGTGAGTCAAAAACGAATCGCATGCGTTTATGGTGTGATAATGCACGCGGGGAATATTGGGAGAATACGAGAGAAGTTGTACACGCTTCTCGAGTGTTCTCCCAACATTCCCCGAGTGCTATCACACCACAAACGCGCGCGACGAGTTTTTCTATTTCTTTTATAATATAAGTAGAACATATTACATATAGTAAACAATTTTACTCAAAAGATCAACTTTGAAATTCTCCTAACATGTACTCGGGGTGACGTCACGCGCATGCTTTAACTGTCGCTTGAATTTTCAAGCGAGCGGAGCAAAAACAATACAAAATTTTGAGAAAGTTTTGATGCTAAATTAAAGTTGCGGAGAAACGGTTTAGAATGCTGGAGGAAAAATCCCAGTGATACACAAACTGATTTTCTAATGTTTTTCAGCATTTGGGTTGCCGGATTTGCCATGAAGGACGTTAAATCGTAGGTTTCGTCGTGTTGCTCAGTTTTAATTTTCGAAATTATTGTATTTTTTGCCTTTCGCCGAAAATATATCTAGCAGTTTTATCAGAAGCATTGAAGGTACTTTCTAAATCACTTATGTTCAGTTCTTGATGCCTTTTTCTATGTTTTTGGTATTCCTGTATCTTTTTCAAGTTTTCCCCCCCGACTATTTTGCACGCATTTTAGTGAGTGCCAAGCCGGTTAATTTTTATACTGTTTTTACACGTAGAACTATAGATAACATTCCTTTGTTCCTTTGGTCTATTCCTTCCTGCTTTCTGATACATTTTGTAATTTAAAAGCTCTATAGTTTTTGTTTATATTTTTGGCTAAAAAGCGGAGATGAAGCGGGGGAAAACCACTGAGCTGTATAATAACTGGAGGACCTGCTCCTATCTCTCGTCAGTCAAAAAAGTGTCGCCAAAAACATGGCGGATTTTGAGTGAAAATGACGCCATTTCCATGGCAACTGGTCCGAAAACCTCATGGTAGTTACCACTGACCAGGCTCAATTCTGAGCCCACGGCAGTTTTCACCCCCCCCCCCCTGGTTTTTTGCAAAAGATTTGGTTTTTGCAGGTAAATATTTATAGTTGTCGTTGTTTTAAATCTTTTGTATAAATTTTGAGATATATTTACTACCTTTGACCATTTGGTTAAAGGTATGCAAGTCGTACGTGTTATTCTCGCCCGCGAAAGCCAAACAAAACCTCGAGAAATGTGGGAAAAGAGTATTAATTTATTAAAGACGATACTTGAGTCGGGTAAAAGGTAGGAGATGTCTAGTCAATTTTACTCATTCTTTATCTTATTTGGCATGAAATTGGTAAGCCTAACGATGAAATACACTTCATTTGTTAAGAAAACAAGCTTTCAGCTTTCTACAGTCCAAATTTCATATTGTAAGGTGTAAAATTTCCCATTATTTTAACAAGCTGTATTCACAAATATTTAGTTCTATGTAAACAACACAGATTTGATATTCACACATTTGTACGATATATACTGTCTAAACTCACTAAAGTGCAAACTATCTTGTGTAATAATGTTAAAAAGGTTGATTGCAGAGCCTGAGGTCTCGTTTTATTACTTTTACAAACATACACTTTATGAAACTATGTGTTTGTAGGGTTTGTGTTTAATATGCACCAACTTTTGTATAAGTTACTGGGGTACTGGAAGCTAGCTTATCCAGGAATGTAGTTTCTGTCTACCTATAAAATACTGATTGGGGACACTTTTTGTGTCATTATACACCTGATTATAAACTCCTTAAGCTTTAAGCACCAGTGCTCTCCCCTCAACAAGTAAAATTGTTTGTTTATCAATTTATATAAAATAGGGTGGACTAGTCTAAGGTACAATGCAACTTTTAAAACAGTTTAAAATGAAAGCATTCCTAAGCAGCATTGTATGTAGACCTTTAAGATAGGAATAAACCTGCAGCCATCAGTGATTCTGATGCAGTGTTCAAACAAATTTATACTGATCAGCTACTGTGTCGAGCTGTAATTGCAAATTAATTCATGTAAATATCATAAGGTGAAGCCTGTAGTAAGGTGTAAGGGTAAATGTCAGGATTTTGGACATCACACTCAACAGATTGTTAAATATCAAAGGTAGCGTCACTAGACGAATATTTTAAGTGTCAACTTTATGCATATTTAGACCTAACCAACCTAAAAAATATAGTTGCATCTTTTCCAGCTGCTTTAACCAGGTCTAAAAATGTACAAAATTGACACTCAAAATTTTCATCGATCTACAAAAATCCTTCAACATTTAGTGATGTACATCAGCATTGCCATGTAAAACCCTTTTCTCACCAAACATGCACTTACTGCATGTAATAAGTTGGTGCATGGTCAACATAGGAATATTTGCACAAGAATAGACATTACGTCTCAATTCTATATTTTTCTCATACAGAATACATGGTCTGCTTCATTAAATTAATATGTAGTTTTTAGATAATAATTAAACTGCTTTATATTTTTTTAGACCAAGAAGTGTTCTCTTAAATTAAGGGAGAGGTATTGTCAGTGGCAAATTTGAGGAATCTGATGCATACTTCAATGCTGCAATCCTCAAGGTCTGAAAATTGGAGGTTTTGTACCAACCTCTGTTAATCAGCAGGGATCGATCAAAAGATGTGCTTAAATTAAGTAACACTACTAGTTTTGTAAAGAAAATGAAACACTCTTGATGACATATACTAGATTTGTTGAAATAGTTGAACTGAAGCAATGATAGCAATTCAGGCATTTTGGGGGAACATTTTTAAAAATGTACTTGTTTTTAAAAAGTAAATTTATATTTGACCCATAATTTTCTCAGAACCAATCCAATATTCATCACTACATTAAACATATTTTCAGAGGTCAAGTATTACTAACAGTGATTTGAGCTCTAGGTGTGGAAATAGAAATCACAAAATGTTAATAATAAATGAAAATTTTAATAAATTTTATATATTTACATAATACGTGCTGCACTGTAATTTAGTATTTATGACAACAAGTATTTATAATCATTGAAAATTGTATTGACAGAATTTAATTACATTAATAAGGGGGCATTCATTATTGATGTGGGGGGGGGGATGGGTGAGAAACTGGGGGGACCTGAGATTTTCCCAGATGAAAAGGGGGACTGCAATTCTGGTATTAAAACCAAATCCTGGGGGTACCTGACATTGAAGGAAGACACATCTACACATTTCAAAATTCATGGTGAGGGTAAAAACAAAAAGAAATCAGATTTACATAAACTTCATCTTAATTTATTTACGAAGTTATCAAATACATCATTTCTGAAGTTATTCAAAACACTCGCAGTACATGTTTCATCACATCTATTAAAACACTTGGGTATCACCTTGTGTTATATTAATCTGATAAAAGGTTGCTGTTGGTACTTTGAATATATTTTAATACAATATAATAACTAACTTTCTTTTCTGCTCTCTCAGTCCCTGCTATACAATTCTACAAACATGGACATACTACATTTAGACACAAAGATGTACATTTAGATTTAATGTACTGTAGTGTTAAAAAATTAAATGTGACTGTGTGTAGTACTCTTTATTGTCAATAAAAAAGAGTTGTGCCATAACTTCAATTTGTTCTTCTCCATTTTGGCATCCTGTGCCATCACTTCCGGTACCTGTATTAATTAAACAGATCATTATTATACCACAATCATGTTATTACACATCTTTAGTAATTAACAAAAATATAATATGTATTGCATATATGTTAACCCTTTAAGTGGCAATGCACCCTAATGTACTTTAGGGGAGAGCACTGCCACTCAGTGGGTTAATCAGACAATCTTCTGCATGGTTATGCATAACTATTTTACTAATTGTCACTTGGAGCTAGTGCTCATATGCCACTCAATGGAATATAAATCAAACTATCTGCATACCCAATGTGCCCAACTTTAGTTAATCTTACTCTGTCAAACACCAGATTATTTTACACGATCTGTCTAATGCCAGACAATTTTACTTGTCAAAGGACAGCACTGCATGGTGCCCCATGGGTTAAGGCAAAAAAGTTTAAAGAACTACAATATCCAACAACATAAAGTGCATGGTCATATGGATCTGGCAACCTAAATCCCCCCCCCACAATAAGTGGCCACCACTGCCGCACAACCCCATATATAAACACTGCTACAAAAAGCCTGGCAAAAGTAGGACTTGCTTGTCCAAGCTCAGTGAGACTTGTTCAATGTGGGGGAATGCAATGCAGCCTTGTTCACAGGACATGAAGTCTGTGCAGTTTCTGGACTATCACTTGTTGCTAAACCTACTGAGAGAGATTGTTAAATCTAACTCAAAAGATAGTTTCAGTTATACCATATCTTATCTCTAAAACACATCATAGGCAAGCAATCATGCTTATCCAACTTTTGCTAACTGCTTTGAACACTCTCAGGTCCTGGGTATTTTTTCCCTCTGTCCCACACTCTCTGTCTTTGTGCTTATCTATATATTAATCCTGATTCACACCATATATAATCTGTACGACCGTGTGAGCATGTGAACAACCACAATTATTATAAATTATTAAAAACTGGCAATAAAAAACACAAAACAACATAATTTCATGTCCACAATTTTCAACGATTATAAACAGGATTTATATGTCCGTATCCCGGTTCATGTGTCTGCTATTGAAATATTTGCTGTATATATATAGTAGCATGAGTTTTTGACTTATATTATAGTCATTTGACTCATTTTCGAGACTCGAGAGTCATTTTATATCTAGCAACTAGCAACTAGCAAGGTTCTACAAAGTAAAAATAGTTTCACGAATCTTACCTTGAAAAAATAGTTAATCTTTCTTGATAGTGAATTGTTGCATCAACAAACGAAACAAAACGGCACTTTTCCTCCACATCGTAAAACAAGTAAAGTGCGAAGGAAAGATTTTCTAGCTCAAAAACAACCGAAAACCTCTAAATTTTGAAATTGTGAAATATTTGTGTAAAAACAGGGGGGTGCAGGACTTTGTTTAGTGCTTCGGATCGCGGTTGGTCAGTGGCAATTACCAAGGAGACTTCGGACCAGTTGCCATGGAAATGGCGTAAGCGCCGCCATGTTTTTGGCGACACTCTTTCATGCCGAGTAGGTCCTCCAGTAATATAGTATAGCTCAGTGGGGAGAACACAGAAAGAGCAAGGCCGTGCCACGGAACAGTGCATTATTGCGTCACAATACACGCGCATTAGCCAATCAAATTGTCCGTTATATCCCACTTATATTGTAAACAGTTATAGTGTGAAATATTCACCTTATATATTCCATCATATCTGTTCCCAGTCTCAGGAGCGTACTTTGAATGTTTCTTGAATTTACTGCTACGGATCTACACAATTTTGAGAAATGTTCATTCTTGATGCAATAGTTAAGTAACATCAAATTATAGAGCGTTTGCACATGACGTCACAGCCGCCATGTTGGTGTTCAAATTCAAAAGAATTTTAATTAGACTCTTTTGTCTGGAACACCAACATGGCCGCCATGGTTTTTGTTGAGTTGGTTCCTGGGGAATGAGAGAAAACGCTCTATAGTTAATAGAATAGATGGTTTGGAAACTCATTAGAATAACAGTATAACTCATTATCGATGAGTCAACGTTTATTCATAAATATGTTCCCATAAATATGTATTTTTGCCAAATCCACCAATAGCAATTTCAAATTTACCCCATTGCTCGAGTCACGGATAGGTAACTTTTCTAAAATATTGCTATTGGTTAGTTGGGCAAAAATACAATAAGCATGTGACGGTGAAGGACCATATTTATGAATAAACGTCGACTAACATAAACCGGTTTTTGCACTAAAAAATACATTTGGCAACCAACAAAAGTTAATACTACGGTTTCACTTACTATTTAGCAAAACAATTTTAAGAATTCAAGGAGAATTCAAGGAGTATTTAAGGAGTATTTAAGGAGTTTTTTAAAACTGTAAAGTTCAAGAGCTTTTCAAGCGCCCTTGAGAGGTCAAAACTTACTAAAGTAGTATTTAAGGACTTTAAGGAGTAGCACGAACCCGGTCTAGGGCTATCCTCAACAGCATTGCCATTCTGAACACAACTACGCAATATTGCGAACCGAATCAGCAGCCCTGCGATTCCGTGTCAAGCGATATCTGGTTGGGGGGAGAACTCAAAAATTTGGACCCCCTTCCTTTCACTGGCCCCCCTAAAATAATTTTCCGGAAAGCGAAAATTTTCCCGGGAAATGTTGGCGACGGCTAGGGGTGGTAGTCTCAAATAAATGCGATAATGGGGGGGGGGGAGGTTAAAAATTATTTTTCGGATCTTTTTCGACCTCAATTTTTCAGAATATTCCTTAATATTTAGCACGCTCCGCAATTCCAGCATTCCGGGGCCCCCTCTGGGGAAGTTGGCCCCCTTTCTTGTTCCCCCAGTAGTTCCGGCCCTGCAATCGTCCACAAAAATGACAAAATATTTGAGACAAACCACCCTCCCCGATTTCAATACGTAATACGTAAAATGTCAACTGCCAATGGGACAGTTGCGGTTCTGATGTCACTCTATGTTCATTCCACGAACATATAGTAGCCTTTCAACATTGAAATGAGGGGGGGGATTCCAAAAGTCTCAATATATTTTGTGGACGATTGTGGATGCAGCTGCATTAATCACAATTCAGCCAGTGTTGAGTTTATGGGTAAGTATCATGATTTTGGGCATGTCGTTCAAAAGAACAAAATGTAGACGGGGTTTTGTAGACGGAATTTTCGGACAAAAAATGTATAGGCAATTCTTGACCTTACCAGAAGCAACCGCGAAAATGCAACCTCCAAGCAGGAATGGAACGTGCAATCACATTCCAGCGCTCTGACCATTGACCTACAGAGTCCAGTGGCCGCGAGCATTAACCACAAGATTCCTGCTGCAGGGCCTAAAGTTGCATTTTTCGCAGTTGTTCCCGGTATAGGTCTAAAATTGTATATAAATTTTCGTTCGAAATTTCCAGCTCCAAAATACCCATCTTCTATTGAACGAGATGCCCAAAATCGTTTTATTTAAAAGTATCACGTCTTTCGAGCAACGTGACAGCTACCTTAAGGCCATTTTCCATTGCAGTCGCTTTACGCGGGCGGAGCGAACATTACTCAACTTTCCCTGTAGTTGCCTAACCTGTGCATTTTTTGTCCGTCTGGATGCTCGCAGACACGCCATGAAAGTAGAACTACATTCAACTTTCTTGGCGTGCCCGGGCGACTGATTTTTCACATGGTCGATTGGTCGCTCCGCCCGCGCGGGCAAAGCGACTTCAATGGAAAATGGCCTTTATTGAGACGTGAAATTAGTCGAGCTTATAGCAAACACCGCATCATTTTAGTCCAACTTAACTGAGTTTAAGAGTTTTTACGCACTCGTGCATTGGTCGCTCAAAACCAATCCGATCGAACGGACAGATTGCCAAAGACACGTTTGTCTAATAACAAGGTCGCGGTCCATTTCTTTTCGAGGTCCGTTTTGTAGTACTTTTCGCAGTCGCAAATGCCCAAAAATACGAACTTTTTGGGGAAAAAAATCTAAGTAATTAATCTCAAGCGATTTCATATAAAATTGGTGCGTAACATGCAACAAACCTCGGGCATTTTATATTTTTAATTCATAGAGGTGTGTTGTTAATCATTCTTTGTTCCATTTTATTCTGTACCAAGTTAGTACAATTTTAAAAATCAATCCTGTTGTTGATGGGAAAGTATTGGTTTGGGTATAGCTGGCCCTGGCGTGGTGCCTCCGGGACAAAGCACATTTTTTTTGGAGTGGGTGAATTCATTCACATTGGGTAATATGAAATTTTTTACTGCGCAAAAAATGAGGATGTGAAAACGTGATGTGGAAAATCGACCTTTCGCACAATAAAATTTTGCCCTGGAATGTCGAATTTTAAAACTCCAAAATTCCGCCCCACCCCCCTCCCCGCTAACAAGAGCAAGGTCACAAAATCTGGGTTTCCTAAAAATTATAATCGACTTACGACTCTGACAGGCTTTCCCGCTTTCCAATCCTTTGCTTTCACTCTACTCTTGTCGCACAATGACGCAGCGCAATTTTTGGCAAGAGCTCTGTTCATTTTTGTCAGCGTTTGATCACACGATTGTTCCGCAGTACGTTTGTTACCAGATAAATCTCGACCACCACTTCCTGTGTAGAAAAATTCATCGCCATGGTCCTAAAATGGACAAAAATCAAAAAGTCAAATATGACTTGCAGAGTTCAATGTAATTATAGCCTTTCTCACGAAGGCCAAAATCCGCCATTTCTGGGGTACTGTCTGCCCTCGTGAAAGATTCTACAGGGTGTATAAAAAACCTGAACAGATTTGAAATTGCTCTCAATTTCGCAAAACAGCTCTTAGTATCCACTTTTTGATGTATGTAGCTTCTTTGGGTACTTATAATGTAGGATAATGAAAAAAATTTCTCGAACTCAAATTTTGTGAATCAGGGGGTGTATCTTTTCCAACAAATTAAAAATGGCTTGCATGTGCACGAAATTTAAAAGCTTTAATCATATTTTGAGTTAATAGATGGAAAATTTGTTGGGTTTTTAATTAATGTACAAAATTTTAGACAATTTGCTTTAGTTTAAGCCCTTTTGTTATTCATTTTTTCCTAAAAAAACAGCCTTTCGCATGCTTAATTAATGCATTTACCTAATTTGCATGTTGGTAACATATGCAAATTAGGCAAAGGCATTAATTAAGAATGCAAATAGCTGATTTTTAGGAAAACATGTAAGTTTGCGTGAATAGTTAAAGGCTTAAACTAAAGCAAACTGTCTGAAATTTTGTACAGTAATTAAAAACCCAACACATTTTCCATCTATTAACTCAAAATATGATTAAAGCTTTTAGATTTTGTGCGCAAGCCATTTTTAGTTTGTTGGAAAAGACACACCCCCCTGGTTCACAAAATTTTTTCATTATTCTACATTATAAGTATACCCATAGAAGCTATATACATAAAAAAAACTGGATACTAATAGCTGTTTTGCGAAATTGAGAGCAAATTCATATGTCAAGTTTTTTTTTGATACACCCTGTAGACAATTGAAAAAACGTGAAAAGCGACTTTTAAAAGTTGTAACTGTAAATTTACCATTATACAAACTACAATACTAAAAAGTCATATTTCGTGGTGTGGAGACGCTCAAACGTGGGAGAGGCAGTACCCCCAAAACGGCGGAAACATGAGCCGTGAGAAATGCTAATTCCCGGGTTCGTACAAAATCCTTGAATTTCCAAACAAACATTCAAGGCCTTGGGAGTCCTTGAGTTTATAAAGTGCTTGAAAGTCCTTAAATTGTTCTTGTCTTAGTGGATATTTTCTGAAATTGTTTGGCATTAAGAATTGGACATTCTCTAAATTGATTTTGTTCATGTCTACACGCCAAAGGTGTTTGAAATTCATTAATTTAAACTGTTCAAACGGCAATTTTAAGTCACATTTTACTGATTAATACACCTTCTTTTCAGCCTTTAGTTCTTGAATATCCTGATATATGGCCTTGAAAGCCCTTGAATTTAACTCTTCCTGACCAGTAATTCTGATACATTGGTCTGACAAAAAAGTGATAATAGCATGGAAATACAACTAACTCAAATATCTCGAACACGAAGCAACCGAACGAAAAACTGCAAGGTTTTATATAGTTCTTTTAAATAAGACAACCCGCGTTGGCCGCGCGCGTCCTATCGCTTTAAATCCATCCCCAGGCCCTGCACGGAAATATCCTAAAAAAGGCCCGCTTCAGACGCTTCTAACTGTTAGCTGTCTGTAGTTTATACCCGATCTACCAAGCAATGTGCATTCCAAACTCTCTTTTCTTTTGGTTTTCTATTACACTCTGACATGCATGTTTTCATTTTTTGGCCATCGCGAACGCCTGAGCAGGCGTCTTGTTTAGTTTTAAAACGTCTAGTCACTTTTTTGTCAAAATCGTACGTTTCTTAGCAGGTATGTAGGGTAAAAAGTGACAAGCTATATAAAGAAGTCATCTCACCTTATCATCCTCATACCCCCCTGCCAAAACAATTGAGAAAGCCCCTTCGTTATCACGGCCATGAATACCGCTGACATGAGGTCTGTGGACACCAGCTTCACTTGCCTTTGGAGAAATATAAAACCAAATTATAGCTACACAGTCACATATTACGAGTTTTCGGGATTAATTTAGATGCAACTCAATAGCATTTGAAAAAATACGCGGAAACCTCAGCTGCACGGCAACAGGTTCGCAATTCGCGTTTTAACTAAAATGTTACTGTAGTAATATTGCCACACCTTTATCGACTCCGAGTTTGAATGGTAGGACGATTCTTCTCACTTGTGGTGAATTATCGGCCCACCGTTTCGATTGGCGGATCTTTTCGCCCTCATAAAGGCCCATACAGACCGAACGCGATTCGACAACCCGACGCGAATTTTCAGTTTTTAAAAACAAATAAGACCGAATGGATACAAGATATGCAGACCAAATTGCTAAAATTTCTTAAGTGGTTCCGAATATTTAAAAAACATAGAAAAATATTGAAGTTAAATGTCATTGATAATTGAAAATTCGCGTCGCGTTGCCAAATAGCGTCCGGTCTGTGCGGGCCTTAATTGTGAACATGGCGCCCGGAAGTCGTCGAACTGATCCTTTTCACTGCATTTTCGCTAATAAAGCGATCCATATTATCAGAAAGAAAACGCCGAAGGTAAAAAGTACTTTTTAATATGTGTAATATTTGGGCCATTCTAAGAAGAAATGTAATGTATCTTTATAGTAAAAAATATCATGTTGATCAACTTTTCCACTGTCAAAGTTTCCGGATATGAGGTCATTAGATGAATTTTTGGTATGAAAATGGAAGAAAAACTAATTTGCAATTCACCTAATGAAAGTGAAAAAGTCAAAAAGTTGATCAAGAAGGGATCTTTCGTTATAAAGATATTTACAGTTCTTCTTCAAATGACCCAAATATTACACATACAAACTAGGGATCCAAGGATAGTGTGAAGTTTCAAATTGAAAAAGATTCTGCAAGAACTATGTAGGGTCGCTGACAACCTAGAAAAGCTGATGTCTTACACTACGAAATAAACAATCACCAACGGCATTTCATCTCATTATATATTGCTTTTAATGCGCTTGACACACGAGTAGCGTGACGTTTGAAATAAGCCTAACACATCAGAAACGTGCTTTGTGAAACTGATACAATTTATCTATTTATTGTGATGCTACAGGGGAAATTCGAAATTTCAATTGCAGCTGTCGCTAATAAAAGCATCCGCACAAGGCTACTGCAAACTTATAATTGAAATAGATGCATACGATATGTTATAAATAATAAGCACTACGTCGTTACATCATTGAAAGGAAGCATTTTATCTTCATCCGTTCCGTATTTTTTTCGCATTTCCGTTCTGTGGTCCGCTCCATCCGCTTCCGCATTTTAACCTAATTGTGACATGTTTTACAATAACAAGTCCGCATTGACCTTTGACTTTTCCCAGTGTCACGTTGTGTCTATTTTTAACTTTTCGCATGTTTTGAATAATGTCACTTTAGATTTCAATAGTTTCACAGTTATAGCAGTGTTTAAAAGCAGTTTTGACAAGCTTTGATACAGTTCTGTGTACAGAATACTACAGATTAATTCTCGCAAGATCTGGTAGAGTCAACGTTGCACTGAACACGAATTTGCACCGTTGACAACGGCGTTGTGCTAGACACGTTGGTTACATGTACCTCCTTGCTTTTTTCTTCCATTGCATAAAGCTTCTTGGTGAGCCAAGCGATTGGCGATAACCCGTTGACGATAACATATTGGCTATCTCCTAGGGTACATTTTGATTTACGTCCGACAAAGCTACAGTTCGGTCGGACACTAATACACTCGGGTCGGACAATAAACCTCAGTTTCACTTTGGCCGGACAGAATGTCCGGTGGTTTCCTTTCTACGTCGGAGAATTTCACGAATGGGTCAGCCAATGTCCGTGACCGACCGATATTTTAAGGCCTGGAAAGTTGGTTACTGCCCTCTACCTGTGTAACAACGTCATAATAACACAAGATGATAATAACTTGTTTCAGATTTGTGGCAACAACTGGGAACAAGCAGAGCGAGCACATGTTGATATCGGCTAGACAACGACCTTCGTAGATCTGTAACAACTTGTAAAACTATATATATAATACAAACTAACCCCAATTCTGTATAACCATGAAGAACCGACTGGAATCCCGGGTATTGGACCAAAGTGGTTAGACGGCACAACTGTACATACTTTAGTTCTTCCAACACATGCCATTCCCTGGAGAAAATGTTATAAAAAAACGCATTTTCAGCAGTTTCCAAGCATCCAGCATAGTGCATCAAAACTAAACATTGAATGGATTTAATACCACTGTTCCGATAACGTAAACATATAGAATGGAACAGAAATTATGATGCATTTGGTGCTACGGGCATAAGAACGGTTTAATTGATTAGATCTAATTTCAAATGGAACACGTTTTATATTTCCTTTGTAGGTTTGCATGGCAATAAAATATATAACACTTTTGGTTTGTGGAAACACCACGTAAATTTATTACTGCAAAGCTTTCGATTCGTAAGCCCAGATCTTCATGAATGTTAGTAATACGTGACTTGTTCAATTCACATGCTCTTTTATATACCTTATATATACATTTCACAACGTTAGGCGTGGTTGATGTACTGTTTAATTAAATATTAAATGACGCGAGCCAACAGATCACGACACTTTGGTACTTCACGCCCCTCATGGAAATCAGCCTCCCAACGGTTGTTTAGGCTAGCGTGATTAAATAAAGTTTGTATGTATGCATGTATGTATAAAAGGGCGTGTGAATTGAACAAGTCATGTATTATTAGCACTGATGAAGATCCGGGCTTACGGATCGAAAGCTTTGCAGTAATAAATTTACGCGGTGTTTCCACAAACAAAAACTATTACACGTTTTATATTTATTATACAAAACTTACTCTTCCCCAATCCCGTGAGCTCTGAGAGTTTGCTGACGCCATTTTCTGTTTCTTTTTGTTAGTTCGTAGTTTTTCACCAGCTTTGATCACTTCAGAGGCGTCATTTTTACAGGAAGGGCAATACCTTAAAGAATGGAGTATAATGAGTAGTTACAATAGAGGGCTGTTTATAGGAAAAGGTCTAATTTTTTTAAAAAGAACGAGAAAGACCGGAATTCGAACCCACGACGAACGAAATTGTAAGTGCATGCTGTATGGACCCTATTACCTAATGAACAAAATTTTGTTCATTATAGGTAATAGGTTCATTGATCACGCTGCATGTATTTTATAAACAGAGCCCGACTAAACCTCAATCCGATCGCTCTGTGCTCACAAAAAATTTACATTTAGTATCCAATTCAAAAAATGTCCCAGGAGAAATGCCAATTTCTCAATCTAATTATATTTAAGAAATAGAAAAAATTTTCCGTGTTTCTATAGAGTTATAGAAACAAATGTGGGATAGAACACACGAGGATAAGTGAGAACGCGAAATGAATTTTGATCCTGAATACGAGAAAGACGCATAAAAAACATTGGGAAAACCGAAATAGCTTTACATGTTTCGCCTTAATTTGACAAAAGGTAACAATTCAAATCTGTATCAGAAATTTTAAGGTGGTAAACCTGACAACATCACACTAATTTATCAATGTCATAGCGTCAAATTTGTTAAAAGCACGTGCAAATACTCGAGCAAACTTCGTGGACTATATTTAGCATGGTTCCGGGGTTTTCCAGGTGGGTTCCGAGTGTTCCAGGTTTTACAAACACCCGTCTGTTCCCTTCTAATGGAAAACAGGGCCTGATGCTCAGATTACACGCCCTCATACCACTACGCCATTGGCGAACTCGCTGCCAGCACTCGCAAAAATACTTTTTTACCCAATATAGTTAGTTATTTTTTTCATAAAATTTATCTGAAGGTAGCGTTCCAGTTATATTCATTTCAATGACATGTTGACTTTTCCTGTCTCGTTCACATGTAGGCCCCGCTTTGTTTTGTTAATTGTGTACTGCATTGCATTGATCTTAGCCAATCTGAACTGAGTAAAATTATTTCATGTACATTATTAGCAATTTAATGACCTTACCATTCATCGTCATCAGGGATTTTTTCAAGTGGAGGATTTAAACAAGAGATATGGTAGGCCATGTCACATTCATCACAAAGCAACTGTTTGTCTGGTTCTTCTTTGCCTCCACACTAGAATAAAATCCTTGTAAAGTTAGCATGCTGTAAGACTGAAATTATATAGGTTAAACATTTTCTAGTTCTATAGACGTATAGCTTATGTAGGTTAGAGGTGTAACTTAACACTTGCCCGGAGCAAGTGAATACCATGACGGGCAAGTAAACGTTTTATCTTGCCTGCCCGATTGAGCAAGTTGCCTTGCCACAAAAATCTGGGAATCTTTAAGGTTATGTTTTCGTTACTGGTCCTCTACCATAGATATCTTATATACACTAGATAGCGCATCTCTTCTAGTAAAATTGAAGCCAAGAATATTCAAGCGGTTACACCCCATTTGAATAGATGGCGGCCATGTTGGTCGTTCCCACTCGCTAATAAACGCTTAAAAACAACAATAACTTTCATCATTTGAATAGTTTAAAAATGTATTTGGAATAGAGTTAATTTAATATTTAAGTTCCCAGTTTAAGAAATAGGAAATATACAAATCTTCTCTCATTTCATGGGAACGACCTGAGACTGCAATCACGGCTTCAATTTTTGAATTGCAGAATAATTAGATGCACTATCTAGTGTATATAAGATACCTATGTCCTCTACCGACTGAGCTACGAGGTCAAGTCGGTACGAGTAAGTGATACTGACTTCAGAACTCCATCAATGCATGTAGATTCTTTGATATCTGTATACAGCTATTTCAATTAAGGTTGTCCCCAAGCAAAGCGGAAAAGTCGAATACGAGCGCGAAAGGCTTGCTGGGAATCGCTAAAAAATTAATGAATTTTTTAGCGTTTCCCAGTAGCCTTTCGCGCTCGTATTCGACTTTTCCGCTTTCCTCGGGGACAATCTTAATTGCAATAGCTGTATAAGACTTATGATATAGTGGAAAGTTTGTGATGTATGTAGTAATGTGCACAAGTGAGGTTATTTGAGATGATGTTAGAAATATTTTAACATATAATTCACGTAAGAGGCACAGTAAGCCAGAATATAGCTGTTTATATATGCATAAGCATTTAAACCCAACCTGGCACAACTATTTCGATGAAACTACAGGATCAAACTATTGTACCCGAAAAATTTAGCAAGAAATGTTGACGTTTCGGCACAGGGGGTCCAACTAAGAGCTGTGTTATGAGTATGAATAAAACATTAATAAATCGTAATATGAATAGAACATCATAACGTAATATATTTAAATTATTGCACTTACTTGTATAAATCATAAGAGCTTGTATTTCCAGTGAATAGCTTCAAACAGGGCGCTTAATATGTTCAGAAAAATATTGCTTCGAAAGATTGTTCAAATATGGCGAATAAATTGACAAAACGAAAATATTACATGACGTTCCATCGAAAATAACAGCAGAGATTGCGGGCGCGCGAGCGAAAAGGCGAGGAAAGAAATAAATAAAAGGGATGAAACAAATATCACGTGACTTTTTAAAATGCTTCTAGACTATCCGTTTAAGCTTTTTGTGGGGGTTTTTAAGGCTCAGTCGATGTTCTCTTACATGAACAAGCCTAGTCATTACCAAAAAAGCACTGATCAATCTAACTTATGTGATTTATAACAGCGAGCATTCTTGGCCATTTTCGCGAGATGTGTTCCATAAGTAGCCTGTTCTCGTGACGTATGACGAAATAATAATAAAACTAAATAATGTAAAAAAAACCGTTGGTCGCTACATTTAACTATTTCATATTAGCCGGTATAGCTAAACATTGTCTATTTTCATTAATTAAGCGCTTAGGCGTTGTTGGAGTTGGCAGGAGGCGTTTTGGAATTTTCCGAGAGAACAGGCTACTTATGGAACACATCACACGATCGCATTACCGGTGCTTCATCCCTTCTATTAATATCTATTACCCTCGCCTTCCGCTCGCGCCCGTAATCCTTGCTGTTATTTTCGTTGCAACGTCATGTAATATTTTCGTTTTGTCAATTTATTCGCCATATTTGAACAATCGTTTGAACTGAATGTTTCTGAACATATATAACTAATATAAGCGCCCTGTTTGAAGCTATTCACTGGAAATACAAGCTCTTATGATTTATACAAGTAAGTGCAATAATTTAAATATATTACGTTATGATGTTTTATTCATATTACGATTTATTAATGTTTTATTCATACTCATAACACAGCTCTTAGTTGGACCCCCTGTGGTTTCGGTCGACTTAAATCCGAAGACTTATACCTCCTAACAAAGGGCCTTCGCTGGAAATGTCGAAATTCTTGTTAACTTATTATAGGAAATTAACGATGCACTTTATAAACACGGACTTTAAAAATTCGCGTTAATTTAATTTAATTAATGTTAATTAACAATTATTCACCGAAGGCGAGGTGATTATCGGTGAATAAAAACCGAGACGAAGTCGAGGTGATTATTTGGGTGATTATTTGGAAATGGGTGATTATTTGGAAAAAAATAAAAAATACACATTTCTTCGTCATTTAATTGACAAAACGGCTTCGGCCGCCATTTTGAAAATCGCCTAGGTGATTATCGCGTAATAATCACCTCAACAGCAACCAATCAGCATGGAGAATTTTCAATTAGCACCTATGTAATTATACTAATTTATGTTATCGTTAATTTCAAGCATGCAAATTTTAGTTATCGTTAATTAAAAAGACCTTGATTTGTTTTATATAACACGAACCCTTTAAACTAAAAATCCATCATATTAAACCTCAAAACAAAAACATCAGTACTATTCCACCTCTTCACTGTCACTGTCGTCTTGACGAAGGGCCTTCGCTCGAAACGTCGAGTTTCTGCTTATTTTTTAAGGTAGTAATATAACCACTCAGCACAGCATTTCAGACTGAACTACATATTTTATATACATTGGTTTAAATGGCTTTAACTTTTATAACGTTACAGTTTTGACATATCTACTCGCGTACTGTTTTAATTGGTAGTATATAATATTAAACTTTTGCTGTTGTGTTTATATTCTTCGACTCGCGTTAGTTAAATTAATTTGTTAACCATGAACTGTCAGATTCGCGTTAATTTAACCAATTTTAGAAGTACCTGAAAGCAATTCGCGTTAATTAGATGACACGTTAATTTATGTCGCGTTAATAAAGTGCATCGTTAATTTCCTATAATAAGGTATATTTCTAATTATGGCTACAATCAAAATGTAGCTCTTAAAAATACCTATTTTCCGATACTTGTAAAAAATACTCAACTCCGAGTTCTTCCTTTCATTGGAGATGGGTTTTGTAAATACATTTATTAAACCTAACAAGGAGCGGTCGCGAAAAATGCAACTAGTGGTCCTCTGGCAGGGAATCGAACCTACGACACTGCGATTCCGGTGTAGCGCTGCTGTTAATCGCTAGTTTGTTACCGATACACTGGAAACGATGTTCAAGAAAGCCACAGTAGAGTATAAAATATACCTTACAACACGCACAGTCTTTGCACGACTTTAAAGGATCATCTTTGCAATGGTCACAATTTGGCTTGTTCTGACCTAAAAGAAAAGCGAAAGCTGGTATAATAATGCCCCTGCATGGTAAAATGATATTTGTATTAGAGAGGGACTATGTACCAAATAGTATTTTCACATTAATTGAAACTAAATTGTATAAGTGTAACTACCAACACTGAGTCTAATTGGATTTGTACAAACTGAACTGAAATACTGAAGTTCTTAAAAGCAAATATAATCGTACGTTTTACAATCGAAGTTCCATCTTGAGAACATTGATCTCCACCTAAAAAAGTAATATTTTGTCTTTGCATTATTGCAACCTACAAGATACCAACTGCAGTGCCTGTATCGTTATACTAATCATACCTACAGTACTGGTAACTGTGGTTACTGTGGACAACCGGACAAAAAAAAAACGGAACCCTCCATACGCGAATCTGCTCTCGTTCGAAAACGAATTCCTGTTTTGTTAACAGTGAATTACATTATCTACCTCGATTTCAAGCTATTGTTTCGTGGAGTGCACTGAAGCAAATTCAGGAAGTGTCTAACGGCTACCTTCATTCATGAAAAGGTATCTTTCATGAATGAAGATTTTTTATGCAGATTGTTGAAAACGGAGGCGTTTTGGATTGGTGTGTAGGATGTGTGAGAGGGAAGGTTTTCATTACCAAGCTTTATTATATTAGTGGCATACTAATCAGTTCAATGAGCTCACTGCGAATATTACAGTCAAAATACAAGAACCTTCCCACTTCCGCAGTCTGTTGATATTTCCTGTGAGTTGTTCTGTATTATTGTAATGGTTACCCATTTATAGACAAATACGACGATAAAATTCGAATTTCGCAGCTTTCATGTGTTAAAATGCAGCGAATATAACGAAATATGAATCCTTCGATAAAAATTATGAATAAAACATGCAAAGAAAACTAAATTTTGTCGCCATGTTAAGTTTGCCCGCAATTTGGTAATCGCTACAAAAAAACAGAACAATTTACATAAAATTACGACAGACTACAGAAGCGAAGTGGGAAGGTTCTTGTATTTTGACTGCATGTAATCCTGAAAAAAACAAATAATAAAAATTTGTCTCAAAAAAATAGAGAAAGAAATAATTCTTCGTGGATGTGATCATGTTTTAAGACTATGTCAGATAGACAATGATCACTGGGAATACTATATATCTAAATATTTATTTATTTGCACATTGCGTCTTACCAGTAACACTTGGAATCTGAAATATTTCATCAGTGAATAAAAGTTGGCATTCTTGAGATATTGCTTTGCCGTCTTCTTCGCTATATTGGTGAACAAAAAATAACTTTATACGTTTTGCTGAAAAAATCAGGATTAAGGAAAAAAGGAATGACGTACCTGAGCAATAGTTTGGCAAAGAGTTTTTTACTCCCTCGCGTTGAAGACTCACTCTGGTTACAAAAAGTAAAAATAACATAATTATTGTTACATATATTAAGATTTTATTGGCATCTCACTCGATTGAATAATAGTTGATGAGTTTGGTAGATGGGAATTATCGAGTGTAAATTTTATGTACATTTATTAATGCAACTGTAGGTCCTCTGGTAAGAATCGAACCTGCGGCCCTGTGATTCCGATGCAGCGCTCTAACCAACTGAGCCACAGAGTTCAGACTGTTGTATTGTAAATTCGGCCTGGCCGGTAAACAAACAATTCAAAAAAGGTTGTCCTTTGCTAACCTTGAACTCTAAATCTTGACTCTAAGCACGCAAAGCTTAATGGGAGCACAAATGTCGAGCTTAGCAGTTGAGTATTGCAGCTATTTGTGAATGAATTGTTCTCGTAAGAAAATATTTACCACGTCTCTAAGAAATGGGCCCCATATACGATTTCTAAACCGATTAAATAATGCTCCCATTATGCTTTGCACGCTTACAGTTTAAGGTTTAGAGGTTACGGTTGGCAAATGACGACCTTTTTTGAATTAGCTGTATATACATTGTCTAGTACCTTCGATACCATTGGTATCTTAGTTCCGAAATAACACACACCCGAACAGACTTCGCCTGGTAGCTCAGTTGGCAGAGCATTGGACCAGTATCCCAAAGGTCGCGGGTTCCATTCCATGCACCGTGGTCAGGCAAACTTTTCAACCTGCTCGGTGTGGACATATACTCAGAGTAACATCAAAAACATTATATTCACTTGAGTACATAACATCAAAACACACGCAAAAAATATATTTGTATTAGCCATTTCCCAATCGAGCAGAGGACTGGGTCTAGTTGATGTTTGGAGGGACAACAAGTTTTTGGGAGTGAGCTTATATATTAAAATTTCAGAATCATCCTCAGACATACGAAAAACTAGTTTCATATTATTCTGACACTGCAATCGAGCAACGAATTTCTCGTTGCTCGATTGCAGTGTCAGAATAATATGAAACTAGTTTTTTATATATTAAAAGATGACTTATTATAAAAGGTTGCGTTTCAGGCAACAGAAATATATTTAGGAATGTAGGAAAACGTCCTATAGATGCCATATTCGGAATATTGTTCTTTTTGTCCCTCCAAACACATTTTTTCAATTAAAATTTTATCACGTATGTTTTCATTCGTATATACAATAATAATAATACTTTCATTCGTATATTTGTATATTATTAACATTCGAGTTTAAGAAAGACCTTTCTTTGAAAAATATCTGAGCACTGTTACTGCACAACTCGACGATTTAATAATTTGGAGTAACTCTAACTAGGGATCCAAGGATAGTGTGAAGTTTCAAATTGAAAAAGACACTGCAAGAACTATATAGGGTCGCCGACAACCTAGAAAAGCTGATGGCTTACACTACGAAATAAACAGTTACCAAAGGCATTTCATCTTATTATTTATTGCTTTTAATACGCTGGGCACACGAGTAGCGTGACGTTTGAAACAAGCCTAACACATCAGAAACGTGCCTTGTGAAACTGATGCAATTTATCTATTTACTGCGATGCTACACGCAACAATTCGAAATTTAAATTGTTTCACCAACAACCAAATTTTTCATATTCTAAATTTTCATTTGCATTTGCAGCTGTCGCTAAAGCATCCCCACGAGGCTACTGCTATCCTAAATTTATCTAAAACTGTAATTGAAATAGCTGTATAAGATATGTTATGAATAATACATCATTAAAAGGACGCATTTTATCCTCATCCGTTCCGTATTTTATTCGCATATCCGTTCCGTGGATCCGCTCCTTCCGCTTCCGCATTTAACCTAATTTTGACATGCTTAACAATAACAAGTCTCATTGACCTTTGACTTTTCCCAGTGTCACGTTGTGTCTATTTTTAGCTTTTCGCATGTTTTGAATAATGTCACTGTAGATTTCAATAGTTTCACAGTATAGCAGTGTTTAAATTAAAGCAGTTTTGGCAATCTTTGATACAGTTCGTGTACAGAATACTACAGATTGATTCTCGTAAGATCTGGTAGAGTTATCGTTGCACTGAACACGAATTTTCACCGTTGACAACGGCGTTGTGCTAGACAGTATAAAACAAGGTCCGTGACGATACACGTTGGCTACGTACATGTACCATGTACCTCCTTGCTTTTTTCTTCTATTGCATAAAGCTTGTTGGCGAGCCAAGCGATTGGCGATAACACGTTGGCGATAACACATTGGCTATCTCCTCGTCTTTCTTATTCAAATACGGAGCTCTGGCTCAACTGATTTCTTTAGTCTCGCAAGTTATTTTCTTCGTAAACGCAGTACAAACACCCGTTTCTGTTTAATAGTTGTTTATGTTTTATTGATCTGTTACAGATCCGATGCAATTTTTCGCTCTTTGTACTGAGTGAGTGAGTGTACACCTTGGCTTATACTGTCAATGACAATGTATAATGAATACACGGTCTAAATAATATCGATGTGCACTTAATTGAATTGAATGCCGGTAATGCACAACATCAATTTATATATTGTATTATTGCGTAGAATCTCAAAGATTTTCTCAATATTCATGTCCGAAATGTTTATATACTTGAAAACAACACTGTCTCGCTTCTGCCTACGTACTGTACCTCTGTATAATGAGTATACCGTGATAATAATATCGGCACTCAATTGAATGCCTAGAATCTCAAAGAAATTCGACTCAATATTTACGTCTGAAATGTTTAATACACTTGACTGCACTGTCTGGGCGGTCTACTCCTTCCTAGCTCTGTATAATGAATATACCGTCCAAATATTATCGGCACTTAATTGAACGCTTGTAATACATAAGATCAATTTATATATTGCGTAGATTTTCAAAGATTTACTCAATATCCACGTCTGAAATGTTTATACATCTGAAAACAACACTGTCACTCCCTACTAGCATATCGTCACGCCATCGTGATCTATGGCTTGATAGCGCATGCGCATTTGCGTTACTAAAGAAAAAATCGGGTGTTCCGGGGTAAAGATCCTTTACACAACATGAGAAGCGAATGTTTTAAAATTTACAAAAAATTACAATACGAAAGCGATTCCTTGAAATTTTTGTGAACTTGGCAAAAGGATAACAGAATATGTGAATAAGTAAACTGAAATTGCCTAAATAACCTTTAAAGTACTGACTAAGTACAATAAATCACTACCAACACAAATCGTACACACCCCCCGGAAAGTTTACTGTATGACTGACTGACTGAATGAATGAATGAATGAATGAATGACTGACTGTTTCGTTTGAATTTCCCCCAGTCATCACAATACTGTGAAGTTTCGAAGAAACTTCACACTAAAAAGGCAAAAGTTTAAGCGTTCATGAAAGTAACTTACTTTACGTGTTATTTTAACGTCATACCAAAAACCTCTTTCTTTCGGTTCGTCTGTATTATAATTTGCCATCACTATCTGACCAACAAATAACTAAATCATGAAACAAATATTTTAGTATAGTAAAATTA